TGTCATGTTGCATCCAGCGCTGCCGATGGATGCAAGATCCGAATCCGTCGTAACGTCTGTCGGCTCCTTCGACCTTCACGTCGGGAGAAGGACAACCGGCCATAGCATTCGGAGCAAACACGATGCACCACCCTGCATTGTTCGCCTTCCCATTTACTCACTTCTTGGCTCCCTACAACGGCGAGATGGAGACGGCCCGCCTTGCGTCGCTATTCTTTCGTCGTTGGGAGCGCCCATGGATTCGATATACATCGGCCACCAAGCGGCTGGTCGCATTTACCTCGTGACATCTAGCCCCTGCGGTGTGGCTGCTAATTAACCCGTTCTTGGGTGCAAACGGCCGAGATACCGGAGCCAGTGGGAAAGTGGCCGACGACTACAAGGCGGAGTGCCTCGCTAACCTCCGTCGTCTGATGCTGCCTCTGCCTCTGCTTGGACCTGGGCCCCGGCGGCGCCTGGGGACATGTAGGATAGTCCTCTTTCAGGCCGCCCGGGGTGCCCGTCACTTGATCCAAACGCCAACGGCGCACAGCATATTGTATTTTCGAAAGTCTCGAGGCGCCGGCAACTGCCCGGTCCTCAGACCTGCCCGCTTCATGTCCGCGGCGGCATGCCCCGTGCATGAGTAATGGTGCACGCCCGCTCCTGGTCCCCTTGTCGCTCTTCTGCGACCCCAACGTGGCTCTGGCTCCTTAATAAGGTTCGCAAACTGCTGTCCCGCGGATGGATAAGACGATTGGTAGCCGGCGGAGAAGGACATTCAAGAAGCGCCAGGTTGGCAATGACGACAGTCGACAACCGTCGCAAGCTCTCGGACTTGGAAGTTCCATGCATGCAGATAAATTGATGAATCGGCGGGTTGATGAGCTAAGATCATCTCATCTTTTCCCGGTTGCCCACCATATCCTTTGCAGAATCAGCGCTGCATCTAAAATTGCCTCCGGCTGACTCTTGCCTGAGCCACCGCGCATCTCACTTCGACGGTACGAGTCAATCAATTTCTGACGTCGACACTCGACAATCTCCTTTTCTGAGAAATGGCCGTGTGCGTGCGGAGCTACGAGTTAACCCAGACGCCTCGGCCATGGCGAACCCTCCATCCCTTCTGTCCTGCCTAGCCATGTGGTTGATGGAGCACACTAAGAGTCCGTAGACCGGGAACCGCGGCAGGTCGTCAGCGAGGGTCATCCTCGCACGACTGCTGCTGAGAATGAGGCTGCACAGCTCACACCCACCAAACCGAGCCGGCTGCCCTCCAGTTTCAATGGTCCGACAGTTGCATGTCTTCCATCGACTTGGCGGCATCCATTCCTTCCTGGTCCTCCGGTGCCGCGATGAGAGGCCTCGTATGCCTCAGCTGCGCCGAGGATACCACTCCAGCTCCAAGGAAATTGCGCCCGTCGGGGCAATCCACATTAGCACCGGGCCCATGAACTGACGTCTTATGGTCGTGCCGGCGTCGGACTTTCAATTAAACTTGATTCCTCTTGGGCTGGGAACCGCCTTTCATGATGGCGACCTTCGGCATGCCGCCTCTTGACTTGACTGCCGTTTGCCGCCTCACCGAGACTGACTACGGTCTAGGTTCAGGCGGTGCCTGGCCGCGGCAGCCTGGTCCAAAGCTTAAGAGTGTCATTGTTACACATCCTCTCACCATCAACTAGCAGGCCCCATCGTTCCAACCACGCCGTCAGTGCCATACAATTGGCGTGTTCGTCGGCCCTTTCTGGCGAGACCCGAGACCACAGTGGCATGCATCAAGGCTCTTTGATGGGACGAGAAGCCGACTCAGATCGCCGTTTCCTCGCAATTCCTTGCGCTGTTGCACAAGTCCTTCTGAGGTGGTGGTTCGTTTCGGGTCGTCTACACTACAACGGCGCAGTACGAAAGACATAGCGCTTGCAACACCTTCCTGCAAGCCAGTTGCGAGTTTGTTGTGCGTCTTGTGTGACAACCATGCCGACCTTGCACCACCACCTCGCCCGACGCATTCTGCTTCATGTCTTTCCACACCGACAACGCCTTCAGACCGCTTCGCCGCACGCCATCACCTCAACGCAGCTCTGGCGACAGTATAAAGGGGTGGAGCGAGCCCATGACTCGGCCCGCCTCCCAGAGCACATGACATGCCCCGACCACTGCGATTTCCGTCGACTTGCGGACACACTGTCCGGCCCTTCGCTTCAAATGACCGGCAAGCATTTCGCCTCCCGTGTCCTCGGACGGGCGTGACGGCACAGCGGCGATATCACTGCCATGCTGCAACCCGCCTGCTGTTGCAGCTTGCAGCAAAGTCTCTTGCGTGAGCTTCCACAATGTTTTCGCTCGCGACGCAACCCAGCCCAATCGGAATCAGTCTGGTCCGCTTGTTTGGCCCCCCCCCCCCCCCCCCCCCCCCGTTCCGATCCCGGTACTGGGACGGAATCGGGAGTCAATAGTGAAGCTAGCAACGCAACAAAGCTGTGGCAAGAGCTGATTGACGGCAACTCGCCTTGATCACAATGTCCAATGCCTTGGGATTGATCGTCCTCGATCCGTCGTTGGGCCACATTTAGGAATCGTGCGCGCGCCCAGAAGACATACTGCGTCGGCAACCCAAGCTGTTTGAGCCCTCTTTACCCAGACATTTGTGACAAGTCAGATGCACACAAGCACACCCACACCACACAGAGCTCGTACACGTCGCTGACTCTGTTGCTATGCCTCTTGTCGCATCCTGGACCGAAGAGAAGGGCCTTTGCTGGTCAACGTCCGGACCGTGCTTGCGTGTCCACTCAGGCCTTTCCCGAAGCGCTCCTGTCTTCCGTGCCCGGTCGATGTCTCGTCTCTTCTTCTCGACGGCCCTGCCCTGCCTCATCCACTTGCGAGAGCCCCAACCTTCCAGCATCAACCGTTTCAAATCACATCACAGCGGGATCTGGGCCGAGCTGTAGCACCTCCTCTTTTACCCGTCTGTTCCGTGCCTTCTAGAAGGCTCAACCCCCTGGCGAAGAAGCCTCTCAGACTTCTTTGCGGCGTTCTGGAGCCACTATCGGTGACTCCGCCTCGGTGGGTAGCCCATGGGTCGCCTCCATCTTTTTGTTGTCGAATTGCATCTGCATCAGCTTCCGGCTTTTTACTGGTGTTATGTATTACGAATCCCTAGGGATTCGTGTGTGGTCGCCACCAGTGCGCTCTCGCTTTCAAAATGATACAGGGTCCGGTGGGTTCCTTCTTGGCCTGATGTCAGATTCCGTCAAATCCACAAAGATGCACATGGATTTGGGTCCTCAAGACATGCCTTGACCGCATTTCTTCAGCGAGACCGCTCGCTTGCTGACCAGCCAGTTTCACCAGGGTGCTGGAACCATGGGTTCAGGACTAAGGCGACGGGAGTATTCCACCACTTTTTGCGGATGAAGAGAGCGGTGAGCATTCCGCGCCGCAGCCGCTCTGCTCCTACCGCCGAACCACGTTGCATACATGGTGTTATTGTTGTTGTTATTGTTTGTTGTCCCTGATACCACCGGGCTGCATGACAACTGCCTCGATCACCGCTAGTTGGGGGTATATTTTCCACTTACCCGCCCCTCGTCGTGGAGCAGATATTCTGCGACCACGGCTCTGGTTGCCACCGCCTACTACGACTTTATCCCCTACAAGTCTTGCAGAGAGACAAGTCTTCAAACCCAAGTGGGCGCTGCAGGTCTCTGTCGCCTTTGATGCTCGTGGCCCCCTGGTTTGCGCTACTAGAGCCGTGGCTCCAATCAAGGGTTGTCGGGCGTCCGGTTTGGGCCAGTGGCCCCAGCTGCTCTACGCGTTTTTGGAAGTCCAGCGCCCCCAAGTGGACAATAACGATCGGCAGCACCATTGCCTCCCCCACCAAACTTATTGCCAAAGCGGCGTGGAAACAAAACTGGCAAAGTTCATTTCGACAGAGACCGTCACAGTCAGTGCCTGATTCGGCTCATGTTGTCAAAGAGACAAAGAAAAGGCATGGGTTTGGGCGGGCACCCGGCCCAGCCTTTTCTGTTTGTCCAGCTGACCAAGTCGTCTGGTTGCCGACTTGGATTTTTTCTTTCCCCTTTTGTTCGCAGAAACGGGGCACCCTTCCAAGATAATCCAGACCTTTTGGAGGACGGCGCAGATCCCGCGAGGCATCTCAACAGGATCCGCTGCCTTTATCTCTTCCCCTTCCGTTTCGGTAATGCTTGCTTGCTTGCATCTTTGAGGGGGCGGCGGGATGTGTGGAGAGGGCCGTGAGAGGGTTCGTCAGGTTGGTTGCGAAAGTCAGCTCGAGTCCCACCAACGCTGGCCGTATACGGACCGTGACCAGGGTTCGGGTCCTCCTCCTGAATCCATCCAATCTGAAAATGGACATGGCAAGATCAGCAAAAGCGTAGATCTTGGGTTCTCGACCAGGGCTTCGAAAGCCAAATTTGCGCTTTGCTTTGAACTGCGGAGGCAATGCCCCTTCCCCTCTGACGATACCAATGACAAGGCGAGATGAGCGAGACCCCAATCCAGCGATAATCTATCGGTCATCTACGAGAGGGCCTCCACGCCTCTCCACGTTTGATACCACCAGGATGGGCTAGACCTCTTGACCGAGATGCCTTCATCTTAGCTAGACCTCTGGATGCTACCATCTCGTCTGATGAGAGGAAACACAGCTAGGCTGGATGAGGCGCTTCCTTTACTGAGTGGGTTTCATTTCAATTGTAGAACACGATGCCACCGTCAAGGACGGGGGGGGGGGGGGGGGGGTCGTTACCGGACACGACGAGGTTTGGCTACAGGTTAGGTTGTCGCATCTCGAGGAAGACTACAGATGTCAGCATCGGCGTCGGTGTTGAAGGTTTACTTGCTCGGCCTGAACCTCGGAAGAGGGAAAGAAAACAGTCAATAAACAAAATGATGGCTGATTACGTCCGTCTTTCGGGACTTCGTCCCATGGGGCCGGGAGAACAGGCTTTCCCCAAGCCTCCATCCGGAGTCTTGGCCGCGTACAGCGGTCCACCATGTGCGGAAGTTCTGGGCCTCGAACCGGCGGCGGCGTCATCGCAATCGCAATCGCAATCGTCGTCGTCGTCGTCGTCGTCGTCGTCGTCCTCGTGCTGCGGAGTGTAAAGATGGAGCAGGAGCGCAGCAGCGAAATTGAGCTTCGGCGTAGACTCAGGTGGAGTTTCCTTCAATGGCGACAGCGAGGCAGCAGCATCAGGAACGAAGTCATCGGGCAGTTCATGGAGATTGACGAGGCGGAACGAAAGACAGCCAGCCTCTTTGGCGGCGTCCCAATCAATGTCGACAAGTGTGAGGTTCAATACGAGCAGAGCATGCAGTCAAGAGGAGCAGAGCTGGGGAGGTGCGGACAAGGTTTCCGACGGTGAAGGTGTTCTGGGCTCCGAGGAGACGAAGGCACCTTTGACGACGGCGATTCTGCGGCTCAACCGGGGGCGAGGATCTTGATGAGGAGCTGCTTCTCCCTCAGGCATCCCCTGAGCATCAGTGCTCTTCCCGTCTGCCTACGTAACCTAGGTGACCTGTATGCAAAGCGCAGAGCCCTCGCCATCCACAAGAAAGCAGCGAGGAGAGCGTTTCAAATCACGCCAGCGTGCCTCCGTTATTAGCTTCACGACGTTGCTGATCCCGGGCTGGCCACAGGCACAAGCACTCGACATACAAAAAACTATAAAATAAAATAAAAAACCCCGGAGCAGAGATGAGTCTGACGCCGGGCTCCGCTCCTCGAATGTTGGGAGCTGCCGTCGGTCGCGCTGCGCTGCGACGAGGTGTCCAAACGTAGGCGGCACGAGACGACCTCGAACGAGGCTGATACACCTGGGGCGGGACGATGGAGAACCCCGTGAGGGTACCGAGCCGAAAGAGGTTCCCTCCGCCGCGAATGGAAAAGGGGGGACGGTGGACGAGGCTAGCAGAATGGGAATGCCCTGGCCCTCAGAAGAAGGGCCTGTTCCGGTGGGAGCATGCCGTCTGAAAAGCGAATGACATGTCGAGAAACGTGGATAGAGGTGGGCGTACCGGTCGGTCCTCTTCTGTCGTGTCGGAGAGGGACAGAGGCAACGGGAAGGAGGCGTACGGACGATACCAGTTCAAGACGGCCGTCTCTGTGGGTGGGGGAAAGGACAGGCGGCGTCGACGGGCGCAAGTCTGCGTTCATATTCCAACATCACCAACGGCCCCTTAGGTCGAGACGGACTCTCGGGCAGCAGCACGGCTGTATGATGGGCCTTGGAAGTGCCCCATCAAGCATCACGACATCATCAAGAGGGAGCCAGGTAGAATCCACACAACTTCATGATTCAATTCTTCCAGCCCAATCTCTTTGCTCCCTTCCTTTCCCCGGTGGTATCCAACAAAACAGCAACAACGGCTTGGAGTTATACAAGATGGCCTCAACGGCAAACAACACCCGGTAGCGCTATCTGAGAGGGCGTGCGTCATCGCAATAGTAATAGTAATAGTGGTATCCCAAGCCAGAAAGGACTTGGCAAGATGGGTGTCCATCTCCTTTTTCAGTCATCCCGCTATGCAAAAAAAATAAAAAAGTAAAAAGCGAAGAAAAGAAGCCACGCCAGTCTGTACCAGTACACGTTGTAGCGATCGCGTCGATGCGAAGACGGCTCGCAACAAGGGGGAGGGGGCGCGTGGTGGAATTGTTGTTCGGGCAGAGTTCTTCGTCCTTCAGCTTCACCGGGGGCTCAGGGGACTCCGCCCGGGCCCCTGAGACTTCCTGAGCTTCTGCAGCTCCTCTTCGAGTTTTCTCCTCTTGCCTTGCTCCTCCTGCGCACATGATTAGCACGATGCCGATATGACACAGGCACTGTAAGACTTACCCTGAGATCCTCTTGGAACTTCTTCCTCTCTTCCCTCATCGTGGCACGGAACTGCTCGCTGAGCATCGACGCACCAGCCCCGCGGGCGCCGGTGCCGGGCGTCACCTTGAGCCGCTCGTTGTCGAGCTCCTCCTGCAGCTTGGCTATCTTGGTCCGCGTGTTGTCGACCTCGGCATCGAGCTGGTCCTTGAGCGAGCTGATCTCGCCCTCGAGGTTCGACTTGACGGCGAGCGCGTCATCGAGCTTGCTCTCGACCTCAAACTTCTCCCGCTCGGCGTTGATCGTCTCGGCTGTGATGTTCTCCAGCTCCTTGAGGGTCGAGCTGAGCTCCTCCTTGAGCCGGTCGACCTCCGCCTTGAGCTGCGTGACCTCGACAGTGCTCTTAACAGCCGCGGCCTGGTTGGCCCTCTCCTTACGGGAGCCGTATGCGCCGTCGAGCTCGGCTTGCGCGATGGTCAGCTCCGTCTTCAGCTCGACAATCATCATATTGAAGCGCTCGAGTTCCTCCTCCTTCTCCTTGACCTCCTTGTCCTTGGCTGCAGCCTCTTGCTGCTTCTCGACTGCCGCCTTCTCCGCTCCCGCCAGCTTGCTTGTCAGGAGTGCGATCTCCTCATTGGCCCTGCTCAGCTTGTCGCTCATCTCTTGAACGTTTGTGTTGAGGCTCGCAAGCGTGGCTCTTGCCTCCTTGGTGCTCGCTTCCAGAGAGGCGATCTTGGCGTCGCGCTCCTTGATGTCGTTTTGCGTTCTGGCAGCACTGGACTCGTTGGCCATGCGCATAGTCGACGCGGCCTCCGCCTCCTTTTGGGCCTTGACCAGCTTCTCTTGGGCCTCGGCCGCTTCTTCCTCAGACCGTTCGAGCAGCGACCTAAGCTGATCCAGCTGATCCTGCTTGAGCGTCAACTCGAGAGCCTTCTCCTCCTCGGAGCGCATCTGGGCTGCCCGCAGCTGTTCGAGCTGGTCTTGCTTTGCCCTCAACTCTTCATCCTTCTGCGAGTCCGACTTGTTATTCAACTCGCGTTGCTGCTTGATCTGGCGCTTCAGGACCGATTTCTGCTCCTTCAGGCTAGTAGCCTGGCTGTAGAGCCACTGCACCTTGGTCGAGAACGCGGACAACGAGTACGGCTCCGTGGTGTCGACAGCTTCATCGCCTGACATGTCGTCATCGTTATCGGACACGCCCTGCTCCATCCGCGTGCGGCGACGGTCCGCCTTTTGCTTTTGAATGGTTGCGAAGCCCGTCTGGACGATCTCCCACAAGCCCATCAGCACAGCCTCGACCTGCTCATCGTCTTGTTTCTTGACAGCCGACTGGGTGGCCGTCTTCTTCATTTCCTCCTCCACAACAGACAAAGCACGCTGAAGCCAGCCGAACTGGCCGTCAAGACCAGAATTTGGCACCTCGGGATAGCTGGGGTCGACTGCGACAAGGATGTCCCGCAGCTGCTGGTTCAAATCGTCGATGCGGTTTTCCGCCTGCGAAAGGGCGACAGACGCCTGGGCTGCAGCAACCTCCGCCTCTTGGAGATCGCCAGAGGACTGCCCTTGGAGCTCTTGCTCCTGCCGCACTGCCGACAGGCCAGCCTCCAGATATTCAAACTGACCGGCCAAGGTTGTGCCAGGCTTCGCTGGTCCGTCGGCTGGTATTGAGGGAGGCTCACGGAAGCCTCCGTTCTTGGTAGGATTAAAATTTACAATTACCTCTCGTAGAGAGTTGTTGAGTGTCGTAAGTTTCCGCTCGGTATCGGAGACGGACTGTAAGCGTTGTGCGTTCTCTCTCTTGAGAGCATCGATCTCGCCGCTCAAGACGTCGGTTTGCGCTTGGAGCTGGGCGTTCTCCTCCTGCAGACTTGCCAACGCGTCAGCTTGCGCGCGTAGCTTGGCGTTTTCTTCCCTCAGCTTCTCGGCCTCCTGTCGCAGCTGGGTTTCTTGCTCTCGGGCTGGTGCCTTGGATGGAATATTAAGTGGGCTGACTTTCGGTTGCCCGCGAGAGAGAGGTTCGTCGTTGAGGTTCTGGTAGGAACCGTCTTCGTCGAAGGAGCCGTTTCCCACCGCCTCCAAACTATTGCGACCGTTTGAGTAGGTGTACAAGCTCTCTGGGCTTCCAGGTATTCCATTCATCAGCTGCGCGGGCAGCTGACTAGCTGGCTTCTTGGAAGCCCTATGCGTCAGCTGAAGGATACCAGCCGTGTGCTCCAGCAGGCCTCTTTGCGATTCCATCAGACGCTGCTCGAGATTCCGTAGCTCGCTCGACAGCTCTTGGACCCGTTTTTCGCTCGCCTGCCGCTCTGCTTCAGCCTCTCGCAAGGATTCTCCCATGCTGTTGCGGTTGCTGCCCATCAAGCTCCTCCTTTTACTAGCCTCGGGCTGTGTGTAGAGTTTGGCCATGGAAACGGCGGCATCTCGATACTTTGTCTGGATCGCGAGGTTCGCGCGTGTTTGTTCGACTCGTAACGCCAATGATTGAATTTGTTTCTTGAGACCATCCACCTCTTCCTGGGACAATATGCGGTATTGTTTGCTGTCTGTCAGCGCCGTCTCCGTCAACAGATGGACTTGAATCGGGTCCTTGAGGTCGACCAGCGCGGAGCTCGGCGGCAGTTTCGTGCTTGTCTACAGGTTGTTAGATCTAACTACGCGACACCAACATGGCTTAACATGGACAACTGACTGGATCAACACGTAGTGAGGCCTTTTCGAAGTTGTTCATGATATCGCGCCTGAGGCTATCCGCGCCCAAGGACCTCCCTCCAGGGCCAGCGGCCCGGGCGGCGAGGGCCTCCCCGGGGAGTACCCGTTCATGATCTTGGATCGGTTCGGTAACAAGGGACGGTGCTCGTCAAATCATTATATTACAGAAAAATTGTGGAATCGTAGGTGGCTTAGGGCGTCGTCGCGGCCTTAGGGAGCATGTTCATCGGCGGATTACAGAGATGCTGCGATTGCTCGTACATAGGTTTCGAACGGGATGGATGTTGGAATGATCGCACAACACTGCGTATGCAGGGACAAAGGGTGGCTGGTGGCAGGCGGGTGGGATTTGTGCTGGAGCCCCTTGGTGTGGGAGGCAAGGGGTTTGGCCGTTGCGGGAACGAAGTCGCTATCGCCGTGGAGACGGGAGACGAGTCGGAACGTCGTCGGGGCGGGCTCAGCACCAACTGTTGGCGATGGGCAAACGAGAGGGGAAGGTGCGAGGATAAGAAAAAAACGTGTGTGATCTTCCGGCTAGTAGGCAGAGAGGCACATACTTTTCCCAAAGGTGGACAGGCGGGTGTAAGTTTACCGTCCCAAAGATTGAGTTGGGTGACCTGTCGCAGCGGGTGGCAGTCTGCCAGACACGTTTGACACGACCGCAGCACAAGCGTCCTCGCACCTGCCCCCCTTGCAGGCTGTTCACAATTGGCGATGCCTCGCAGCTCTCACTTCGGGGCTCTGCGCGCTAAACTTATTTGGGTTCGTCCCTTGCCCGCCTTACCCATTTTCCTGCCTCGTTGCGGGTGCACTATTGGCGGACGGTCTCCATCGCCCGGCAGTACGTACTCTTAGCGCCAAGAGAGTCAGCGGACCATATTTTTAGTTTGGGGATGGTCTACTGAGCGGTACATGCTGCGCCGGCCTCATCCAACCACCAACTAGGTGATTCCAGAAAACTCAAGCACGTTATGCAACCTTCGGGATGCTGGATGACGAAAGATTGCCGGTTTTCACGGAGACTTGGAAGCAAACGATAGTTCAAACGCAATCTACTGGATGAAGATTGCTGAACCCGCATAGAACAGCATGCCTCTGTAATCTGAGGACAATACACCGTAATTTCGGGTTCTTGATTACTGGGATCTTGGACCGGGGTCATGCTGAGCTAAACCACTTTGGAAACATAACCCAACCCTTTTTTGGGCAGCTCATTACTTTCGTCCCAAGAATGGTCATCGGCATCTCCAGGGCCACTTTTGACGTGCGAACGGGTTCGTCGGGTTCTTGTGTGGAAAAGATCATCTTGTATAATTCAATAGATCGAGTACATCCGATTGGGCTCATCACTTTCCAGGTGGCGTGCTGGGTAATTGTCCAAGGATGTACCGTTCAGAGGCCACGCAAGGCCGATTCCTGAACGTTTTACCGTCCTGTTTCAAGGCCCAGTGAGGTTTTTCAAAGTTAAAGCTGTCTGGTTCGATGTTCATAGCACATCTGGAAACGGTTGTTGTGAACGACTAGATCACGAACGACTGTCTGTCTATCTCAGTCCTCACGCCTGTCTTGACCGGCCGGTCTTCTCCGTCCAGCGTCTCCATCAGCCTGTCCCTGCGCACCAGATGCGGTGGCAGATGAGCCCTCGCCTTCCAACCGCCGCCTAAGGCCCTCAAATTCGCTCCGTCTTCTCTGCGTCCTGACACCAACCATCCATCCTGGGAGGCGCCATTTCGTCACTGCTCCTGGTAACAAGTCGTTCCTCCATGAGTATCCCACAACCCAACCGATGACAGCTCCAAGCAATGAGCCCGGCCATTGGAAGAGGGCCAGCTGCAACGCGAGGGCATAGCGGTATGACTTATCCGAGAAGGTCAAACCAACAAACTGGTCGTTCGTAGGTGGTGCTGATGACGCTGCGACGCGGTATCGGTAGACGTGTGGGATCACAGCATGGTACTGCGCGAGTATCGCGAAAATAATTGGTGTTGGCCCGGCAGGCATGTAGTTGAACAGACCGGCCGTCAGTGGACGCAGGACGAGGGATAGGAAGACGGGAGGTATGATTGCGGTGAAGAGCGCGGATACAGCTACGAATGACTATGGAGGTGTCGGTGTCAGTGTTGCTCAATCCAGTACGTCGATCTAACTCACAGCATATTTCCTCGACCCCCATATCTGTTCAATGACCCTCAACTGGTAGAGGGTCATTGAAGCAAATAGCACCTCACTCGAGTTGGTACAGCATAGCTGATATGCTAGAAGGCGCCAGATTTGATGATACCGCCAAAGATGGGTATCGACAACAATGTAGAAGTAATGCTTGACGTCTAGCAGGCTGGCTGCAATGGAGCTCGTCACCAAGCCAAGAACGAGAGTGCGCGTCACTGGCGCATTCGTAAAGGACATCTTCGTAATTGGGAGGGCTATCTCATTGTGTTTCGTTGTGCCCGTTGTCTGGAAAGCGACAGCACTCGATCGGAGGATGGTCGATCCCTTGAGTCGAGAAGCCTCGTCTAGCTCGATCGGGGTGCCCCTTGCTGCGGGGTGTCTCTTCTGCAAGTACTTGGGACTTGGGTAAACCGTGTTCTAGGTATTGGGGTTGCGCAAGTTGGCGGCGTAGTTAGAGTGGCCTGGCAGAGTCGAGAAAGCAAGGCGCGGTCGGAGGACCGTTGATGCCAGGTGGTTTCTTCGGCCGTCGTCGGATCGAATCCACTCGAAGCTTGAAGCAGTAGGCGCAGGTATGCACTTGTGCACCCCAAGTATCTAGTGTGTGTGTGTCCCTGTCCAAAGAAAGCCCGGTGGACCGGACCGGTGCTCCCTGCCAGGTGGACATTGGGGAATGGCCCCAGCCTCAAGACCTTACATCGACGCCACAGTAGGGTCGCGCCAATCACGTTCCGTAGAAAGAATCCCACTCACTCGGTCTTCTCATGCAATGACGAGGCTGGCGGGCTGAGTGTGGCTTTCCCACCCGCTCGATCCCCGGATTCCCATTCGCCCAACGAATTGCTCGGCGGCATCCCACCCTTGCTTCCCTTGAGTAACCCTGTCACGACGTATTTCTGTGAGGCGCAGAGCTCTGGGCACACGCCGCCGCCCTCGCCGCTACTGCCGTTACTCCAGTCTCCCAAGCTTCTGCTGGCCCGAATGTGAGATCAAGGCGGGTACTGTCCAACTTGCCAACAGATGCTGACGCGCCATCACATACTGACACTGCTTATTTCTTGTTCTCTTTTGTAACTGCTCTGGCAGCTTTCCCGGCTTTCCGTACAAAATCCATTACTTTTCTTTCGAACACGTCTTTTCTCAACACACGGTGCGGCGCCCTCTATAACTTTCCTTGCGTAAAACGTCGCGCCGTAGTCACACCAAGAACAGCATGTCGGAAATATTCATCAACCACATTACGCGGTGGCTTTTCAGCTCCCCACCGGCCGAATGGGCGATTAACCAACTTCGTGAGCTCCTCATTGGCGCCCTGAAGCAGGGCCCAGTCCCTCAACATGTCGCATTCGAGATGGACGGCAATAGGCGGTATGCTCGCGGCAAGAAGATGGAGACAATCGAAGGCCACCACCACGGTTTCGAGGCTCTGGCAAGGGTGCGTCATCCCGCAGCTGCTCCTGACCGACGCGTTCGCTAACCGATAGAGTCCAGGTTCTCGAGATCTGCTACAAATGCGGCGTCAAAGTGGTAACCGTTTACGCCTTCAGCATAGAAAACTTCAACCGCCCACAATATGAGGTCGATGGGCTTATGCAGCTGGCCAAGGTGAAGCTGGAGCAGTTGACGAAACACGGAGATATCCTGGATCGATACGGCGCGGCGGTTCGTGTGCTCGGCCAAAGAGACCTGATCCGCAAGGACGTTCTTGAGGTTGTTGACCGAGCGGTCGAGATGACCAAGTACAACAAGCGGTAAGCCAGGCGCATGCGGTCCTTTGGGCAAGCCAAGCTGACTGAAGTAGCAACGTCTTGAACATCTGCTTCCCGTACACTGCGAGAGAAGAAATGACAACGGCCATGCGATCCACGGTGCAGGAGTATATGATGCCTCCAGGCCCCAAATTCACGCCCTTCCCGGCTGCTCGTATCTCGCAGAAGATAATGTCGAAGCAGCTGGATCGTCGAGAACCCCTCCCCACCATTCGCGACACATCGCCCTCTCCCTCTGCGCGATCAGACGGTGATGATGGTGCGTCGTCGTCGACTACTCTTCCACCCGACTCACCCTCGCCGCCGAGCCACCGTCCTGGTTCCGCAGGCGGGCACCGCCTGAAGAACCCGGAGACCATTACGGCTGAGACGTTGAACAACCACATGTACACTGCCGGGAACCCGCCGTTGGACATCTTCGTCAGGACTAGTGGTGTGGAGAGACTCAGCGACTTTATGCTGTGGCAGTGCCACCAGGACACTCACATTTTCTTCCTGAAGTGTCTCTGGCCAGACTTTGATCTGCAGCACTTCCTGCCGGTGCTCTTGGAGTGGCAATGGAGGCAGAAGAAGCAGATCGAAACCGACGAGCGTCCGAGACGAGCGGCCGCAAAAGCACGGAAGCTTGCTTAAGACCGAGGCGGTAAACCGTTCAGTCGGGTTTGTTTTCATGGGCAGGCGTTTGTCATTTTCGTCATAGTGTTATGCGCAAAACAACGGCCTCGGACTTTTTTGTCCATGGTTGTGCTGTTGGGTGGAGGAGGCCGGAATTGATACCACGAGAGTGTGTTTGTACCCATATTGATATCCATCAAATTCGATTGCTGTAATAGAGCGGGATCCGTTATGCAAGAAGAGTGAAAAGAGAGACGTTTGCAAGACGAAGTTGCAATTACGTGACTTTAACTGGTTACAATCGATAGGGAGGCTTTGGAATGAATACGGCCCATTAAGAAGCGCTCTCAGTAGTTTATCAGGCTGTGGCGCAACGGCGATAAGATGCCGAAGAATGACGACAGTTCATGTGGCTGTCTCCGTTGCGCGCACACATATCGGAAGGGATTTGAGTGGGTGAAGCTGGCAGCATACCGGTACTGATTTTCGCTGGTTAGTGTGGCTGGAGACAGGCACAGCGCGGTACGGGCCTCACAGGTTCAGGTGAGCTTACTGGGGCCTCAGGCCCAAACTACTCACTGGGGTGAACGGATGGGGGACACTCGCCAGCCGGTCTTCCTCCGCCCGCGGCAGATACACTGAGGTCCCCCAAAAGTGCGTCGGATGGATGATGGAAGATCCCGAGGCGTTCTCTTTGGATTTTCCTCGCGCACTCCCCTCTCCCACGCCCGCCATTCTGCACCTCCCAAGTTACCTTACTATAACGATGAGAATGCCCTAAGACTCTCTAGCAATCGCCTCGAATTGTGCAAGCCTCGTCTTTTCGCGAGACGAGAACTCTTCAGATTTTACCCGTCCGTCACTCTCGGTACTTCGTCGCTACGCCAGGTCTTCGCTTCCTCTCCTCACGACTTTGCACCTCTTGCGCGACACGCCGGTTGAAGTCGCGATGAAGTCTGCCAAAGCAGCGTCCGGGGACACTCCGTCGAGTAGGAGGTCCCAGCCTGTCCGACAGACACGTACCAACCCGCCGCGCGTCTCCTCTGGCCTTCGTGGATCAGCCAACGGGCGGGACTCTCTTGCTGGCGGCACCGCCTCCGACCAGCCGATCGACATCTACCCTGCGATAACCTACTTCTCCGATGCCATTGCAGCTCTCCCGAAGGAGCTCGTCCGACACTTTACCCTGCTGAAAGAGGTCGATGCCAAAATCTTCGCTCCCGAAGATGCGCTCTTCAAGCTCGTCGACGCCGCCATGAACGCTCCCCCTCCCCAGCCCCGACCGACGAACGATGCGTCCAGCAGTGTCGCGCCTGCGTCAGCTCCGATGAGTGCGCAGAATAGTTCCAGTGGAGGTACTATCAGCGGCCCAGCCCCCCCTCCTGCTCCCTCGACCGATGGCTCGTACACGACGTCCATTTACGACCCCAGCAACTTTCCTAGGAGACAGCTGTTTCGACAGACAGCTTATAAGATCCAGGAGATGCTCGGGTCACTGGAAGAGAAGAATCATGTCATCTCGACTGCCAACGACGCTCTCCAGAAACAGCTCGCCCGAATTGACGACGTCTGGCCGCACGTTGAGAACGAGTTCAGCGACGAGGCGAAGTGGGGGAGCACCTCACATTGGGCATACCCCGAGAACAGAGCCGCTACTAAGGCAGCACACACCGAGCGTTCACGGCGCGAGGGTGCCGCTGCCATTTCTGCCGCTGCCCAGCAGCTCGCAGAGGAAGCCGCTGCTCGGAGCGAATCAAGGAAGCAAGCTGTTCAGGCGAAGAAGAGCCAGAAGACAGTGCCTCAGGAATCGGACTTTGATGACGCCGAAGGCCGCAACAAGCCAGAAACAGGCAAGAAAGGTCATGGAGGTGGCAAAGCGCGCAAAGCGGCGGAGACCGCCGCCAGCGTAGGCTTGGGCATCTCAACAAATGGCACCACGAACGGAACGGCACCGCAACCCAAGAGACGCAAGGTCGAGAAGACGCCTAGCGGAAACAACGTGACGGAACGGGCCATGAGCACCGTCTTCGGAGCTACTGCGTCAAAGGCGAAGACTACAAGCCCCAGGGAAACCCCCGCGCCAGACGGCGGCCCGAAGAAGCGAAAGGCCCTGCCGACTGGTACCGGGCAGGCTAAGAAAAGGTATGTCACCCCCGGGCGTTTGCCTTTGGATCGTTTGACGTCGGTTGCTGACTTCCGAATCAACAGCAAAAATGGAGCCGCCGGTATGTCCCCATCGGTTGCTTCGTCCCCTGTAATGAGCACCTTTCCCGACCCCGTGTTACCACGCGGGTCTCCCGCGCCGACTATTACCCCGGTGCCTCCTGCTCCCAAACCTCCCACTGCTTCACGGGCCAAGCAGAGTACGACGCAAGCGGCGGTAGATGGCGGCAAGCAGTCTCGGCCGCCATCATCTGCGTCGACCAAGCCAAACGGAGCCGTCCCACCACCGACGCCCGAGGCTGCGCCCTTGGCGCCTTTGCCAAAGCCTGTTGTCGAGGCCAAGCCGGCCGCCAAGGAGCCTTCCGTGCCGCCTGCGCCGGAACCCGCGAAAAAGGAGCCTGAACCAGTCGAGGCGACGGTCAAACCAAGTATACCTGTGGTGAAGCAAAAGAAGGAGACACCGAAACCCGAGGAACCAGAGACGCCCGCCGAGCATACACCGGTGCCTCAGACGATCACCGCGGCCACAGTGACGAAGAGCGGACGGGCCAGTAAACCATCGACGCCAGCGATGGCTACGTTTCAGGAGGCAGCAAGACCAAAGTCGGCCCGCAACACAGACGGCAATAGCACGAGCAAGCGGAAGAAGAACCACATAGTCACAAACAGCAAGGCTACCAAGACGGCAGACCAGACCGAGGACAGCGAGGATATCGAAGACGCGGAAACCCAAGCCGGCAAACGCAGCTATGACTACACAGAAGACGAGCCTACGTATTGCTACTGCACCAGCGTGAGCTACGGCGAGATGGTAGCCTGCGATGCAAACAACTGCGAGCGGGAGTGGTTCCATCTCAACTGTGTGGGCCTCAAGGTAGCCCCCAAGGGAAGCTGTAAGCTTGTTTCCACCACATCTTGAAGAGTAGAGGCTAACTGTTGGCGTAGCGAAATGGTACTGCGAAGAGTGTCTGCAGCGTTTTTCGAAGCAAGGCAAGAAGCTGAGCCACAAGTACAACGTGCTACCGGACTCCCTGAATATGCGCAAGCAACGAGCCCCCCCGTACTGAGTGGGCCGGGTCGAGCCAACACGCAAGTGGCGTCTAGGGATAGCGGCGAACACGAATGTCCTTTAGAAAAGTGGTGTCCCACGTTATATACGGCGTTGGCTTCATTTGGCCATTTGGCCATTTGGCATGGAAGTTGATACAATGCGGTTTTGTCCACTCCTGGATACCTGAGCATCAGGATCGCGGGGTAAATCGACGAGGGGGCAGCGGTACATACCACCAGGCTGCCCCCTTGGGAAATGGAGTAACAGTACATACTGCCGGGACGGCAGAGGGCGTGTGGTGTTCCTTGAAGGGTTCAGCTGGGCGGCGGCGATCTGGCCCGTCATCTGGCCCGTCGTGTGGAAGAGCCTCCCCCCCGTGGGCGGCGGGGGATGAATATTGTCTGACTACCCCTTTTGTTTTTCTTTTGCGTGTCCCTAATCGGGATAGGTGGGCATCTAATCGGGAGCTAGAGCTCGAGCAGCACAAACGTTTCCATTAAATGAGAATTGCATGTCATGACTACTAGGAGATGGGGAAGTGTCTCCCCCCCACCTTCCTCTTCCGCACTCCTGCCTCATCGGACGGCTCTCGTTTGGGCTTTATGCCGTGGTTCCCCGGTGCTTGGGCCTGGCGGGTTTCAACTTGGGAATTCCGCGGAAGCTGTGCCGGCCATTGGAGATGAAGCTCCTGGGGACCAAAGTGGCGGAGGAAGGTTCAGTGGCTTACATGAGTTCGCCAAACATGCCTGCGCCTGGCGGTGAAGATATGGGAAAGGCGAATAGGAAGAGAGGGAAAAGGGGGCGAGCTTCGCAGGTTCGTGGGATCTGAATACGGTGACGGCCCGCTGGGGTCTAAAAGCCCCTCCCCAAGGCTTCTACGGTAGAAAGAATGGACAGGCAAGATGAGAGAGTATTCTTGGCGAGTGGTTGGGGCCGTCGTGCGTTAGAGTAGTCTCAGTGCAAGAGGGGTTCGGTCCCGACTGTTTTGAACGAGCTGAGCTGGGGTCGGTAGGGGTTTCCGGAGTGAAGGTTTGCGGTGACGGGGACCCTCTCACCCTCCCCCCCCCGTTTTTTTTATCAACCCTTGCCTCCTTGCTAGGTTGGGAAAAGGAGGGTGTGCGGATGAGCCGCCCTTGATGCGTGGCCTGGAAATGGGTTGGGTGTATATGAAGCTTGGGGGGAGGGGGCAAAAAAAAGGAAGACGTCTGAGGCTAAAAAGTCGTATGAGTTGCTTTCCTATCCGAGTTGGGCATGGGTTATTAGGACAGAGACACTGGGCCGGACTGGGCCTTTTTGAGGGGAAAACCTGGGGTAGGTTTGGCGGATTGTGAGTGGTTGAGCGGGGAAAAGGGGGCTTTATCTATTTGTTGTCGCTGGATGGTGGTGGGACAAACCCGAGTGGTTTGGTCGGTCACGTTGGAGACAAACCGCGCTACATTAGATCTACCATCGCAGGACAGGGCAGGCAGGGAGTTGCTCGTTGCCTTGCCATGCTCGTTGGCAAATATTTGCGAGACACACACACACACACATACACACCCACCAGGTATGTGAGTTTGATGAGACTAGGTCAGGCACGTTCGTGTATTGGGGGACGCAGGCTATGGTTTAGCGGATGCCGGCGCGCCGGTGACTTCGTTGGGTATTTCGTGCGCGTGACCCTGAGGGGGGCTGTTACTATGACTAAACCGCGAAGCAACCATGACGGGGTCGGGCAGGTCACGAGAAGGACGACGGGCTGGGTGCAAGGGTCTGGCAGACGTGGTGGACATGGCGCCACTAGGAGGCATTGACGGGGACGTTTCTCAGCTATTGACTACTACAGGGCGGTTGTGTCGGCGCTGAACGGAATCCTCGAGTCTCGCAAGTCAGAATCGCTTGATGGTTGAGAGCTGTTTGCGTACAATAACACTCCGTCCAGGATAATGGGAATAGAAAGGGTGCGAGGGACGCATAAGAGCCCAGAGAATGCTAGGCCCGGTACCGACAGGGTGGCACGAGGCGGCTGGCCTCGGGCTATCACATTTTTTTCTTCATACTGAAATTTTTTCTTCTCCTTCTGTTTGATTTTTCGGGTGGTGGATAATCTGGGGCAATACTACGCGGCCCCCATCGAAGTGCAGGTTTGTCCTCGAGTTCGAACCCACCCAACCGGAGATCCGCCAGGGGTGCTAGGATCCTCCCGTTCAAGGTCCGAGAGTGCAGTGAGTACAACAGGAAGCGGGCTCGGTGTTGCTGTCCAGGCCTTGCAAGGAGTCGTCCGGGCTTCTCGGCTGCATGTTTGCAGATGCAGCTTGGAGCGAGGGGTCGAAACTGCGTTGTGCCAAGTTGCATGAGAGAAGGAGAGTGTCTTGACTGACCCAACGCCCTTTACATGGACGGCATGTCGTAGTTGCTCGCCCTACGCTCGGGAACACCCCTTCCAGTAGACAGGTCGACCCCGTTCCCAGCTCGGAACCCTTTGTTGCCGCTTCAGACCCAACATTGTTTGCCTGGACGTGTCTTCTGCGCACAGCCCGACTTGCTACATAGTACTCTCGCCTCGTTCGGTAGAGGTCAGATGACTGCTGGATGAGGTGGCTGGATCCCATGGTTCCCGGTCCAAGCAGGTTGGATGCCAAGCATGCCATCGCCTCGCCTTGCTCCCTCAGTATGCCCAATCTTTCAATACTCGGATTCGCGGTATTGGCATCTCGCCATCGCGGTCACAGGGACGGGAATTAGTCAGGTCGGGCGGTCCATCCGACGACCGGAACGGACGTCTCGGGTGCGGCACCGGCCTTGTCGGGCTGGGTGTTGTAAAGCGACATCGCAGTGCCCAGTCACCAACTAGCTCGGTGTTTGGGACATGGGGACTGGGCAATGCCAGCGCCGAGCCGAGATGTCCATGACGGACGTGTTGGTGTGTGGGCGAGAGAGACTATGTGAAAGACCACCTCGGCCTCTGGAGATCAGGACATGTCGTCGGCGATCTCGAGGCTTGAGCTCGCATATGCAGCATGCCGATTTGCTTTTTACTCGTATGCACGTACGGAGGCTGCTCACACGGTTTGTCATTGAAATGGTGCAATTGGAAGGGAGCGCAACTGCAACAGTACGTTGCGGAAAGTACTTTTTCTGGGCTTAGGTAATTTCGGTCTTACAGGCATGTCCCATTGCGCAACGTGACTCAACCTATTGGAGGGAGACTGACAGAGGCTGCAAAAAGAGAGAAAGGAAAAAAGGTCTCGGCGCCGTGCTGCGAAAAGTTTTCTCCAGTTTCCATTTGTCGTCGCTTGTATCCATTACGTTTCTGAACCGCACTTCTTCGCCTCATCTGATCACCTTCCCAAAGCCAAGCTTTTCCGACACCAACCAAGCAAGCACGGTAAGCCTGTTCAGCGTCCAGCCCAGCGCAGCCAACGGCCCCGGCGCTGCGCTGTCGCCAGCATTCTCGTTGGTTCTCCGCAGTCGTAATTCTCTGATGGTGGAATTCGATCGTCCTGGGCTACCAAGAATACCTCCGTGACCCCTTGAACACGGCCTCGGGTCTGGGTCCCCATTCTCTCTCGACAAGCAATCCATCTATTCCGTTATGCCTTGCCCAGCCGCACCTTCGGTTGCCTATAGCACGGCGTTTTAGTCGCCCGTCATCGTCTGCACTTGACCTGAGTTGTCTGACTGTTTTTTGGGCTGCTGAGGTACGGCCTCCTCCGATGGTTGGGAATGGCCATGACTACATTCGGTCAGACAAACGGCCTGTCCGGGGAGCATTGGACGAGCGGCGACGAAGATGGCCATTCCCGGACACATACTGCGCATCATTCGTTTGATCATTGAGCAAACCTCAGCAATGATGCTGTGGTTCTATGCTCACTGCCCACTGGCCCAACTCGACACACCCATGACATTCTCATTACCAAATGCCCGTCCAATGGTTGGTTGCCCGCCTGCTTTCGTGTGTCGGCAGCACTTTCTTTCTCCTGTCGCGGCTCGCCCATCTGGCATCCCCAACGTGGTGTCTGTCCCTGGACCCGACCCCGGGAAGGGGAAGGGACCACGTACGGACATCGTCTACCGTCCGTGAGCACGAGGGAAGCATGTCACCTGGGGGCGTGGTGGTTGGTCTTGCCTGGTGTACACCACCGCGCCGTGTCATGTATTGACAAGGCTCCGCCTCCATCTGGACGAAGCTCTGGATGCTCATGTGACGAGGCAGGTCTCCATTCCTTTGTTTCCATTACCCAATTTTTGGCCAAGAGCAACTCTTTGCCTCTTTACCTTGCTATATTAATCTGCGGGCCGCTCACACACGCGCCCGGCTACTAACGCCAGTTACAAGCCACTCCTCCGTATGACGAGCGTCCACAACTGCCTCTTGCGATACACACCCAGTCACAGTCCATCCACCACCATCCAGCCCAGTTGCGATCTGTCGTCCATCTTTGCCCCTGGTCCTTCTGAGTCTCACGCCCGGTCCATATACATCGTCTCTGGCTCTCCCCCCCTTTGCTATATCACCTCAACGATTGCGAAGAGCACGTCTTGTCTTGTGCCACGCACACCCTTCCCCAATCCCTATTCCCCGTCTCGAACTACTTCCCCGAGTTCCTCGTCTCGGTCTAGTATCCTCACAAACGGTTGAGGTTGGACCACCTGAACACGCCAAACCACCATCTTCCCCGCATCGCCATAACTTCCTCTTACCTAAAAGCCCCGGTCTTTGACTAATAGAAAAGACTCTTCTGGCTTTGCTCTGTTGACGGTCTCGGGCCCCCGGCCTTGGGTGTATTTTCCTTTGCGACTCACACAGTTTCTGCGCATTACCATACGACTACCACCTAGCATCTGCCGCCCTCCTCCTTCCCCCCTTAGCGAGTCCAGGGCCAGGCAAACAAGACAAAGACACAAACGTATGTGCGTTTGGTTGTGTGTCGTGCAAACAATTGAAACAGCAAGCGCAGCGACCCGCGGACCTTCAAGGTCAAAGTAAAGTTCCCGCAGCAATGGCAGCTCCGCGACCTTTCCAACCACAAACCTCGTCCCAGGACCACACCCCCCCGGGCGCTCCTCCGACAGGCCACAACCAATTCCAGACTCAGACCAAATACAAAATGGACAGCCCGGAGCCGCACCGACCTGCGACCCCCGAGAAGAATGGCAGGTCCTCCTTCTCATCCATCCGTGAGAACGACTCCGACCTGGCCCAAACCTTCACCTCCTCCAAGATCTCTTCCTACGCGCAGAAAGCAACCGCCGTGTTCGACGACTCCTCCGCCTCACCCTCGCCAATTGCCTCCCCTACCCTCGAGATGGGCGAAGTCCAGTTCATGCCTCCTGTCACTCTGCCCAGCAGCAAGCTCCATGGCGGCTGGTACCCCGCCTCCAGCTTCAAGGGATGGAAACAGATCAATGTCAAGGGCAAGACGGCGAGCAGGAGCTTCAGCGACCTCCAGGCCTTGCACATGGCATGGAGCACTCCCCCGGCCTTGCCCAAGGGCGAGAACAAGCTCAGCAATGGCCGCGCACCTATGGAGAAGCTCCCCCTCGAGATGCTCGGTAAGTCACTGACTATTATGTTGTTCGAGACCTCACACCTCTAACACGGGCATAGGGTCCATCATTGAGCTACTCGTTCTCGATATCCCCCCGCCATACGGTACTGCGCGCCGTAACGTCGACCTGATGTCGCTGCTGTTGACCTCTAGGACGATTCATGCCGCAACCCTCAACACCCTGTACAAGCACATCACGATCCCTCACTCGAGGATCTTCCGCAAGTTCCTGTCCAACATCACAACGCACTCTGCCTTGGGTACGATTGTGCGGCGTATCGATTTCAGCCACTTCAACAACGCGACCCTGTTCGAGTCTGCCAGCGAGCGCAAGGGCACTCGGAACCTGACGGCGGAGACGTTGGTGCAATGCTTGGAGTTGACACCGCACCTCCAGGAGTTTCTGGCCATGGAGCACATCGACGACGACCTCGGCGCCGAGGTGCTGCAAAAGCTCTTCTTCGATATGCCCCGGCTGCAAGCGTTGGACTTTGCTGGGTGCACCTCGCCCGCGTTCAAGAACTCGTTCGCATCCCTGGTGGCAATGGACTGGCCCGAGAGGCTCTCCATCACGCGCCTGTCGTTCCACAAGTGCCTGACACTGCCGTCGGCGCTGTTCGAGGAGATTCTGCCGCGACTGACCAACGTTACGCACCTGGACCTTGCCCAGACCAAGATCACGGACCGAGCGTTGCAGTCCATTCCGAAGACGGCCAAGATCACCCACTTGAACATTGCCAAGTGCACGCTGCTCACGGCGCCCAATGTTATCGACTTCCTGGCGACCCATCCGGCGGTCAAGAACCTGGTCTACCTGAGTGTGGCCACCGACGCTCGGAGCCACCAGCTCTTGGATGTGGATGACGTCTCGCAGCTCATCCCTGTGCTGCCCAAGACGCTCAAGTCGCTGAGCCTGAAGGGTAGCCGCATGGACGACGCGCACATTGAGCTGCTGCGGCCGCTGACCAAGCACCTCGAGGAGCTGGCCGTCGGGCGCAACATGGATGTCAATGCCGCTGCTAAGCTGCTCGAGCCGGCGGACGAGAAGAAGGAAGAGGAGCCCCACACGGTGCGGTACCTCGACCTGTCGGACCTCTGGGGCAACGAGCTGGACATTGTTGACCTCTTCTCGAGCCGAAACTCGCTGCTAAGACCGAGCTTGGTGCCACTCGAGGTGGTGGAGATCTCGGAGCAGTCGTTCAAGAGCCTATCTCGGAACAGAACGCTGGAGCGCATCGGCTGGTCCCTGCAGGAGATCGGAAGCCGATGCTGGATGGTCCGACTGCAGGACCATCGTAAGGACCAGGACCGCGGTTACCGATGGTGGAAGATGGGCGCCGACAACTGGGGCATGCGCAAGATCCCTGTCGCGCGCGCCGAGGTCGGCGGCATGTACGGGTCCTTTATGTTTGGCCGCAAGCTCTGATTACACACAACGACCGCACTTAGTGTCTGGGGCGGCACAGCATTTCATGACGCATCGGTAAAAGCGACGGCGAGCATTAGCATTGTTTGCTTTCCTGGTGTTTTGTGGTTTTTTTCTTTCTTTCTTCTTCCAGGACTTTTCGGTTTTTCAGCTTAACAGCTTTTCATTACTCATCGGGCGGCGTTTGGGATACCAAAACCAAAAAGTACTTTGTTTCGCGGATTTCGGAGTGGAACCATGGCGCCGGTCAAGACAAACTCGGAGCTGCGACGGGCAAAAAAATAGGATTTGACGGCCTCTTCAATATCAATACAGAAGGAGAGAAAGGGAAAGAGAAGTGTTGCGAGCAGCGACGATGAACGACTGGTTTTGCTGTACGTTATTTACGAGAAGTAGCATAAACCCTAATCCTTATACTGAACGCGCTGTGCCAATGGGATACCCGTGATAGCTTCTAACGCTGCTTCCATGTTGTCGCAAACCCCAAAGGAGACAGAAGCTTCCCCCTCGTACCTGCAGGGGCCTACATCATCGTGCCGTCACCCCGAACCATGGGGGACCAGCATACCCCTGCTCCGGAAACAGCTCCTGAGTTCAGTCGCCTGGGAAATCTCACCTTAGGTAAGCCGTGCCACGCTTCTTGGCGGGAAACTCAACTCATCTATCCCACCCATTCCCTGTGTCGTGTCCTTGGGTTCGTTAGCTAGCCTTACGCGCTGACCTCCCGAAAAAAGGGACAACTTTAAAAAAAAAAAAAGACAGCTTGTCAGTCTTATCGACATACAGCTCAAGGACAACCGTCTTCCCTCTCCCAAAAGAGCCTTTTCTTACAAACTCTCGATCCCGTGTACGGCTGGGTCTCCACGACCTAGTCGTCGTCGTCTTCGTCGTCGCCCATCATGGCCTTTGGCTGGGCAGAGTAAGTAGTAGCCACATGTCCCCCTGCTACCCCAACTACATCATCGCCCCGATCCCCCCCGATCCCCCTCGACATCACCACCAACCAAGCCACACGCACACAGACGTCGTGAGTTGAACGAAGCTAACCGCGCCCCGGCTCGCACCCAGAATCCGCTCCCTCCTCCTCGTCTTCGGCCCAATCCTCCTACCCAAAGCAATCTCCGCCTACAAGTCGATCCGCGATGCGTCCCGGTACAGCGGCGAGCCCGTTGCGCTGCCGCCCCGGGTCGCCCGCGCGCTCGCCGTCCTGACGGGCATCGTCCTCGTCTACCTCGCCAAGTCCCTCCCGCCGTTCGCGCCCGAGAACGTCTTCGCCCTCACCCAGTCCCGCCTGCAGATCCCCGTCGACGTGCTCTTCACGCGCCTCTCGTCCCTGCGGCCCGACGGCCTCCTGTCAGCGGCCGACGAGCGCCTCCGCGCCCGCTTCGTCAGCCTCGAGTCCCGCCTGCTGTACCTGCACCTCGGCCCAGACGCCCTCGCCGACTGCCCCTTTTGCAAGTCCGAGGACCCAAAGTCCTTCTTCTACTACGCCCTGCCGGCCATCGTCCTCCCGCACCTCATCAACCTCATCATCCTCGCCGCCGTCACCTCGGGCTCGCTCACCGGCCGCGACGGCGCGCGCTGGCGCTCCCACGCGACCGTGGCCGCCGTCGTCCTCGCCGTCGCCGACGCGAGCCTCGTCAACTCGTACGACCACTCGGCCAACTCGGCAGCCCTGCGCCTCCAGGACCTCGACTTTTTCTACTGGAAGGCCCGCGCGCTGCGCCACGTCGGCCTGGCGGTCCTCGACGCCGGCGTCGGCGCGCTGCTGTTCCTGAGCGCCACGCGGCGCGCCTTTGTGCTGCCGCCCTCGCCCGCCGAGCGCATCGAGGCCGGCAACCGCACGCTGACGACGGTCAAGAGCAAGCTCAGCGCGCTCGGCATCGTCAAGAACACCACCCTCCGCGACGAGGAGCTACGCGCCCGCAGCCAGGCCTACTGGCTGCGCGAGGGCCAGATGGTGCGCGAGGCCATGGAGGAGCGCGAGGTCGTCGAGAGCGTCAACGACGCCCTCGAGAACCGCATCAACATTCGCCAGGTCACGGCCGACGCCGAAATGTACACCGAGGGCGTCTTCCGGCTGCCGGACGAGATGGCCCAGTCTTAGACTGCGGGGTGCGACGACAGGGGGGGGTTTCCGTTTTTGGAGGTTAAGATGGAAGAAGCGTGCTACCACTTCTACACAATTGAAGTTTTGAAGCAGAACACAAGCAGACCAACCAGCCCTCTGCCGTACCGCGTGCCATCGGGGTGAAAGAGAGCAACTCACGAGTGAATGCGCGACCCGGAAGAGAAACAATGTTTGCTTTAATACGCCTCTAGGGCTGGTAATCTGTCACAAAGTATTTCCCGGCCATCCATCCATCCATCCATCCATCCCGCCCGTGTCCCTTCATTTCCCACCCCGTAGTCCTGGCGCATCCCGTCTTTGCGTTTATACCAAGAGGGGGGAGGGGGTTCCCGTTTCTTATTCTTTTTTTTCTGTATAGCAAAGCGACGATGAAACAATGCTGGACGCTCTCGACTCGCCCTGAATGCCTCTCTGGTCCCTGTGCCCGCGCGAGCGCTCTCGCCAACGCCAGTGTGAATTCTTTCTTCAATATATAAACATGTTTTGTTCAGGGAAGAGTGTGAGGAGATGAGGAACTCTGGTTCACCCGGCCTCCCGCACGCTGACCTCCCCACGGGGCCACCGGCACTGGAGCACTTCCGGCGTTGACACTGGAGAGAGCTCACTGGTCCGACGACGCCCCGTACCACGACGGCCTCCACTATGCGCCGCCCCGGGTGTCGGGCCTCGTCGGACCCGTCGCCGCGCTGCTGCCGCTGTCCTTGCGGTCGCGCGGCGGGCCGCCGCCAGCCTGGTCGAGCCCCTCCTCGGCGCTGCGCTCGAGGAAGCCCGCCCACAGGTCTGCGAGAGACTCCTTGTTGGCCGACGTGGGCGTCTCGGAGAAGAAGTCGGCGCTCAGCGACGGCGTGCTGGGCGTGCGGTGGAAGGGAGAGGCCGGGAGGCGCAGGTTGTTGTTGGAAGTGCCGGGGCGGGCCAGGCCGGCCTGCTCGCGCTGCTCGTCGGTCCAGTTGAGGTAGCCGGCCATGACTTGCAGGATCTGGAAGCGCTTGGGGTCGGAGCGGTCCAGCATGAGGAAATGCAGGAGGTGGTTCGTCACGACTTGTCTAGAAAAAGGGGTCAGTGGCCTGCTGGCAGAATACAACGACAGAATGGGACGCACCTGTCGACGTTGTCCTCGGGTTTCGTCTTCTTCAGGTATCGGAGGGCCTTAGTCAGATGGTCGTTGAGCACAATCGCCTCGTGCCGCAGCTTGCCAATCAGGAGGTTCTTCTCCTTGACCTCCTTCTCAAACGGCGCCGTCCTCTCGAGCTCCTTGGTGAGGTTCTCCTTGGCCGCCTCGGCCTCGGTGGCTCGGGAATCCGCTTCCTGCACGAGCTTCTTCATCGCCTGGAGCTGCTCCTCCGACGTCTCGACCATCTCCCGCAGCTCCCTCTTGCGCGCGTCCTGGATCTCGCGCAGGGCTTTTTGCAGGCTGTCGATGACCTGCGAGTGTTGATCCCGTTCGGACGCGGCGCTCTCGTAGCCGTCCCGGAGGTTGGCAACCTGCTCCTCCAACTCCGATACCTTCTCGGCCAGGCTCTCCTTGACGGAGCGCTCCTCCATGGCGATGACCTCCCACTCGCCCATGGCGTTCGTTGTCGTCTCCACCTCCTCCTTGAGGCTGGCGACGAGCCTCGTCAGCTCCTCGCGCTCCTTGACCCAGTTCTGCTGGGACAGGTTGCTGCGGCTGCGCAGGCTCGTCGCCTCCCGCGAGGTGTCCTGGAGCTCCTCCTTGAGCTTGGCCACCTCCTCCTCGGACGCCTTCGCGTCATTCTGCAGCTCTTCGTTCTGGGATTCGAGCTCTTCGATGCGCTCCTTGGCCTCTTCCAGCTCGGCGCGGTCGCGCTTGAGTCGCTCGCCGAGCGTCGACTTGAGGTGGTTGACGCGCTCGAGGAGGGCCTGGTAGCTCTCCTCCGCCTGCTCCTTGGCCGTCGAGGTCTCCTCCAGTTCCGACTTGAGCTGCGTGACGGTCTCGCTATGTGTCTCCTGGATGGTTTCTAGTTGCTTCCGCAGTTGTTCGACCTCTGAGCGCAGCGCCTCTCGTTCTTTTGTTAGGGCGTCCAGCTTTGCCGTGGCATCGGGGCCGGCGGCCTGCTGTTCTGGGGCCGGCTTGTCTATCGGTGGGTTCGCATGTCCATTGCTGGTCGGTCGCTCGGTGTGGCCATTGGATGTTGTGTCTTTCTCCGTTGGCTCGTCGGCGCCGGCTTCTTCTATGGGTGCAGAGGCCTGCGATGGTAGTTAGACACCTGCGCAGTGGAGATGGCAGGGGGATCAAGGGAGTGTTACCTGCACCGGGGTTTCCGGTTCATCATCGCCATCCTCAGCATTGTCTGGCTGAGGGTCTGCGCTGTCCGTCTCTATAGGTTCCTTGGGCTTGTTTGCAATCTTCTTCTTCTTGCCGCCCTTCTTCTTCCCTGCAGGTGGTGGCCGTCTGCGTTAGCCCATTCCATCGCGCCATTTGTGGGTTTTTGGGGGGGGGTGGGATTCAATCGGCGAACCTGAAGATGCGTTTTGAACCGGATCAGTAGAGGGAGCGGCGGCCGACATGGTGACTTCTCAGATGCATCGGGAGGTGCGTATAGCCCTTTGAGCTGGTGGGCGGGGACAGGAAGCTCCAAATGGTCGAGGGTCGTTGGGGAGGATTGCGAGATGTCGACAGTTTGTACCTGGCGGGTTTGCATGTACTTACACCACGTAAGCTGGGTTCGCAAATTAGCGAGCGTGTTCACTTCCCACGCGGAAGGTGCTGCTCCCCAGTCCAGGTCCCCCACACTGGTCAAAGAGCTCCACAAAACGCGCCGATAGCGATAAGTGGTGGCTAAGATGCAGCGGGCATGGCGCTTAACTGCTAGGTGCGCGAGTGCCACAGGTTAACGGCGCTCTTTGAACTTCAGCTACCAAAGGGTCGATTCAAAACCAGTCTTCAATTGTATGATTTCAATTGATAGTATTTCAATATCCTACCAAGAGAGTACACAGTCTTTTATTGAATTGACACGGTGTTCCGAGCACAGGATCACCATATGAAACGGCGGCCTCAGCAGAAGGTCAACTGACTAACACGAGCCATACTTTGTGAATTTGAGGCCGTCTTAGCGACTCGATCTAGCCTGAGCAGCGAAGGAAAAGACAGCCAATGACATATGTGTCTAGAACCATCATCCATCATCGCCTCTGGAGTCGTCAGATGACCTTATACGAGCTGCATGAGCATGACAGAGGGATACGACATCTCCATGGTCCAGTACGAGATGCAAGGTGCGCCGCCAACTGGCGCAGGCCATGGCCAGGCGGCGGGCCTAGGCAGCTTAGTCAGTCTTATCTTATCGGCCAACGACTTCAAGAAGCGTCGGCTCCGTCTGGAAATTTTTCCCTTTCCTCTTTTCTTCTTCACATATTTTCCCCTTCGCTGAAATATCACTAGAGCAAGCGCAATCTCCATTGACTTGTTCACTTTTTGACGCTGAAGTAGACCGATATCCGCCTTTTATAATCCCGGTGCTTGCCCAAATTCTCTCGAATTTCAGATGGGTGCGACGGGTTCGCTATGCGCGTACATGCTCATCCTTGATTATATATATAATACCACCCATGTTTTGATTTGACTTGACTCCTGAGCGACAAACCGCAGTAGAATACCCTATGCAGAACAAGAATTTTTTTGGTAGACAGAGAGAAACACTTCGTGACGAGGGGATATCATTAAAGAGCTTTAGGCCTTGGACTTTCTCCGGCCACCCTTCTTCGCCTTGCCCTTGGCCGATTTGGGCGTCTCAGCCTCCGCGGGTACCTCCGCAGCAGCAGCCTCCTCCACAGGCTTCTCCTCGACCGGTGCGGCCTCGATTGCCTTGGGCTCCTCGGGAGCGTCGACTGCCATCGGCTCCGGGGCCGGCGCGACGGCCTCCTTCAGCTTAGGGGCCTCGAATTCATAGCCAATCTCCTTGAGCTTCTCGGCGCGCTCCAGCCTCTTCTTCTCCTCCTTGGACACCTTGTGAGTCCAGCCCGACTCCGTGCGGGGCTTCGCAATCTCGCCAGCGGCGATCTTGTTCCACGGGATCTTCTTGAAGCGCTTGTTGGCGCCCTTCCAGACGTCCTCGTGCAGCTGGTCGCGGGGAACGGTCTTGACCTTGAGGATGTGGCCGAACAGGAGGTAGCTGTCCATGGTCTTGGAGACGATGTCGGCCGTGCTCTCCTCGGCGAACTCGATGAAGGCGTAGTGCTTGCTGGCACCCGTCTTCTTGTTGCGCGCCAATCTCAGACGGCTGATGGGGCCGAATTGTGAAAAGTAACCCTTCAGCTCGTGCTCGTAGAAACCGTGGGGCAGTCTCGAAATGAAGACGACGCCGGGCTCTTCCTTCTTGCCGTTCGTCAACTGCTTCTGCTTCTTGGCGTGCTTCGGGACCTTGCCAACGTCCATGCCCTCCTTGAACGTTCCCTTGTCTGCGGGCGCGTTCTCGGCGTCGGAGTCGAGGCCGGCGGCGAGAGCCTGAATGTCGGCGTCAACCTCCTCGTCCGAGTTGCCGGCATCGTCCAGGGCGACAACAGACTCCTCAGCAACCTCGGCGGTCTCAGCGGTCTCGGGCTCGGCCTCCTCGACGGGTTCGGGTTTCGACTTCTTCGACTTCGCGTTCGCCTTGACGGGCTTCTGCTTCTTCGCGGCGACGGGCGATGCCTGAGCCTCCTCGGGAGCTGTATATGGCGCTTGTCAGCCAAGGTGCGAGTGCGGCATTGGGTCAATCCATACCTTTGCGCTTGGGAGCCTTGTCGACCTTCTCGACCTTCTCGACCTTCTCGACCTTGGTGGTCTTCTTGGTCACCTTCTCAGGCTCGACCTTCTCGACCTTCTCGACCTTGGCGGTCTTCTTCGCCGCAGGCTTCTCGGCCGCAGCCGTGGCCGCTATCACAAAGAATTAGTTACCGGTATAGGAGTCATGCAGCATGAAAAAAGCTTACATCTGGTTCTTTTTCTCAATTCGGGGGCCATTTTTGCGATTTTGTTCTGGCACTGTTGTCGGTCCCTGGGAAAATCAATCGTCTCCACACGATCGAGTACGGTCGCGAAAGCAAAAAAATAAAAATTTCCCCGATTCTGCCGTCGAGATATGGAGGCGGTGAGGCCAGGACCCCGCTAACGCACTGCTCCCAACTGCCCGAGCCAGCGACTTTTTAGCGGGGCATCGGTGCTGAAAGAGCGACGGAGCCGTCCTCTCCCAGCAGTGCAGGCGCTAACCTTAATTGTTAACTGGCTGATATTGACTGCAGGAACTCACCTCACCTGCACTCAATGAGCGGCACCCTCATGTTAAAGGTGTTGATACCTGCCTCTTCCAACGACGACGACAACTTGAGCTGATAACCCAATAGCGACAACGACTGTGAACTTTATTCCTTGGTCAGCACTCTCTAGTCTCATTCAGGTTCAAAGACAGCCCTCAATCTTACACTTACCGACACCGGGGTCACAACGATCCTCAACAAGCAGCACGAGAAACCTGGAGCTGATCGGAACACCAGGTCGCATAACGGAATCCAATCAACCGCAATCAGCCCTTCCTTAACAAACGGCGTCGCCGACAGTACTCGGAATAACCTCTCTCCCACAGCCTTGAAGGTTCGACAAACACCTCCAAGTCCCACAGCCTTACATACACTACCCTCTCATCACTGCAGCATTTCTCCTTTTGACAGCGCGAGGTTCTCAGCAAACATCGCTATCCTTGCCTGAGGACTCTTCTGTCACCACAAACATACTAGGACCTTGAGTCTGCACCGCCATCATTGTCCCGATTTTCTCAGACACGTGCTTCTCCCCCAAGGAGGCTCGAGCTCAACAGCATGGCTGACCACAGCATGGAAATGACGCATGCTGAGATGTGGGATGACTCCGCCCTCATAGACTCGTGGAACGAGGCCTTAGACGAGTACAAGGTGAGTGGTCCTCGGCGTCTCAGAACGGACGACGGTTCCCCTCGTGGAGCAGTGGCTGATCATCTCGGCAGAAGTATCACAGCATCCACGCCAAAGGAGGCAAGCTAGAAGACGGTGATCTTCAGGGGAATTCGGAACCCCAGTATGGCTCACCCTATCCTTTGAACATTTTGAAAGTTCGCCCAAGAATAGCCTCTAACATGTCATGATCGCCGCAGGACCGTTGACGCGCAAACGGTGGCGGTCGATCAGCCAGAGATCATAGACGACGCTGAGGGAGCCAACAAAACAAAGGAGGCGGGCAGCAGCACGGATGTAAAACAACCCATCGGCCCCAGAGGAAATCCAGGCCGATCAGAAAAGCTTGGCTCATCCGTTATGCATCTTGTTCGCGTCCACTGACGTGTTCCTTGTTCGCTCCAGGTCCAGACAAACCCAAGCAGCGTGCCCATCGCAAAGGCAATTCCGGGTCACGGCGGCAGCGGCCCAGGTCCTGCGACAATGGGCCCGCAGAGCCTTCTCGGCACAGGTATGAAAACGCTCCCGGCGGCCCAATGTTGGGACGACAGTGACCGTCGTCTCTCGGGGGATAGAATTATGAGGAAGCCAAGACTGACGACGGCGCCTCTGGGCTTGCAGTTCAAGACGAGAGCCTAAAGAGACTCTTGATGTCTTGGTACTACGCCGGATACTATACCGGGCTATACGAAGGACAGCAGCAGCAACAGTCAAAGTAAGCCCGGCGAGAACCGCGACATCGGGGCTGAGCGGCCTTCTGGGGCCTGTAACTAGGAAGCAAAGTTGTGTGGGGAATGGGGTGAGGTCGACCGTCCTGAGGAGCGGCTACAAGAGAGTTTATCTGATCGACGTGCGGGAGGGCGAGTTCTGTAACACGATCTGTTCCATCGTCCGATGATGCAACGGCGCCACACCGTTCCTTGTCTGAGATTCGCCGTGGCATGTGTCACACGAACGACAGGAGCGCAGTGGCAGCCCAGCAAGCGTCTTTTTTGGATTGCCGTACTGCCCGGTGTTCTCTGCGCGTGCTGGCCTTGGGACGGGGAGATTGGAATGTGGCCCCAGTCGGGGTCGGGCGAACTTGGGTTGGCGGGACCCGGTGCAACCTTGTGGCTTGCGACAGGAATTTTCAGCGGAATTTAGCGCGCCTCTCGTCCACCAACCCAAGAGTTCGTTTGGTTTCACCGTTGAACGGGTCTAGGCTTGGGTGTTTCTCCTCTCGCAGCAGCCCCGGCGCTCTACAAGCGATGTCGGGATTTTCAATGCGCTTCTGCTGCAAATCGGGGATTGAGGCCAGGCGAGGCGAGGCTGTATGCATGGGCAAGAGCGGACCAAGACCCGACAAGATAACAGCGCGGGCGACACAGAAGAGATGACACCGTCTAGCGCAGGGCCGCCAAGAACCTTGGGTATGATGAGGCCGGGGGAGTAGTTGAGATGAAATTTTTTTTGAATTCCAATTCCTTGTAGGGTCCCGATCGAAACAAGTCGCGAGGCACTGGGATAGAAACGCGGAGCTGCAGGTGTGCCCACCGATCCGCGACCTCGAACAGTTCAAGGTCCAGTTCTCGGGTGTGCGTTGGAACCCGGGTCCGCGTGTTGTGCGAGGAATGGCTGACTGTTTGGTGCATATGTGATGTGATGTTTCTCGGCGGATGATGTACTGTCGAGCAAACCGCATATGCACAGCGCTGCCATTCCTCTTTTTGTCAAGGTAGGCCATTCGTCCTGGACCGGCCCACCACTCATTAGCGATGCACGAGATGGTGCGGAGATCCTCCGGTCCGGAATAGTCATTCTCGTCGGAACCAGACGTCCATCCCATGCTGCAGACAGTGGTGGTCCACGCAGGGCCCGGGTCTGACGGGATTGGGAATTAGGTTGGGCTTGACAGGAGGCTGATGCGCCATGCCCGGCCAGCGCCTGAGCCAGGCTGCAACGCTGTCGACGTCAGGCCTTTCCACGACTCACCGAGCCCCAGAGCCCGCGCCGAGAGCCGGGAAGACCGGCATGGCGGTCGCCAGTAACATGAAAGTACCACGGAAGGCTGCGCGCGGCGTCTCGGCGTTGGGCGACTCTGCGACCTGGATCCGGAGGAAGGAAATTAGGTTGATGCGATGGCAGTGCTGGAAAGACAGCCAGCCGACAGTCTAGGGCGCCGTTGGACAGCCGGGCCCGTGGCAGGGATCTTGGCTCTCTTTATTCTCCGTTTTCTTTTGGCAGGCAGATACGTGGTATCCGGTATCACTAGAGGGATGGGAGGGGCAGAGGCCGACCGGCTAGCCGGGTTGAAGCTTCATGCTGGAATCTTGGGCGAGCCGGGCACACGGATGTAGGTACGAGGGATTTGGGATGGCAGAGTTGCTGTTGCAGTGGTGCGGCCGCTGACAGTGGGCGGCTAGATGAGCAAAGTTGTGACAAAAAAAAAGTAAAAAACAAGTCTGGATGACGAGTGACATTGGATCGGACCGTATGCTTGCGATTGGTGGTTGCGATCAACTCAAGAGTGTGGGTGGGTGTGGGTTTGGGTTTGGGTTGGGTTTGGCGACTGCCACCGCCACACTCGTCTCTGCGACTCTTGGGGCTTCTTGGTAAGGTGGACCGGGAAGAGACTCGTCCGTGATTGCGACCAAAAGGTGAAGCGGGAAGGCAGCAAGTGAGCACGAGGTGGTACCTTGGCACATGAAGGAGAAGGACGGGGGAGAGGGACGGGGGTGGGCCTGTTTCACCGTCCTCATAGGCTTGTTTGAGGCGACTGCACGCCCAGCATCAAGGTGTTTTGGTATACTGGCCCGTCTGGGTCGTGTGTGTGCGATGCCTTGCTATCCGTGCCGGCCAATGCCGGGTTCAGTGACCAGAAGGGATGAAAGAACGGTACGGTGCGTTTGTGTGATGGCAAGAGAAGCCGAATTCCGAGGGGGACAGGATGATGGATGCAGACGCCAGACGCCAGGCGCACGCCAGAGGCGGCGATGCAACTCGAGACCAAGACGGCGAGGAAGAGATGGGGGACGGAGGCAAGCACCGAGCACACACTCACCCGGCTTGGTGGGCTTGCATTCTGTCACAGGCACAGGAGCACGTGTTGGCTGGCCTGACCTAACGGCCTGGTCGAGGTGTTGAGTTGAACGAAGGAAGGGCAACCTCGAGACCGTTGAACGCTCGCTCTCGTGACGAGAAAGATACGTATCTCGCGGGCGACGCTAACGGCGAGCTTGTGCCTGACACATGGAGGCAGAAACTAAGGTTGATCAGTAGAGTTGTAGTCAGTCTGGGTACCTGCAGGAACCGATGTGGCCCAGAGGATGCAGAATAGTGGGAAATGACCTCAATACGGTGGGAAGAGGGTGGGACGCCATCCCGTCGCTCCGGCAGCTAAGGTAAAATAAAATGTCTTGTCAGGGGGGGGGGGGGGGGGGCTCAACCACCTTAATTGGCCGCATTAAGGTTTAGCACCCTTACCCTCTCCCCCTTCCCCCAAGACAGTGGACGGCGGTAGAGTTAATTTACTTCAGAGCCCCAGAGGAAGGAGGGAACAGACAAGCCTTCGGGGCATTTTTCTGGCACTTTGGGGCAGGAGGGTCATTGCGAGATCGGGGCATTAATCTATCTTGCCGCCGCCTACCTCACTAAGTTTAGTATGACGTGCAGCGAGCACTAACGGGCTTCCTTCAACCTTTGCAGCGACGACATGTCGATATGTCGACTCTCGACTCTCGACTCTGGCGAGACGCCCCTGCAAGCGAGGACCGAGTCCTCTGTTCCAGTTGCGAAGCCGTATTTCCGCTTCGCCATGCCCTTGAGGCCTCCTCAGCGACGGCGCCGGGCCACGCCCAGCGTGACCGTGACATGCAAAACCCTTGGGGTTCAACGTCGCTGGTGGGTCCGAGCGAGCTGGCGCCTTCGGAAGAGCGGCCAGGGGGGGCCACTTGGCGAGATGCCAAAACACGACTCGAGACGAATCTGTCACAGCTCCCGCATCTACCACCTCCTGGTGCAGCCTTTCGCCAAGTTGGCATCCGACTTTTTTTTTTCTTTTTCTTCCGTCCCCTCTTTCTCGACTCTGTTCCCTACCAACCGCTACGTACTGCTCGATTGCTGACCCAGAGACCACTCGCGATCGCTAGTTGCAGCGACGCCCCCCCGGTCGAGTGACTTCAGTCTCCTGTCCTACCCGCAGAGGGAGACACCCCGAGCAGGGTCATCCCAAGCGTTGGCCTTCCCCTGTGGCACACCAAGCTCCTCATCTGCATTGCTGCGGCTCCATTGGCAGCATCATCGGCCCTACATCTCATTCTCGTTCGTGCCTTTCTCCGTCCAGCCTTGGGCGTCCACCGCCATCCGTCATTCATCCGTTCGCCAAACTCCACCCCCCTGGGCTCCTGTTCCTCCCAACCCTGACTCCTGGAGACCCCTGCCACCACTCCCCACCCCATCATGTCTTGGCTTTTTGTTCTTTATTTGCACCAAGCTTGGGATGGCAATGCCGCGGCGGGCCTGTGCTTCGCGTGCTTAATCGGACGCTGCGTCCCCGAGCAACGAACTGTCTCCTCGACGCCCTCTCCCACGCAGCAGGACCCCTGCTCTGTATCCAGCGCCATCCTCCCTACCTCCTGTCCCCTCGCCTCCTACGCTTAGTACAATGAGTGTTGTATGTACCTTCTGCAGTCAGGACCCTCAGGGGGGGCGCCGCTTGGCTGCGCTAGGCTTGGGCAAAAACCGGGGTGCAAAGTGCCCTCCAGACTCTCCTCTCTTCCAAGGACGGGCTGGCGGAAGATTTTCCTCGTCCTGTTTCGTCGAGGTCGACCTTGTGGCCGGGAAGGGGTTGTCCCATGCCATGCCATGCCATGCCCATGTCCTGGACACACCTTCACACACGCTCGCCCACGCTAGTTGTCCAATGGCCCATGACATGGGATAACGAACGGATAATGTAGCAAGGCTCACGCCCCATCATGCTTGCGCGCATGCTTGATTTAAGCACTCCCTCTCCCCCCCATCCTCGACAACAAATAGGTTTCTGTTTCCTTCCCCTCATCTCTTCTTCATCCGCTTCACTCATTCCCTGTGTGACTTTCGTTCTCTTTCGGTTCCGTGTTCTCTACTTCGTCACGAGCAGGCCCTCGCCATTTACGCCATCCAGCAAGTACTAAACCGTTTATTCACTTTCGACTCTCGACAGCCCAGGCTCTAGCAGTCTCGCAACCAAAGCAAATCTTCCGAGAAGAGAAAGAACAATAGAAAAAGAGGAGGCAATCTACCCTAATCGACAACAACCGTCAAGATGAAGTTCTCCGCCGTATTAGCCCTCTCCGCCGCCGCCATGGCCTCGGCCAAGTCGGCCCGCAACAGCTACCCCGTCCGCCGCGATGGTCACAAGGCAGCCGCCGCCGCCGCCGCCGCCGAACCCGCCGGTCTCCCCTTGGGCATGACTGGATTCGGTGTTTCCAACAGCCAGGTTACTGAGGTCATCATCATCTGGGCCAACCCCGGTGCCGGCGCTCCCACGATCAACATCAACCAGCCTGCTGGTGGTGCCGCCGCCCCTCCCGCCGCCGCCCCTCCAGCCGCCGGCACTCCCGCCGCCCCCGCCCCCCCGCTGCGCAGGCCACTCACCAAGTAAGTTGATCGGTCCGTACCTGATGGCGACCAAGCTTGCTGACTCTCTCACTCAAGGTTACCGTTGGTGGCCCCGCTGGCCTCGCCTTCACTCCCGACCAGATCAAGGCCAACGTCGGCGACATGGTTGTCTTCACCTTCATGAGCCAGAACCACACCGCCACCCAGTCCAGCTTCGCGAAGCCCTGCGACCCTCTCGCCGGCGGCATGAACTCTGGCTTCATGGCCAACCCCAACAACTCCGTTAGCCCGCCTCCCCAGGTCGCCATGCAAGTCATGGTTTCCGAGCCTTTGTGTAAGCTGTCCCGCGCACGCCCGCGCCCTCCGTCCGTGCTACTTGACTAACACGCAACCAGGGTTCTACTGCGCCCAGGCCGGCCACTGCGGAAAGGGCATGACTTTCTCCATCAACCCCACCGCCGAGAAGAGCCAGGCCCTCTTCCAGTCCATGGCCATCCAGCAGAAGGGCAACGGCGCCCCCAGCGCCATCACCGGAGGCACTCCCCCCGCTGCTGCGCCTGCCGCTCCCGCCGCCTCTTCCGCTGCCGCCGCCGCCCCTGCCGCTCCCGCCGCGGGCGGTAACGTCCAGCAGGGCACAGGACAGGTCAACGGCGTCGGTGCCTGCGTGTGTGCCGTCACCTGCTCCGCCGGCTCGTTCCCCGCCGTCAACGCGCAAGGCGTTGGCTCCTTTGGCGGCATGGCTGGTTCTCTCCCCATGAACATGATGGAGGCATAAGGGCGAGGCACGAGTCCGTCGAAACACTTTTGCTGTGTGAGACCGCTTTCCCGCCCTCGACCTTAGTACCCCATTATTTCACACATCCGGGAAGAACTACTGTTTTTTACCCACTCCGCTGGGAACGATACCACATATCCGGAGTTGTCACGTTGCACGCCATGGGGAGGCTCTCACGACCTTTTTCTCTTTTTTCTGTTTTTTTTTTTTCATCATGTAGATTTCTCTTTGTTTTGGTTGTGGAGACGAGAAAGCCGTCAAAGGGGGCGGCGGGGGAAGGGAAGAGCGGGAACAGACTACACACATCCACGGCCCCACCTCCGGCCTGGACGGCCTGGGTGGGACGGATGGATAACTACTCTTTTCCTCCCTCGCCCGCCCCTTTTTTCCTCCCCTCGGCCCGGGTCGAGCCCGCCCCCCTCGTCTCTCCGAGGGGAGGTCTGGAAGGGGGGAAGGACGGGAGAAAGGTTTAGGGGATAATTACAAGAGTATGAACTGGTTCGTATTTCCTGGATGGAAAAACACCACCGGTTTTTCGCACCCAATTAATAAGGAATCAAATAAATGGATCATGAACGATCACACGTTCCCGTTTCACCCGCCGTCTCTTTGCCGTCCTGTGAGCCCTTGTGGTGTGTGTGTATGTGTGGATGCCAAATCATTTGCATTGCTGGTCCAACGGGCAGGACGCACCCGAGGGGGCAAGAATAGCAAACCCGGGCGGTTTTCCCAGGGCGCATCCGGGTTTATTCTATTCCAGCGTCGGTCCCTTGGGCGAGCCGGTTTGATCGACCGGTCAGGGTGTCCCGTTGAGCGAAAGGGGGAGAGGGGAGGGGAGGGGAGGGGAGGGGTGGCGCGGATCGCATGGACAAAAGGGGAGCCGGGCACCCGGGCGTCGGCCACGCCGCCATGCGCGCATCCGTCAGCGGCCACGGGCCATGCTTGACGGGCGACGGCGGCCGCTAGGGGCCCCCGCATCGATGCGTCTTCCGTATGCCGTGTCTGGCGTGCAGTTTATTTGGTCGTGGTCGGGGTTGTCAGCCACGGTGCGCGGGCGTCCGTTTTTGCTCCGTCTACGTGGCCAAGGTTCTTTACACGGCGGGATTCACACGCGGGCGGACATGCGGGGGTGGTAGTCGATGCCGGCGCGGCAGAGGACTTGTCAATCTCCGAGCCGCGGCGCCGTCGAGGGAGGGTGTTCCTTGAGCCACGGACGGGCCGGGCTCTCGTTGCCTTTTGACGAGGATTCGCTCTGGGCGACGTCGCGAACCGGCCGGGCGACGGACCAGCCGGGTCCCATATCTGAAGTGAGCAGAGCGAGTGGGTGAACTATAGTAGAGGTCCCAGACGAACCTCTCCCTTCATGACTTTGTGTTTTTTTTTTATAAGAGTGTTTTGTGTACTGTATCTTCATGTCTGATGGTTTCCGACCCAGAAAGCCCCCGCGCCGAATGCACCTTCTCCCCGCCGTCGCTTTGAAAAACTAGCCCTCTGATTTATTGTTCGTTTGCCGTCGTTTGTGGATTTTTTTAAAAATAAAAAAAGTCTTCTTCCGTCTCTATGCCGCCCCCGTGCCCTTCGCCTCGGGGAGACCGCCGCCAGCCGTCCCGAGGCTCGACACCTACCCGCACGCTTACCCATCACACCCACGTCCCTCCAACCCCTGAGGTGAAAGAGCAGAGGTGGCTGCGACACGGGGCTGTGAAGCGCAACAACGTGAGCGATGAGAGAAGCCCGCGGACGCATGGTGTCCGGACCGGGAGGGCCCAGAAGACGAGAGGTGCCGGGGGAGGGAAGTCCCTCCCCCCCGTGCCCTCCGCGCTCGTCTATTTCTTTTTGGAGCCTCCCGCTCCTTCCGCAGCCTTCCTGGCCTCAGCTACGCACGCATCGTCAGCATCTCACGCTCTCATCATCGGGGACGCCCGCCTCATCGGCCCCTCTTCGAAGAACCCGCCTCGCGACAGTGAGCCGATGCCCTCGCGGGTTTAGCCCACGGCTCCACGTCCGCAGGCCAGGACCGGCAGAGAAGCGGGACCCGACGGGCGGTGGACAAAAGGAAGAAAACAAGGGACTCACCGGCAGCCTGCTTCTGCCGCATGATCTCGGCGGCGGACTCCTTGGCGCGCTGCATCTCGGTGCCGCTCATGGTGTTTCCCTTCTTCTACGCGTCCCGATCGGGCGTCAGCATCCGTTCTCACTTCATCTCAAGCAGCTGTGCGCGTTTGCGCCATGAGGACCCGCGCTGCGAAACCGTCTCCCCGCCGTCCCTCGTTCAAAGGGACAAAAAAAGGGGAACACGTTCGTGCCCCCCTTTTCCTCCCTCAAAAGACTCGAGACTTTAATACATCTCATGGCAGCGACGCGAAAACAACGTTGCGTGCTGTACACGGCGCGGGCGGCGGTGGCCTGACACATCACGAAGAGGAAACCCTCCACCCCCCCCCCCCCCCCCCCCCCAAGGGAGACGCGTCGTAAGCCGGGCTGCGGGAAATAAATAAAAATAAAGAATCTCACCTGAGAAGCGGCCTTCTTCTGAGCCGCCTCACGGGCCTTGTCGCGCTGGTTGCCGCGGGTCATTTTTGCTTTTACGTTTTTTTCTCTGGCTTTTGCGGGTCTTCCGGTGGAATCAGGGGGGTTCTCTCAAGTTCAAAAAAAGACGAGGTGCGAGCTCGGGAGACGATTGCGGAAGGCTTCCTTCAATCGCAGGCGTGTGTTGTCGCAGTTAAGCCGGGTTTTTCTGACGGGAAAGGAGAAGGGAGGGGGTATTGAGGAGGAAATAAATGGAAGGGGAAAAAAAAAAAAGGCGTGTATGAAAGGAGGCCTCGACAACTAAAAATTGCGGTCTGGCCTTTTTGCGGCCGGCGACGTCTGCCCAAAGCAAATGAGGCTGTGCCCACCCAACAGTCGCTGGGCCAGCCGCCCGCCGCCGCAGTGTTCTGGAACCTCCCACCCTGGGGGATCGTTCGGTGGGCCAATCACATCACGCCGCTGGGACTCTCGGTCGCTTCACATGCTCCATCCCATCCCAGGCTTCCCCGTCTCACCACGCGCCTGTGTGTTTCTCCCCCAGAGCTGAGTCTATCCAAAGGCTGCCAAATATAGCTACGTGAACACGGTATCATTTCAGTGCTTGTCACACATCACAACTGCATCGGAAATCAGCAAACTTTTTACTCAAGGTCGTTGTCCTGAATAATCTGCCTAGTTACATGCGCGGTCGTTGGGTGCTTGCTGTGGGCGGTTTGCTGATGAGCATCGGCAAATCAGGCCAAAATCCTCCCGTCACATCATCTCCCCTTCCGCCGGCTAAAGAAGAAAAAAGTAACGCCAATCTTCGTCCCTAGAGTTCTCATACACACACAAGAAAGCTTTCTCCATTCTGCAGAAGGCCAATCGAATCTGTTCCAGAAACCCCCTAATATGCGAGAGCCCCATAGTCCCATTGATGAACCTCCAGCCTTGTCTATTGTCCTCCCATTCAGGAAAGCCATGGGGGTTGACTGTCCATACCAGGCGGCCCATGGCGAAGCCAGCAAACGAAGCCAAACCACATACGAGAAAAGAAAGAAAAAAACTGCCCCCAATGCTGTCATGTCCCACCGCTGATCCCTTTGCAATGTGCGTGCAATCAGGCATCTCCAGTGATAACTTGTCGGTCCGCTTGGGGTACATAACTCCCGAGTGGAGAGCCATCACAACGCCGAAAGGGCAATTCGAGAGAGCACTCGGCACACCGGAAAGGCCATAGCTCGTAAGAGAAGAAACCAAACTCTTGCTGAAATCGTCGCGCGTCTCATGACTAGTTTCGTAACTGGCGTATCGTCGAAGGAATTAAGCCAATGTTGTCGTGAGCCTGATCCAATCATCAACCAAGAAAAGCTGATGGTGTCCCTTTCCTGGAGAGCGAGCGTCGAGAAGAGAAAATGAAGTGGAAAAGTGCGGCAAAGACAAATGAAAAGCGAGAAAAGGAAAACGTTCGTCTATGTCGATGTGTCGCATCGAATCAAGTACAAGCCTATTGAAGGCTCCGTCCGATCTGGTGACGGCTGCCGAGAAGCAGAATGCGATTCTTGTGTTTGCGCTGCAAATGCCGAAAGAGGGCACTCAATACGCTGCCCGAATCCATAGTGTACACACAAAGCTGGCCTTGCAACCAGATGCAAGACCGCCGTGCTCGACGGATGAGGAGGTGGGGTGGATTGCGAAGTTGTATGTTGGTTGGAGGATGTTTTTGGTGTTTGCACAGACAGGGAAAGAAAAAGATCGTCAAGTCGTTGCTGCGTTGTCGCCGTGCTGTGTCGAAAAGAAAACCGTTGCGGAAAGCATTATGCCACCCATCATGTTCGTTTGTCGAGTGCCCGCGCCACATTTCGTACCATTAGAAGTGTAACCCCGGGTGCCAAGAACGTCGACAACGCGTCGAATACAATTACAGCCATTGAGCCTCGCCCGCGCCCGCGTCAGCAGGGGCACCTCCGTTGCTGCGCTGCTGGCCGTTGAAGCCAAAATGCGGCATGCGCTGGCTCTGGGGACCAGGAGGAGGCACCGTGACGCTGTTGGCCGCGGGGTAGCTGGCTTGGTTGCCGCGGGGAGCCATTCCGCCGTTGAGACCGCCATTCAGACCATTGCCGAAAGCTCCGCCAGGGGCAACAATGGAGGTGTTGTTGGACATGGCGCGGTTGTGGCCGGAGCGCAGGGGAATCTGGCCCTGGCTGGGGTCCGCGGGTGTGACCTGGCCGCTGGAAGTGGCACTACCACGGCCCTCAAAGGCCTGGATCTTGGCCTGGATGCGTCGACCATAGGGGGTCGAACGGATGGACGGCAAGATGGGGCGGATGGCGTCGACCAGACGGAACTTGCTGTGAGGGGTCGCGTACTCGAGAGCGGTCTGGATGACATAGTTGGCGTACGAGTCGCGGAGGAGTCGCTCAATCTCGCCGGGGGTCAGAAGCTCCTCAACAATCATGTCGCGGGACGGCTCCTGGGAGCAGCGCAGACACTTCTCGATGACGTTGGAGCTGAACTTGTGGCGAGACAGCTGGCCGATGCGGTTCTGGAACATGCGGACGATGGGCTCCGTGAAGGAAGGCTCGTTGAGGTCGATGATGTACTGGACAACGTAATTGCCGAAGGGGTCCTGGACAAGGATCGGAGCATGCTCCGTGATCTTGGCAATCAGCCAGACCTTCTGGTCACCAGAGGCGTGGTCAATGCAGCGCTGGAGGACGCAGCAGCCGTGGCGATGAGTTCCAACGTCGACGCAGTTGGTACCAACAGCATCGAAAATGAACTGCGCATCCTGGGCGCTGAGCTTGTTGAGACACTTCTGAATGACGTGGTTGCCATTGAGGTCCTGGATGAGCTCAACGACCTGGAAGCGAAGAGCGTTGATGATCATCTCGATCTGGGTGGGAGTGGTGACGAACTCAATCATCTTCTGGAGAGCGCGAGTGCCGTGCTGGTTAAGGGCGATGCGAACCATGTCGACGGCAGCGTTCTGGATGAGAACGGTACGCTCGTCGTCGTTGCAGAACTCCAGAAGCTTCTGGCAGAGGTAGTTGCCAAAAGGGTCCGTCATAAGCTCGATGACGTGCTGGTTGGTCTCAAGCCAGATCATGTGGACCTGCTCCGGGTTGCGCTCTTCGAGCTTCTTTTGCAGATAGCGGCAGCCGTGCTGGTCCTTGCAGAGATCGTAGATCTGGCCACCAACGTTCTCAAGAGCAAGGCCGTTGTAGCGGGACATGGCTAAATAATGTTAGCGGCACGGACGCAGAGATGAGGGCTAGTACTCAACATACCTTCATTGTCCATCTGGCGGCGGTGCTGGATGACCCGGGCCTGGCTGTCACGAGGCTGGGGCTGCTGCGGAGTGTAGAGCGAGCCATAGCCAGCGTAGTTCTGAGCAGGGTACATGTTGTTGCCATTGAGATTCATGTTCTGCATGCTCATGGCCAGGAGAGGCACACCGTAGGGGCCAGAGGTAGGCGGGCCGTTGCTGTTGGGCGAGACGTAGCCATTGGGATAGAAGCCGCCGTAGCCGTTGTTGGGGCCAGCGGTAGCAGTGCCACTGGGAGTCTGATTGCCCTGGGACGTGTGAGGGAAGCCCTGGCCAGGCGCGCCGGGACCGAAGGGAGCGGCGTTGGCCTGGAGAGCGGACTGGATGGAGGGGTAAGGTCCAGCCTGCTCGCGTTGACCGCCCATGCTGTTGTCGCTGGACAGCTCACGGCTGTGACGGCCCGCAACGGCGCCGGCAGGAATGCGACCAATGCTAGCATTGTGGTTGTGGAAGTGCTGCTGAGCATGGTTGTTGGTAACCGAGCCGCCGTTGGTGGTCTTGACGGTGGGCACGTCGTTGGCAGAGAAGGAGCTCTGCAGCTTGGGAGGAGTGGCCATCATGTGGTTTCCGGTTGGGGAGACGATGGCGTTCTGGTTGTTGTCCGAGGGGGCGTCTGGGTAGAACTTCAGGTCGAGCGAGTGACGAACAGAAGAACGGTTGCCGATGTCTCCAGAAGAAGCAGCTCCGTTGAGCGAAGACGTGTTGATAGCAGACAAGCTCTGTTGGGTGCGGTGACGGTTAATATTGCCCCAACCGTTGGAAGAAGGCGCGTCAGGAGCGGGCGAAGGAGAGAGGGCAAGATCAAGGGCAGCGGAGGATGCAGAGAGCTATACGACGCAAGCAAATGTCAACACTGGTACAGAGGCTGACAGCTGGATGCGTGGGATTGTGGTCGTCGACAGTTGAAAACTCTTGCAAAACTTTGACCATTGGCGCGGGGGAAGGTGCGAGCGAGGGAATAGTAAACAGACAAGACAATGCGTTTTTCCTCTCTTCTCCACGGCGCCAACAGACAATATTTGGAAATTGAGAGAGCTGAGAGCCAAACGAGAGTGAATGTCCGAGAGAGGTGAATAGGGTAGGTTGGGTAATGCAGTTGCTTGCGGCTCGCACCTTCCCGCCTTCGAGAAGTGATTTGGGACTCAACCTCAGCCCACCAATGAGGAAGCTCATGTGGGCCTCGATGAGTCGATGAAGAACCACTGGCACTTGCTTGCTCATGAATCGGACGGTAGAGATGAAGCTGATGCTGGAGGGGAGGGGTGCAAAAAGGGTGACTTACCATTTGATCGTCGCGGCGAACCAGAGTCGGGAAGTTGTCATCGCCGTTGTTCTGGCCGTACTTGTTCTCGCCAGAAACGTCCTCCTCGCCAAAGAGGAAGCGCGCAGTGCCGGTTTGGTCGAGGTCGGCGCCGTAGAGACCAGTGCGGGAGCGGGTGACTGGCATCGAGTAACGGTTGTAGCTATTATCGGGAGAACCAGAGTCAGCCATTGCTTCAGTTGGGAGCTTGTTTGCTATGGTAAGTATGTTTCACTTCGTGGACAAGTCGCAGGTATGTTTCGAGAAGAAGGAAACGGAAGAAGGCCAGCAGAAAGAAGGCCTTAATAAGGTAGATGGTCAGGAGATCGCTGCGATGTTGAAGACTGGAAGGTCCTTTGAAGGGCAGGCACGCCGGAGTGAATATCGCGTGTTGTAACAAGGAGTTTGAACGGACCAGAAGGTGCGTTGTTGTGAAGCCGGAACAAGCGTGCCAAGTGTTGAAGTGAAAGTCAAAGACTAAATCACGATGCTGTAAGATGGATGCGATGTGTTACGCAGGAGCTTGGTTGAGGTCCAGTTGAGAAAATAAAGTCGGAAGGTCGGAAGTGCCTGTGTACCGGGGAGATCGAAAGGTCAAAGGACTTGACGGTCGAGGTCGACTTTTTTATCGACGGTGGATGGGCCGACCGACGGTCCAAAAGACAGCAGTTGAAGGAAGGAGCCCCATCGAGCTTCAAGAGAAGGAACCTTACACGCCTTCCAGAGCGCCTTCCATCCCATCGCAGTGCTCCCCAAGCTAAGGGCGACCTTAGGGGGCAAGGGATTATGGACTTTGAGACTTTCGTTCTCTCAGCCAGAAACGACGCCTCGGCTACATCGAGGAACCATCTTCACTAACAATCGCCATATCATGATACTCACCCACGATACTCACCCACGACTTGTCCAGAAAGTTTGCGAAATACAGCATAGGGTCACAGCACTTACGCGTTAGAGGACCGATGGCTGGTCGGGTCCTGGCGAACAGCCTCCTCCTTCTCATCCTCGTCGCTGTTTCTGCGGGATCCGGGCACGGATCGGGACGGCATGTGGTCGTCAAAGTTGAAGCGGGACTGCATCATGGTCGACTGGGGCGAGGTGAGCTGCGACCCCGAACGACCGGGGCGGTTGAAGAGGCCGGGAGGCGAGGTCAGGCTCGAGGTCGAGTATCGGTTCGGGCGCGAGAACATGGTGGGGAAGCCAGAGGACTCGTGGTATTCGGGGGGCGTCGTGGGCTCCGACTGGTGACCGTGGCGGAGGTCGTCCTGCATCTTGGCGAGCTCCATCTCCTCGCGACGCTGCGCCTGCTCCAGCTTCTGCATCTCCATCTCGAAACGGCGCCTCTGCTCGCGGAGTCTCTCGTACTCAATCTTCTTCTTCTCAATCTGCGCCGTTTTGTTAGTTGTGTTTTTTCCCTGTCTCTGAGCGTCCCAGCGTGGCATTGCAGAGCCTGCGGACAGCCGTCTGTCGTCGCAAACAAGGTTCGAGGGCAGGACGGCGAAGCACACGTACCAATTGAACTTTGTGCAAGGTCTGCAAGCCAAACGTCAGTCGCATTCTAACAAAGACGCGCGCCATTCAAATTACTGCGCAGCGAGGCGCGTAAGGCATGGCAGCCCAACGAACGGGGAAACATACGTTGTTGTAATCCTGACCGCCGAGGTCAGGGCCGCGCTGGCTGGTTATGGAAGACAATGTTGGTACACGCCCCGAGTCGGTGGTGAAGCGGCGAGGCAGGGCACCTCGTCCGTCATGGGCGGCCTGGACAGGCTGCGGAAGGCGATTGCCGTTCCGCGGAGGTGATACGAGCGTGTTCATCGTGGAATCGTTACGGGGGGGTTGTTGAGATCGGAAGCGCAGCTCGTCCATCATTCGGCTTACTACAACAAGTCGTACACAGCGCAAGGAGCCTAGTGGCGGCGGGTTTCTATAGTACTGCTGGCATCAAGAAAGACCGGCGGTCAGCAACAGGAACACGAGTGAGGTCGGAACAGGAGCAGAGACTGCATCCGAGACGCTGCTGCTATTGGTGGGCTGAGAGCGACGGCCGCGACGACGACGACGAGAAACACGGAATAGAGAGCGAGAGTTTGGTGGTTTGGAAACAAGGAAACCCGGAGGCGGGGTGCTGATTTGGCGAAATCGGGCGGTGCTGTTCCGGGGGGTAACGTAACGTAGCGTAGTGTCCCTCATGGCCCGTCTTCTCCAAATGCGGGCGGTGGTCGGTGAAGCACCGACGAGACAAGGAGAGCAATGGTGGCAGCCCCGGACGCATGGCAGCGGCTAAAGCTAGAGAGCGCAGCGTGAGACTCGAATGTCTCGCCTTGCAACTCTCCTGTCTCCTCGGTGTCCTTGGGTGCGGGCCGAAACCGTCATCGGTGTTGCTTTTCCAGCTTCTGCCGCAAGCACCCCCTACCTCTTCTTCCTTTTTTTCTTCTTTTTTTTTTGCGTGTGTAAATGTCTGGCAACCCAGCTTTGCGGTGTAGGATGGGGTCGGTAGCCGTTGGGCGCGCATTGAAGTTTGGCAGCAAAAAGGTCGACTTGCTGCGTTGGCTGCACAGCGTAGAAAAGGGGGCCGATTATGTTGTTCGCTCTCTCTCTCTCTTTCTCTCTCTGCGTGTTTCTTGTCGCCATGAGGCCAGTTGCTTTGGACCGTCGCAAAGCTCTGCAACCAGTCGATGTGGATGCGGTGCAGCGACCGAGCAGCAGCACACAAAGGACAAAAGAACTGTAAACTTACCTGATTTTCGTTTTGTGTTCTTCCCCGGTCCAGTACAGAGTATACAACTCAGAAGATAGTCTCACACGTCGCGCCCTGGAGAGCCAGGAGCGGCAGGCTGAGAGAGGTTTGGAATACACGGACACACAAGATGGTGTACAGGAAGAGAACTGGGCAAGAGACCGACCAACGTGGGGAGAAACGAGAGAGCAGGTTTGGAGCATAAGAAGGTAATGTAGCGAATTTTAGGTGTGGGAGACAAGTACGGTCGAGTGGGCGTGGCAGGCCAGACGGCGGCCCAAGATACCCCTGCGCCAACGACGGGGGAGCCCAGTTGGACAGGGGGCCACACATCGTAGAGGGGAACCACAGACTGGAACCGCAGCATATCACTCGCTGGCCTGCGCGGCTTTGCAAGTCGGGGTGTTTGGTACCCAAGGGACCTTGCGAGTGTACTTACTCCTGCTCTCTAACTCTGGGAGAGATGAACAGAGAGACACACAAACAGAGACCGCCAGAGCCAACGTGGGCAAAGTACCTTGCGTCGTACTGCGTTAACACACCTGACCCTGTCCTGGCCAGGGTAGCGTCCAGTCTTGGGCGCGCCGTGCCTGGCCAGGTCGGGAGGAGAGTTGCGGGTACTGCGTAAAGTCTGTACTCTGAGTAGGTACACAGTCTGGATGGCGTCAAGCGGTGCCCTGGAACCGCGGTGCATGTGGGTGAAAGCTGGGCTTGGGTACTAGTAGGTGTGGGTGGTGTGCGTCTGGGTGGCCGTTCTGGCCGAGTGAGAGTCTGACACAGCGCAGCGCAGCTATTTGGGCTTGTCATCTTCCCTTTCCCAGTCCTAGAATGGTAAGGGAGCCAGTGGGAGACGAGGGCCGCTGTTCCTGGTAACCCTGTTCAAACCCTCCCGCGCCCAGGAGTAGCGGCAGCTCAAGGACGAGCCCGCGGATGTGGTTGTACTTGATCATCGGTTACTTCTCTGGTATACACATACTCGAGCCTGCCCATGTCAGTTATCGCCCATTGTCATTATAAGCTGTTACTGCAAGTTGTAACGGTGGAACTGCAAAAACGGACGGCATTGTCGTTGAGCGTGGCTTATGCGCTCCGTCAGACGCAGCGTCCTTCTCGATTCGTTTTTCTCGTCTGGCTTCATTACTCTCCTCGTGACATGGAAGGAGCGCGCAATCCAGACAAGTCATTCTCACCCCTCCCTCCTCCACTTGGCTCTTTCTGCCTCTCTCTTGAACACCCCCTCTTCGTCCCCCTCCTATAGTGAGGGGCTGGCGCACTAACAACCATAGGAACCGCCGAGTCTAGCAGGTCGGAGGTCGTCCGTACTAGTCCCAGTCGATTGCCTTGTTCCGTTTTCCTGTCAGGGGCTTCTTCCCCTGGGTGCAGTGCAGAGTGGGTGGTCGGTCCACGGCTCATGCCTGTCAGGCTTGTGCGAGCATTGACTACAACCCGTCGACAACAGTGGCTTTTGTCAGTGCATCAGAAATCTTTGCCTCAGTCTGACAGGAGGCCCGAGATCCCCTTTTTGGAGGGGGCAAAGTCTATTCGTTTCGAGGGTGCTGGGTTGTCATCGCTTTCTCTCAGCTTCGTGCTTGGACTTTGGTCGAATTGGCAATCTACTTAGTAGGGCTTCGATGGTATGGGAATCACCCTGTACGGGGTTCGTTCTTGCGCTGGCTGCAAAAAAGAGCTCCAAAACAAGGACTTGCATGTCTCGTCAAGCGGTGAAGCGGTAGTCTGTGTGGGTTGTCATCATGTATGTAGCCTGTTCATGTCGACACGTTTAGCGACCGTCTGTGCCGCGCACTGCCAGCGTCGCATGGCTTTTCGGGACTTGGATAGCCCTGTACGACGGCGACGCACTTCCTCCAGACCAAGCGAGAACACATCGCACAGAGCTGGGAGTTTATCGCCTCTGCCATAATGTTGCGTTTGTTGCGATGCTTCTTCCGACGATACGTCTTTGTTGCGAACAACCGTAGCCGAGTGCTTGCTAGGTTAGAAGAGGCAAGGGCTGATAAGGGCATGTCTGTGCCACGGCTGTCGATGATCTGCCTAAACGAGTGGACAGATCAGGGCTGTTCGCCAGCCAGCGGATGTGCGCATGGGGCAGAACGTCAGGTATCGTCTGGCACTTTGGGCCCTGTCATTGGGTTATCTATCCAAGGTTAAATCGGTTGTAGAGGGTGTCTCGTTCGTGGCTGACTTTGGTGATTCTCGTTGTCGTAACCCCTAGTTTCGCCTTGCGAATCAACTTTGAGCGCTCGTCTTTTCGAAGGGCGCACAACGTGTGTCTCTCGACAGTCTTCGTTTTGCGGTGAAAGTCACGTAGGGACAAAGGCGGGCGATTGGGCACATTGGTCCGCTCAGCAGCTAGTAGTTGTCCAGCAATGATACCCGCAACTCTCCATCGCCTCAGTATAAGTGCACGCCAGCCGCCAGAAATGGGTTGCAACCCGCCCTCGTGAACGGGGCTTCAGAAATTGACCAACCTCAAGAATCAGGTAGTCCCTTGCCTCACTGCTCTGCCGCAGGACTTCAGAGCGTCCCACCTTCATTTTTTCTTCTTTTTTTTTTCTTCGCAAAAACGCTGGTGGGGAAGACAGGGTCCTCCCGTCCTGGGGTTTTGGCTGGGTTGGGTAGCTCGCGAAACATCCGCCGCTTGTGTAGACAATGACAGGTCTGGGTGGAGAGCAGACGGCGATTGTTCTACCAACTCGGGATTACAAGCTCAAGCAACAATCTCTTGCAGCATCATACAGTATGCATATTAGTTTTGCCTAAAACGAGCCAACATGTGTGTCTTAGGGCTGTGGGTTGGATTTGGTTGCCAGTGCCTCTACACAGTTTACTGTAATGCTCGAGAGTCAAGGAGGCGTACACCTGACCTGGCATGACTTGGCGGGACGGTACCCAGCTTGCCAGCTTGCCAGCTTGCCAGCATGGCAGCCTCATTCTCAGCACAACTCTAATGTAAATGGGTTGTTCACAAACACACATGCTTGGTCTGCCCCGCGATTTGGAAGCAGAAGTGCACAAGTAGGGTAGGCAGAGTTGTCGGTGCCGCATCTCGTACCGTTGCTTGTGGGCTGGTGAGGGTCTCGGAGTGACTTGCATCTTCCCACTTCCCACACGCCAGGTGGTTTGCGAGGGTCCCTGTTCGGGGGCAGAAGCTCCAGAGCTTCGTCATAATGCCGCCGAAGGGTTTTCGAAGCGACGTTCGTATGGGCCGGCCAGGTGTGAAAGGCGCGAAAACGGCAGTCAGAGAAACTGATTTGTTGGGCGGCAAGCATGGGCTTCCGCATGCTTGTAGTGGCTCGGTTCTACACCGACTTTTAAGGCCCGCATTGAGTGGACTATCTGCGAGTCTGTGACAGAGTACGATGTAGGCGAGGGCGACGGCATTGGCGTGGAGAGTGACCGGACTCCAGATTCGGACCGCAGTGACTTCTCTGGTCCTGCTTGGAGACGGCTTCCAGCAGGTATCGGCTTTGTACCTTGCTGGTGGATAGGCTGGAGGGCAGCAGCAAGCGTTTCTGACTCTGGCTGTCATCCCATGTCACTTCCAGTATGCTTGTTGACGGAATCCTAGTAGACTGACGACGGGCTAGAATGCTGAATGGTCTTCGATCTACCATGTTCTACGCTAGCCCGAGGCATCTCGGCTCGACGATCAATTAGTTCGGATATTCCCTCGCCACCCCTTTTTTTTATTGCCATTCTGGCACCAACCCCATGTCGTTAATGAAAGTTCCGTCAGGTAATGGCGGCAAAGCCCTTGGCTCTGGCTCCTCCGTGTCACGATATCCCCGCAAGGAGGGGTCACTCCGATAACAGAGTGGTTGGACCCTCGATCCGCCGTAGAGTTCGGGGCCGCAGGTCGTGACTCGCGGGGTTGACCTCTTGCATCATAGTCGACAGGTCGCTGCTAGAGGTCAAAAGCTCAAAGGCCTTTGTATCCAGGCCAACCGCGCCGTTGGCGGAGCTTGGACTACGCCACGCTGAACGGTTTCAGGGGCATTCTTGACGCCGTAGGAGATAGCCGGAGAGGAGATATTCTCTCTGACTTGACTCTGCGCTTTCAACTGGGGTGGATGGTGTCAATTGTCGAGTGTGGTGTGGTGTTGTAGATGTCTCGCTGTGCTGCATCGCGGGGCAGCTTTACTGCCTAGCCGATCGGGATCCGATACCTGGAGTCGAAGAGGGGCAATCGCAATTGATGGGGCGCGTTTCGACTTGCCACAAAATTTCCTCTGCCAACGCAACATGCAGACGCCGCCGCCGCCGCCTCTTCTGCTGCGGGTCGTACAGAGGGAGACCCTGCGGCGAGCATTCTGATCCCATGCAGGTGTGACGACAGACTCGGACCACAGAGAGAGTGTGAACAGCGATCAAAGGCTGTAGAGAGCCTCGGAGGCAACTCTGACGATGTTTAGACGGCACGGCCGTCTCTTGTCGAGCAGGTGGACTCGACAAGCATCGTTACTTGGCCGATGCATTTAAGTAGAGCAGCAACTGTGAGGTGCGGGTTCAGGCAGAGCTGTACTTTGGGTTGCGGTGTTCCAGAGCCAGGAGAGATACTTGGTCCGTCGCAAGGAGGGGTAAAAGCATGAGGTAGAGAGAAAAGATGCTGGATGGCGGGGCTTGCAGCAGGCGACCAGGCACATACAGTATGGCCCCTCCCCTCCCTTCCCGAATTACCCAGGCGTGATTTCTCGCGCCGTCTAAGTGAATTCCTAGAACGGCGACAACCCCCACTCCTTCCTTGCATTGTCAACCGCTCGAGGAAAGCGCTCAACAACCCCTGGTCTTTGAGGTATTTGGGAGGGACGATGGGGTTCTCAGCTGGTTGAAATCGGCAGGTTGGAAAATGTCTGGATGTGGTGGATGAGTGTGCGACCAGGGACACGGCATATCACTTGCATTCTACCCACTTCTTGTGACTACCTCGCTCTGCATCAATTGAGCACTGGCATACGGTAGACCTATCTACGGATACTCGGACGTGAGTCGGTTGGGTTGTTCCTGAGAGTGTGCTGCACAACGTACGACGCGGGCCCAAGGTCCAGGCTCATGGGCTCTTGCCATGTCAGCTATATACGTAGCTAGGCAGATGGATGCTTCAGAACCCCATCGGTGAGGTGGCTAAATGCTGATCATCCTGCGACTCGACAATGGTTTTTTCTGGACCATTGTGCCACTTTGAACCAACCTCTCTCATGGGCACACAAGTAGTATAGTAGATCCTGCCAATTGCCTTTTCAGAGCCTGTTAGCGCCTGAGTCAATCTGCTGTAACTAGTCCAGGGATTGGGTTGGCAAGTTGGTCAGCAGGTTGGGATGAACTGCCTCATAACCTTAGGCAAGCATGAGAGAGTGTGCGTTGCAAGACGGGAACCCTCTCACACTCACCTGGGCTGCGTCGTGGCTCACCTCGGTAAGCACAGGTGTGGCCCCGTCAACCCGGCACCCTCGTGGCCATCCCAAGAACATCTTATCGGACTTATCGACGGATGCTCCACTTACATTGCTGGCACTGGCAGATGGGAAATGCCGTCAGCGTCCCGATTTCGACGTGGGACGCTCAGCCAAAGCACAGCAAAAGAGATGGGAATATGTATGCAAAGCAGAATAACCCCGGTAATGAGCTGTGTGAGATTGGGGAGATTGGGGGTCCAATTGTGTGACTTGATAATGTTGTCCGCTCTCTGCTGGTTCACTGTTGCGTGCTGACTAAGAACCACCAAACAATCAGGCGAAGGCCACCGCGGACAGGTGGGGCAGCTGGCAGCACCCGGCATCGCGGGGCCAAACTTTTCTGCTGCCCGCCACCTACCTTGCTCAAACTCGCGATGTGACTCGACCGACTGCATCACAAAAATCTGCGGTAGACCCTCTTCCGCGCTACCGACCTATTCCGACACACGATGAGAGCGGGAGGAAGACGGTGACGAACATGCAGGACGACGGCTTCGAGGCTCTTTTGGAGCCTTTCTACAACGGAAAGAAGCTCACCGACCCCATCTCGACTAAGGAAGACAAATTTCAGCTGCTGCCCGCCTTCCTCAAGGTGAAGGGTCTCGTCAAGCAGCACATCGACTCGTACAACTTCTTTGTCGAGAATGAAATCAAGGAGATTGTCCGCGCCAACCGCATCATCCGAAGTGACGTCAACAGCTCCTTCTGGCTTGAGTATGTCGCATCGATATCGGCCCTGCCTCATGGTCACTTTTCTAATCTCCTCCCAGGTTCACTGATATCAGAGTTGAGCGGCCCAGTCGCGTCGACTTCAATGACATCAGGGCTCAGAATGAGGTCAGCCCGATGGAATGTCGCCTGCGCGACATGACTTACGCCGCGCCCATCATGGTTGACATCGCCTACATCCGCGACAAGTCCAAGATTGTGCGGAAGAATGTCCCGCTTGGCCGCCTGCCCGTCATGTTGAAGAGCTCCATCTGCAGACTCGGCGGGGCCAACAACGCAGAAATGTCACGCATGAACGAGTGCCCGTTGGATCCCGGCGGTTACTTCATCATTAACGGCACGGAAAAGGTCATTCTTATTCAGGAACAGCTCAGCAAGAACCGTGTCATCGTCGAAGCCGATGAGAAGAACAGCGTCATTACGGCCTCCGTTACCAGTTCTACCCACGAGCGCAAGTCCAAGACGTACGTGACGCTCAAGAAGGACCGGATTCTTTTGACGGCCAATATCTTGGTCGAGGGCATCCCAATTGTCATTATCCTGAAGGCCTTGGGAGGCTTGACAGATTACGAAATCATGCAGCTCGTTGCCGGCGACAACGGAAAATATCAGGATGAGTTCCTCGTCCAGTTTGAGGAAGCAACCAAGGTCGGCGTCTACACACAACAGCAGGCACTGGAATACATCGGCGCGAGAGTCAAGATGGGCAAGAGCAGAGTCCCCTTTGCTGCACAGGTCCGACGGAACCACGTTGAGGAAGCCCTTGACGCCTTGGCAAACCTCATTATTGCCCACGTCCCCATCGAGGGCCTGGACTTCTACCCCAAAGCTGTTTACGTGGCGTTCATGACGCGGCGTGTTCTCATGGCGCAAAGCGACCCTAGTCTTGTTGATGATCGTGACTTCGTCGGAAACAAGCGTCTCGAGTTGGCTGGTCAGCTCCTCTCGCTGCTTTTTGAGGATTTGTTCAAACAGTTCTGCGGCAATGTCAAGAGCAGCATCGACAAGGTTTTGAAAAAGGACAATCGAGCCGTACCCCTCGATGCTGTCAACATGATCAGCAACCACGCCAACATGATCGGGCAGGGCATCAACCGAGCTATCCAGACGGGCAACTGGACTGTCAAGCGTTTCAACATGAACCGAGCCGGTGTCACCCACGTCCTCAGTCGTCTCAGCTACATCAGTGCCCTTGGTATGATGACAAGAATCAGCTCGCAGTTCGAAAAGACCCGTAAAGTCAGTGGTCCCCGTGCACTTCAGCCATCGCAATGGGGTATGCTGTGTACGTCAGATACGCCCGAAGGTGAAGCCTGCGGTTTGGTCAAGAACTTGGCTCTCATGACACATATCACAACCAACGTCGAGGAAGCGCCCGTCAAGCGATGGGTCTTTACCCTCGATGCAGGCGTCGAACCCATCAGAAACTTCTCAGGCGGCGAGATGCATCGCGAGACTTCATACGTCATTCACATCAACGGAACGCCCTTCGCACTGACCAGATACCCGAAGCGATTTGCTGGCAAGTTCAGGACGATGCGGAGACGCGGTTGGATCTCTCCTTTCGTCAGCATCCATATCAATAACCACTTTAACGCCGTTCACATTGCGACCGACGAAGGACGTATTTGCCGACCTTACATTATTGTCAAAAACGGTAAACCCAAGCTCAAGGAAGAGCATCTGCGACTGCTGCAGCTAGGCAAGGCCACTTTTGACGACTTCCTGACGCACGGCATCGTCGAGTATCTCGATGTCAACGAAGAGAATGATACTCTTGTGGCTCTTTACGAGAAGGACGTCACCCCCCTCACCACGCACATGGAGATCGAGCCATTCACCGTTCTTGGTGCAGTTGCCGGTCTCATTCCTTTCCCGCACCACAACCAGTCGCCTAGAAACACCTACCAATGTGCCATGGGTAAGCAAGCCATCGGCGCAATCGCATACAACCAGTTCAACCGTATCGACACATTGCTATACACGCTTGTCTATCCTCAGAGGCCAATGGTTATTTCCAAGACAATCCAACTGGTCAACTACGACAAACTGCCCGCCGGACAGAACGCAACAGTTATTGTCATGTCATATTCTGGATACGATATCGAGGACGCTCTGGTGTTGAACAAGGCATCCTGCGATCGCGGTTTCGGACGTTGCCAAGTATTCCGTAAATACACGGCTGAGCTGCAGAAGTACCCGAACGGCCGACGAGAGCGCATTGGAGACCCGGTGAACGACGAGAACGGAAGAACGACCAAGCACGAAGCCCTGGACGATGACGGCTTGGCTATCGTGGGATACAAGGTCAACTCGGGCGAGGTCATGATCAAGAAGGAAACACCTCTTGATACGGGATCCACTGGCATCGGTATGGACCGCGGACCCAGCGAATTCCGCGATTCTTCGATCTCGTACAGAATCGCAGACCCCGCATACATCGACAAGGTCATGGTCTCCCACACGGAGAGGGAGACGATGGTGGTCAAGGTTCAAACACGACAGACAAGAAGACCCGAACTTGGAGACAAGTTCTCGTCCCGTCACGGACAAAAGGGTGTCGTGGGCATTATCGTTGACCAGGAAGATCTACCATTTTCGGACACGGGCCTGGTCCCCGACATCATCATGAACCCCCACGGTTTCCCCTCTCGTATGACTGTCGGCAAGCTGCTCGAGTGCTTGACTGGAAAAGCTTCAGTCTTGGACGGGCGGAAGGACTATGGTTTCGGTGACGCCTTCCGCTCCCATCCCCTGGAGCAGATGAGCGCTGCGTTGGTTGACCACGGCTTTTCGTGGGAAGGCAAAGACTACTTCACCTCGGGTATCACCGGCGAGCCATTGGAGGCCTACATTTTCAACGGACCCATCTACTACCAGCGTCTGAAGCACATGGTTCAAGACAAGATGCACTCTCGTTCCCGGGGTCCCAGGGCCATTCTCACACGCCAGCCGACGGAAGGTCGATCCCGCGACGGTGGTCTTCGTTTAGGTGAGATGGAGCGCGATTGTTTGATCGCGTACGGAGCTTCCCAGCTGCTCTTGGAGCGTCTCATGATCAGCTCCGACGGAACTCAGATCGACATTTGCCAACAGTGCGGGTTGTTCGGCTACAAGGGCTACTGCCACACGTGCAAGAGCACCAGAGAGGTCACGCAGATGACGATGCCGTATGCAGCCAAGCTTCTCGTGCAAGAACTGATCAGTATGAACGTCGGCGTGCGGTTGCAGCTCGAGGACGAGTTTCCCCACCCGAGATGATAAGAGGTGGCACGGCATGTATAGTACCTCGAGGGCATCAGGAGGAAGCCCAGGGTTATTGGAGTTTACTACTAGGGTGGCATTGGTCTCAAAAAGCATAGATAGCATACGAGCAACGTTGATATTCACTGTGGGTTTCCGCATGCCAATTGGATATGATTTCGGTACCGCATTCTCGAATGTTCAGTAGAAGTCGGCTACCTCCTCCGACCCGACATCCAAGTGGGGCCTCGACCCGGGCGCGCGGGCCCTTCTCCGCCCCCCCCGGCTAGCTCTTGAACCGTGGGTTTTCCGCAGCTGGAGCTCCCCCCCTGCGAATTTTGATCCGTCACCCGCCGTTCCTGACATCATTTCTCTCCGCCCGTCACCCGTTCGACTTTGCTCTGAACAAACACTCTTGATACATTGCTTTCGTGTCCGCGGCACACCAATGCATCTCCGTCGTAACAATTTATGATCACCGCTGTCCAGGACCCATGGCCGCTGTGCGCCTCACCACGTCTCCCGGCGTCCGCGCCGCCGCGGCATCCCCGCTGACCTCGCAGCTGTGGTCCAGCGCATCCGCGAACGCCGCCCCCGTCCCGACTTTGGTTCCTGCCGCAACAGTCGCCGCAGCCGCGGCTGTAGCAGCGAAAACGACGACGACGACGACGACGATGACGACCGCTTCGGCATTGCCGCCCCCGCCGTTCGTTCTGACGCGCGACAGGTCGAAGCACCGCGAACCCCCGAACCGGTACTTCAACCCTTCGAACACGTTCCTCTCCAGCAACGGCGGGAGCCCGGGCAAGAAGCCCGGCGACGAGAACAAGGCCAACCTCGGCAAGAGTACGTACTTCCCCCTCTTCTTTCCTCTCTCCCTTGGCCTTCGTGACGTTGCTGACATTGGCCACCCCGGCAGCCCTCCGCATCCTCCAAGACCACCTCCCAACGGTCCTGCAGTCCCCGCTCCCGCAGGAGATCCTCGCCCCCAACATCTCCCTCCACCTCTTCCCGACGACGCACCCGCACCTCCCGACCGTCTCGGGCCGCGTCGCCTACACCGCGGCCCTCTGGACCTCCCCGATCGCCTGGAACCGCATGCCGCTCGTCGGCAACGTGCGCCTGTCCATCATCTCGGAGCGCGTGACGAAGCAGCCCCTCCACTTTGCGCCGCTGCACCCCGGCGCGATCCCCGAGCAGCTGGTCGTGCGGTGGTGCGCGTCCGGCAAGAAGAACGGGTCCGCGGGGCATGCGGCCGCCGCCGCGGCGTCGGCGGCGTCGTCGACGACCGAGAGCGGCGTGAGGGCGGCCGAGGGCGGGGACAGGGCGTTCACGGGGCTGTTTGTGTTCCAGTTCGACGCGGAGGGGCGGATACTGAGCCATACCATCGAGACGGTGCAGGAGGGCGGGGACTGGGAGAAGGGCGTCGGCGCCAAGGTCGTCGGGCTGACGGATTGGTTGCTGGGCGGGATGAGGAGGCAAGGAGAGAGCCCCAGCCCTGCGTTTGAGGGTCTAGGGAAGAAGGAATAAGTGCTTGACGAGAAGGCTGGATTTATCTAAAAATCGGGAGACTGGCGCAACGGAAACGGCGTTTAAATGTTGGGCATAGTACTTTTTCATCATCATTGGGCGGGCAGCATAGCAACCCTCTCCTCTATTCATGTATTCATGTAAAACCACTGTACCATAACGTAAAAAGGAAATCCCACCACCAACGACTCCAAAACTCCTTGCGATGCGGAAAAACTTCTAATCAATAAGCCCGTCACATGCGTCATGCCGCAATCTGCCTCGTCTTCCTCCTGCCCTCGTCCTCCTCGGCGTGGGACGCCATGACGTCGGCCAGGTCCCCCTCCTTGACCAGCAGGATCTGCGTGTCGGCCAGGCTCGAGCTCGTCAACGTCGTGCCCAGGATCCAGCCGTTCCAGATCTTCTGCATGATGTTGTCCGTGCTCAGCATCAGACACCCCTTCATGCCCTCCTCGTCGCGCGGCGTGACGGCGACCATGAGCCGGCGCGCGGCCGAGAAGCGGTCGACGACGTGCCACAGGCACCCAAAGATCTGGTCCGACTCCTGCTCGGGGTAGTGCAGCTCCTCGAACGCGCAGGCGACGTGCCGCACGCGCCTGGTGTCCTGCCGCCGCAGAAAGTAGACCATGGGGCTGTTGAAGCCGTACTGGTCGTAGGCCTCGAGCTCGCCGACGAGGTAGAGCGCGTCGAGGCGGAAGTTGAACCACGCGCGCGGCGGGCGGGCGATGGGCGTGTCGGAGAGGAGGGCCGAGATCTTCCACCCGAACGAGAGCTCGTAGTGTTCGAGGCCCAGGGCGCGGGACTCGCGGCACACGAGGAGGATCACGGGGCACGTCGGGTTGAAGACCATGGGCTCCGGACACGGCGACGGCGACGGCGACGAGGGCTGCAGGGGGCGGCGACGGAGCGGCGGGCAAAGGCCTCGCGCCGGGCGGGCAGCCGGGCGTCGCGCTCGAAGCAGCAGGCCGTCACGACGCGGGGCGCGATGAGGTAGGACCAGATCTTAAGGCGGATCTCCGGGGGCAGGTCCGGGAAGCGGTGGAAGTGCAAGAGGGTGGCGGGCACAAGAGACGCGGCGCGCGGGGCGTCGAGGCCGTCGTCGAAGAGGGAAAACTCGATCCAGAACTTGGAGGCCGAGGTCCGCGCGCTCAGGTGGGCTTCCTCGTCGGGCAGGGGAGGGGGAGGTGTGGTTTTGGTGATGGTTGTGGCCGGCTCGGTGTCCATGGCGATGAGATGTGAGAGGGGCGAGCGCGCCTCGGATGATGTAGGGGGCGGTGGGCGAGATAAGAGGGTGGTGGTGAGGCTGGTCCCTGTTCCGCGGGGACCAGGACAGAAGGAAGAAATCAATGTTCTAGGGAATTCAACTCATGTCCAGTCTCGTGTAAGTCCAAAGTGCAGCGCGTCTCAGAGAGACGGTGTGAGAGGCGACCGCGAGGTGAATGAGACGAGGTTCGAAAGGGGTCCGGCGGCCGGAGCTTGCGACCGCACCGTCACAGGCCAAGACACAGCCCACTTTCCTATTCGGGCCACCTTGGCCACCTCGCTTCGACATTGCGCGGCGAATCACAAAGGCATTCGCTGCATCCAACCTGGCGGGCTATGGCAAGTCAAAGGATGTTGACAATTCCTGTTTTCAGCTCACTCGCAGATAAGGCCTGAATTCGTGTCTTGTGTACGTCACTGGGTTTCTGACCATGGAGGCGCGAGCGGGACTTTGCATCTCGGCGTCGAGCAAGGCTGGTGATGGATTGTTTTTGTCTTGGGTATCTTAGAAAATTCTATACTACTTTCGGTCCGTTCTGCCAACTCCCGTTCGTTCAATGTATACACAGCACTGTGCAGGATCAATCCTCGTATTGCTAAGGCCCGTATTTCTTTCATCCGCTTCGTCTCGTGTCGAACACCCCACTCCCGCGTCCTCAGGTAGAAAACATAAGAGAGCTGTCGATGGCACGCCAAAGCGTTACTGTTCTTGACAAATTGGAACTACTGCAAAGTCGCCTCTCCATCCGACTGGTGCTTCCGAGTCGTGATGTTCTCAGTGGCACCACGCTTGCGGAACCAGCTGAGGAGGTACACGCCCTCGTAGATCATGTTATCCCGTTCGTTCTCGCCATCGTCGGCCTTGTTGATGTATACGTTGCCCAGGAACGAAGCAACGATGGTGCACTGTGAACTTCATATTAGCTCCAGGTATCTACGACGGCTCGTCTTCCGGGGAAACCTACCAGAACCATAAAGGGGCAGATGGCGACAAAAGCCCAGACGACGCCCATCTTCGCCTCGTGGGTGACTTGCTGCTGCAACACGGCGGGAAGGTTCTTGAGCGCCGAGACGTCTCTTAGAGGCGAGTCATTGCTGATGCCCGACACGTTGTTGAAGACGGTTGTCATGACGGTCAGGCCGAAAGTCCCGCCAAAGGGGTACGCGACGGCCATGAGAGAGATTACGGCTGCAATCTTCCTAGGGAAGTAACCGATGCCATGGAGAGGGACTGCCAAGTGTTAGATGTATTATCATGGGCGAGACCGAGGCTTGCAAGGCTTACCAGGCATGACGCGCAGGCCAGTACCGACACCGGTGAGTGCCATCATCCCGTAAACGGTCGGGTTGTGCTCTGTGTAGATTGCCCAGGCCAGCAGTCCGATACCGGTCATCTCGAGGATGGACCCAATGAAGATGGGCGGGAAAGTCTTCCGGGGCCACGAGTTGCACATGAAGGCGGATGTCCAGACACCAACTGAGACTCGACTATTAGTTTCGTTCCATGAGTAAACCGCGAGAGAACCACTTACCTCCCAAGCCCGGGGTGAAGTACAACAGCTGCACGCCGGCCTGGTTTGCAGACCAAAGCTTCACCATGGTAAAGTAGAGGTTGCAGAAGTACAAGACCGAGTACATGGCCATGCCGGTGGCGAACGAGGTGTAGAAGAGGAGGCCGATGTCTCTGTTGCAGACAAGCTCCCAGGGAATCATGGCCTTTTGCCACGGGAACCGGCGAGCCAGAGCCTTGCCGGGGGACATGTGGTACTCCCAGACGACGAAACAGACGCTGATCAGAACCCCGAGAATGAGCGTGACAAGAACAGCGGGGCTCGTCCAGGAGTACGTCGCGCCGGCCCACGTCAAGCCAAGAATCAATAGACCGAAGCCGAACAGGAAGAGGATCTGTCCGCCGATATCGATCGTTTGGAGGCGCTTCACAAATGTCGTCCGTCGGCCGGTATCCGTCGTCTCGTCGAGCTGGGGGATCGGCTGCGGGCCCAGGAGCTCCGAGCGGAGGACGAAGTAGATGATGAGCATGCTGACGAACGCGATCGGCAAATTGATACCGAAGCACCATCTCCAGGACGCGCCGCTTGTAATGTAGCCTAGACTTGGTTAGCCGAGGTGTAGAAGAAACGGGTTCCATGGCCGACTTGCCTCCCACAACAGGACCAAGTCCCCATCCCAAGACGCCGCCGAAGAAGGAAAACGCCGACCAGTTCTTGGCGTTCTCACGCAGCGATACTTTATCGGCGAGGATGATGCGAACTAGGACGTTGAGCCCGGCGCAAGCCAGGCCTTGGAACGCACGGCCGAGAAGGAGGACGGGGAAGGCCGTGAGGGGTGCGCCGGTGCAGAGCGCGCTGCCCACAAGCATCAACACCAGACAGGCCTGCATCGAGACATGGCGTCCGAAGATGTCGGCGATCTGGCCCCAGAAGGGGACGAAAGCTGCGGATGTAAGGTTGAAGGCCGCGATGATCCAGTTAAGCTGGCTGGTCTCGTCTGTAAGCTCGTTAGACCTTGGGACAACGCAGTGGGGGTTTGGGAAGCCTACGGAAGTCGGATGCAATCCAGGGCAGTGCGCTTGCAATCTTTCACTCGTCAGTGACTGTAGTGCTATGGAGATGGAAGCGACCTTACAATTGTAACATCCAGGGCTTGTACGACAAAGGGCAGAAGCAGGCCGGCAAAGACCTTGCATCTATACTTTAGTTGCGCTCGCCGGGCCGACTTGCATATCGGACAAGGTCCGGCGGTCGAGTCATATTGATGGCCACAAGCTGATGCGCTTGGTTTTCTGATTGTTGTCGTCTGTTCATTCTTTCCTTGGCCGACTTCTTCGGTTGTCAGCCCACCCGTCGCCGCCGTGTTGACCTTGGTCGATGCTGGTTGTTGTGTCTTGCCCGAACTCTTGATCGAACGGTAGATCTTCTTGCCCAAGTATATAAAAACCATTTTAGTGATCTGCCTTGATGCAAGAGCAAGATACGGGGTGTTGGCGTCGGTGAGAGTTCGCTTGTTGTGGTTTTGGTACAGGAGAACCGTCTGGACAGGGGCGCGAGGACGGCAGATGAGCGGCTTTGGAACTCAACGTCTAAGAGATATGGATCGAATTGATTTTGTGGCTTTTGAACTACGACTTGGATTCAAATTCAAACCATGGAGATGAGTGACACATATATATCCGCGAGCACGCTCGAGCTAGAAGGAGTCACGTAGTGGGAGCTCATCGCAAGACAGGGGCTTGGACCTAGCCATACGGATGGAGCGAAGTGGAAAGTACGACGGCCGATAAGCGAGTGCGCGAGCAAAGGAGACGAAGGGAGGCCAACGATGGAACTTTCGGAGGCACTCGCCGGCATGGCCTGCAAAGACCTGCGTACGCAACATGGAGATGAAGGAGAGCCAGCCCCAAGCCCCATACCTTGTGGGAACAAAAGCAGACGGCGCGAATGCACAGCCAAGGTGTCATCAGGGCGTCGTAAAGCATTGAGATCTGGAGATTCGATGGGTGGGAAACGTGTGGCTGATCGTTTCCGTCGTACACACGCCGTCTTACCTGAAGGACTAGCCGTTGGCGGGAGCGCGTGTGGGTTGAATTGCGGGAAGACATCGACAAGCTCATGCCAAGGCAGCCTTACCAGCAGCTCTGGCCAATGGAATCACCTTGACAATAGTTAGCGGCTTACGGAGCGCGAGTGCTGAGCCTAAGCGAGTGCGATGTAGTGGAGATGACCCGATTCTTTGGATTCTTCCCCGTCGGTGCCAAGCGTGTTTGTTCGACCTCCATCAGTCTTGCTGCACTTTGCTAACGTCGACTTACCGACAGGATACACACTGAGGGTTGCGTTATGGCCGGGGGGACTGCGTGGTCTGCCAATGGTTTCGAGGGATCAGCTGCAAGCTGTCCCGTCAGCCCAACTCTATTGCACCATTTTTCTGCCAACCCGAGATACGGGGGTTTGCGTGCCTCGAATGGAATTCCCAAACGGGAAACGTCGAAATGCAACTGCGCCTCTCAGCAACAAAGTCCCTCTGCACCTCGCATCGCGACCCGGAACTCGGCACGGCAAGCTCGTGGTGAACGGTAGCTGCGAGGTCTCAAGACTTCGTCACCCCTCATTCCAGAACCATGACATTGAGTTAGACCCTGTAATTAACCTTGATCCGAGTTCGGACGGGACAAGGTGGCATGGGCCACGTTCGTCCCTTGAACTGACCATTCAGCATGCCGGACAGGCCTCTCTGCACCGGTTTCTCCGTACCGCAGCCTCTCAACAGTCGATGCCGTCTCAGCGCCGTCCCCACCGTACGGGCGCCTCGAATGGGTTTCTCAAAGCGGACGCCGATTGAGACGCATGCCCGGCTCTGCCGCCAACTCTCGTCGTAGTCGCCCTGAGTGGGCCTGGCTAAGCCTCTTCTTGTGGCCCTGTCAACCGCCTTCTCTAACGGTAGTCCTCACGGTGGGTGGATGGCAGTGCGGCAACTGCAATGGGAATCTCCCACGATGCCACCGGTCGACGTACTTGAGAACTCATCGAGGCAGCCATAGCGCCAGTGCTCGCCGCGCGTCTTCACACACGCGTCCATGGTGAACACCAGGCAAGGCACGCCAAGGCTGGTACCCGTCATGTTACTTAGGGTTGTCGTGGCTGAACAACCCGGACTGAAGATCAATCGAACCCAGAGACTAGAGTGTGAGTATACGGCGACTGCCAATGTGCGCAGGAAGAGGTCAATCACATGATGGGGCAAGAGTGACCATCTCTAGCGATCACAGCAGAGTAGAGTCAAGGACCACCGATTTCTTTTCTAAAATCATTCCCTCCTTCCCAATATACAAGACGCCTGTAATATCATAACGTGAAACGACGTTGTTTTTCGACCCCTGCGGCCTGTTCCTCCCCAACAAGATGCTTTTCTTATCCACCGACGCCTCGTCTCCGACCGCGACACAACCTGCCCGTGCCTAAAAGCAGGCCCCGTTAAAACTTACGCCACAGCCGAGGTGGAAGCCATCTGGTTGATCGCAAGTGCCCTGGGGGTTGCTTTCGTTCTTCGACTTGTACGCGTTTTCGTTGCAGCTGCAGAAGCTGCAACGGTGGTCGTCATATTGGGTCTCGCCGCAGTAGCACTTGACGCACCCGCCGATGCAGTAGTGCTTTGCGGAGACGGCGGTCACCAGCGTCACGAGGGCGAGGAAAGAAGTGAACTTCATCTTGGCGTCTGCGTTGTAAAAGAGCGGGTTTTGGCGTTGTTTTGGTTTTGGTTTGGTAGAGACTGGTCTGGGGACTCTGGTCGAGAGTGGGCAAAGACGTAACAGGAGCGTGGTTGTCTGAGAAGGCGGATCTGGTGATGGCTTCTTCAGGCACCACCCACCTTCTGTAGGTAGCGGATGTCTGGTATTTGTACAAAAACTAATCTTCATCCATCCTTCACACTGTTCTCTCGATCAATCGCCTCATACACCAATAGCAGGTAGACCCAAACAGCAGATTGCTGAAACCGTGCATCATTGGGACCTCCCGAGAAGCTTCACGGCCAAAGGACGGTGTTTCCGCGACAAATAAGACGATCGAATATAGGGACGACGTGGAAGGCTCAACGAACAGCATATCGGACGAATGAAGACGTCAAAACCCTCACGAGTGTCCCCCCCCAGTGATCGTCGGCGGTCCCGCTTCGCCTGCTGTCGGTAAGATGAACAAGAGTCCAAGTCTGACGCCCTTTGCATATAAATACGCCTGCAGTAGTTGACGTTGGCGCCGGAATGGAGATGTTGTGCTTGGGTTGTCTGGGTTATTTTTTGAGTTTCGGCAAGTGATCGACACTTCAGATGGCAGCCGTACCCTGACAGGCTCTGTCGCCTGGTCCAAAGTCACGAACATTCCAGCGATCAACGATGTTTTGCACATAGCAACGGTGCCCCTGGAATCATGCGCGCCAAGTGCTATTATATTCGGCGTATCCACGACTCAACGTTCCAGCTCGTAGAAACATACTGCATTTCCCTCAGGCCGCCATTAACAAGAGACCTCAGGGTTGATAGTGGGATCGATAAGACCCGGTGAGGCTGATACCGTATCCCGCCCTGTTTTGTCTTCGCCCGCCGTCACGCCTTCATGGCTGGTCTGCATTCTCCTTCATATTTCGGCTGGCCTTGCTGTTGGGGTCCGTTTTATCGAAGCCCTTTGGAAGGCAGGAATTCACCAGCCAGAAGGGGCTCAACCCGCCTTCGACACAAGGCTTGCATGCGGGGGTGCCGATGCATCGTAACCGAAGGCTCCGCATGTTTTGTTTTTCGCCTGCCAACTTCCCACAGAAAAGCCCCTAAACTCGAAGGCCAACGCCCCCGCACATTATTTTTCTTAGACTTATAATGGATCTGCGGCCAACCAGAACCAAGCTGTCTGTATGGAACCAATCTATTGCCCTGGGCCGTCGGCTCCATCATACCTCGCATGCTCCGATGGATTGACCCGCACCTTTTGACTTTTGCAATTTGAGCACTACGCAAGACGATGCATGCATCTTTGCCCTCGACCCACGACAGACGAGACCAAACCCGCTGGAAAATTCGGAATTCTATGTTGCCTGGCCTGCCGTCGGATGGAGTCGCTGGTAGTGGGACGGCGCTGACCGTTGAGTCATGCTTCATCAACAACATCATCCTCATCCTCGTGATGGCTGCATGGTCGAAACTTGCACTGGTTGCAGTTCTGTTCTGAAGTTGAAAGTCATAAAGAACCAGGCGCCAGTTGAACCTGATAGCTTTGCACTCTCTTGAATTTTCGGCTTCAATCAGAGCCGCCGCACTTGTTGTCCAGGAACATGATACATATCTCATCAGCTCTATAGACAGTTCTATTATATCTCGGGAACCCAAAAAGCTACTGGCACGTGAACTGCGGCCATGTGAACCTTCTGAAGAAAATTTCCGGTACCTCGCTGTCTTGCATCATGCCGTCTTGGGACACCTTGTTATAGAAAGAGAACACATAATTTCCGGCCCAATCACTCTTCTTAAGTGTGGTATATCAATCGGACATTAGCTAATAAATCCCCCGAACGACAGACGATTCGACATGGATGGCGCGGAGTGCCTACTGAGCCAAGAGAATAGAGACTCGAGAAGAAAGCAAACTGGGTACTTTTTGAACAGTTCACCTGCCCGCAACAGACGACTAGCCATGGTTGCCCTCATTCCGTGACGATTGGAACCGATGATGGCTGCGAGGATGGCCGTCGGTATCACTGCCGAAATCACCGTACTGCCTACGACGGAGACGGAGCAGTAGAAATACTGGGACTCTACAACTTCCGACCCCGCCGGTGGAGCATCTTATCGGTGGTCGGTGGTCGGTGGCCGGGCCGCCTCCGACTCGACGCCATCTGATTATTGGTGTATCCACTAGGCACATCGGGGTGATCGACTGCAGTGGTGGGGCCGTCGGCACCATCCCACTATACTCGATGTACGAGCATGTGGAATTGTTGCGTCGCATCCTTTTTCGTCTCGAGGTATGCTGTCTTGTCTCTGTAACGAAGTTGTAGATCACGAGGCGAAAATCCCGGCCCATCGCCAGGAATCAGACTCCTCGTCTGGCCACGGTCTACGGCAACTGCAGTCGTCGTATTCAAACAACCACTTGCCTTATCTACTAACCTGATAGTCCCTAGACTGTGCTGATTACTATCTAGGTTTGAGAGTTGTGGACTATACCGGGAAGACTAAACGGAATCGAAACGGACATGGCAAAGTACATAGACGCACAAGCGTATTGCGAGGTTCCTGACAACGGACACCAACACATGAGAGTACACTCGCTCATAGAGCATATAGACGCTCAGCGTGTTGGCTTCCAAAGACACCGTGGAAGGAGGGAAACCAAAGGGAAAATGCATACTTTTACTTGTTCTTGCCTTGCTTCCTATTGGTTGTTCTGCCGTGCTGCTGAGCTTCTTACTTTCCTTCACGAGCCACCGTGTTAGTGTCTCATCCCTTATCTCTTTTGTGAGGGCCGGAAGCACTGCTAGACGGACTGTATCCATAGAGTATAACTGTTTATTGAACCAGCACTATTGGCAGTGGTCACGAGACTTTACCATGTCCCTGGTCTTATGCTTAGCTGTCCCTATGTACTACGAAGTGATAGTATACGCTTTCGAGTCTGCGACGGCGTTCGCCGCGTCCTCATCACGCTCATAGTTGGCCACCGTCGTAGCACCGCCCCTAAACACGAAACCAAACCAGTACCGTCCGCCTGTGCTGCCGCTGTTGATGCCTAAAGAGTATCACAAAACCATGTCAACAAGGGGTCTCCCCTCCTTCAGCGCCGAAGTAGACGCCGAGTTTTTCAGAGCACAAACGGAAAGGAGAGGGAAATGAAGCAGAGCGCGCATACCTGAGTAAGTCGCGCTGGAGGTACAGGCGGTGTAGCTCTTGCACTTCTCCAGGACGTACGCCGACCAGGTGGCGGCGGTGTAGTTTCCAAGGTCGCCGTGATACGCGGCAATGACCTGGCTCGGGAAGAGTGATCCTCCAGGCACCCAGTTGTGGGGTGCCGGCAGGGACACTTCGACAAAGGAGCTGCGAGGCTCGAGCGGGGCGGCAGAAACGCCCGCGGAGACGGCAATGGCCGTGTTGACGATGGCTGCGAGTCTCATGGCTGCTCGAGGTGTGGCGGACGGCTTCGTTCTGTTGGATGTTCCGGAAAAAAGAGCGTGACGGGGAGGAAACGAGCGGTTGATACAAAAGACAGAGAGCGGTGCTGCATTGCAATGGCCAAAAAGGGCTGTCTTGTTGTACTTATATGTCCCAACGACTCATAGTAGACAGAAACTCCGTTGGAGTTGCTGGCTGCGCTTATCGTATTGATACTATCGCAAGTGGGGACGCTCGCACGAGGATGCACCCAGGGGCGGTGTTGAGCACGCATCGGGAAGCAACAGGCGGGGAAAACCAATTTCACGCCTGATCATTCTTAAGAAAAGAAGATAAGGAGGGGACAGCACATCATGCCGAACCAATGAGGTAGGTATTCCTACCGGCGGCCTTGTCCAAGCTAGGTGCTTTGCCTACCACTTGCCTAAGTTGGTTGACCCAAACAAGCTTTCGTAACCATTAATCGAAATTGCGCTAGCAGGACCCTTAGTAGGGACACCGCTACATCCCTACCGCATACTATTGGCTGAGTCAAACACACTTGATTCAACGTCCTCTCTCTCTCTTACAGCTGTGGCCCGAACGTAACTTAGATGACCACATTTAGTAGGTCATTAAGTTAATGATTGGTTTTTACCTTTACAGAGCGATTAATCTCTTTGTGGCCGTGTCGGCCATGCCGCGGACTTCGCGGCAATAGGCGGGGCATTGAGGGCATTTTTCAATCAGGCCAACTAATGCTATATTCACGGTTATCGGCACCATACAATCGCCAGTTCAACTGGGAGTTTCTACGGGAGAACGTCCGCGGCAGGCCGCGACCGAGAGTTAACTTAATTGATACACAGTGGTAGCATGAATAGTAGCAGGCACCGGCCGTGTAGAAAGAGCACTAGAAGCCCACCGAGATATACAACAAGCCGACGTACATAGTCCGTTGACATTTCCAATTACACGATCATCAAACCGCAACCCGTATAGCACTCGGGCCAACACCTCAACACATGGTCAACACCCAGCAGCTATGCCTTCTCTACCCGCCACCATCAACGCGCACCTGAAGCTGCACTCCTTCCCCCTCTTCCACATCCGTGCCCTTCTCGGAGCACCATGCCCGGGCGAAGTCTCCGCCGCCGCTCCCCCGTGGCATTGATGACCGTCGCGTCGTTCTCCCTCACGCTGCCGCCATCAGCCGTTTGCGCCACCGCGACGTTGCTGAGCCGGAGCTTTTGAAAAGTGACGGCGGCGGGGGAGTGGGAAGCGTCCACTCGGCGGTGTTGTCCCGCTGGCTCTGCGCCGTTGTGAACATGGGGGCTGCAACGGGCCCATCGCCATCCACATCTATATCCTCGGCGAACCTGAGGATGCCATTGACCTGCCGCACATGGACAGCCCTGTGCGGCTCATACCAAGCATGCGAGTTGAAGTCCATGTTCTTGCTCCAGAGCTCGGCCGCGACCGTATTGTAGACGACGCACCGTGACGCCGCCGCGAGCGTCTGGACGACAGAGTCGAGAAAGCTGACGTGTTGCTTGGGTACGATCTCGTCAATATTGGCGAGGGCGCCGATGCTAGTGCTTTCTTCCATGCTTGGCAGAGGCGAGACCGAGTGGGTGTACGAGTACGACTCGACGTCGCTGGACACCACTTCGTTATTGAGCATACTTACAGGTACCGCCTTAGCGGCGAGGAGACCGTGAGGGTGTATTCCAGTGCCAAGATATCGCGCGAGTTCCTGTGCACGGGTGCTATCGACACCGCCGACGCAGTGCAAGCGGCTCTCCCATGTCTAGTCACTCCACGCTATCGCCGATCGTGATTAAGAACTTATTCACAGCCTCTCATCCGTTCCAGAGGAGGTTGGTTACTTGTCGAGCTGAAAAGCAAACGAACATCTACCCAGAGGTTTGTCACTCATCTGATGGCCGTCTCACATATATACAGTGTCCGGGTCGTGGTGTCTTGGGAACTTATCCTTTTCGGCGATCTTCATGTTGTCAGGGAAATGGGAAAGTATGATGATCGCCCAAAGTGCCTATAGTGTGGCTCTAGATGTCATTATCAACGGGATCGACCGCGCCTTCATCAAGGACTCACCTGGAATTGCGTATTGACAACTACAACGTCCCCTCCCTGGACAGAAAACATCCAGGACTCCCAGTCTAGCCCGCTGAAGGTATCTGGGCATCTCTTCAGCGCCACAGATACCTTCAGCGCCACAGGGCTGACATCGTCATAGTTCAGCCGATTCTAACTATCTAACTCCGTGCTCTTTTTCAAGCCCTCGCCGTTCTTTTTCGCGTCCGCGTCCTTGCGCCCGAAGCGCATGTAAAACCTCCCCTGCAACTCCTCTATCGCGCCGGTTGCTGCCCTTTCTTACCAACGACTCGTTACTCCCACTCCTACTCTTTGGGGTTCAGGGGATGAATTTACGCCTGCGATCCATCTCAATTTAATCTTGGAGCAGTTTCCACTTCGATTAGCCATTACCACCAACCCCACTTACTCAGGGCGTACGCCTGAAGTCGGGTATGACTGAGGACAGCCCAAAAGAGAGAAATGACATGCTCTCGTGTGTACAGGCATTCCCGTGCTCCGCTAGGCCCCTGACAAATGGTTCTAGGACAAGTCATGGCGGAAGTCCTTGAAACACTGCATCGCAGCCCTCAAAATACCCAAGTTCCTCTCACACTCGGCACGCTTCTTAACATCATCATCCTTTTCTCCAGCAATCTCGGAAACTGTTTCTGAACTCTGACTCGAAATGATCTCAAATGTAAAAACCTCGTAGGGAAGTCGCTCCAGAAGATAACTCTGTACTACCAAAGCGTTGGCGTAAGACACAAAGGAGATAAGTGACACCTTGTAGAGTATTGGCAACTTACAGTGAACCGAAAGTGCTGATTTACATACCTTGTAGTATTTTTCTGCGATGGAAATCGCGCGGCGTACTGCTTCCTGTTCGAACTTTTGTCGAGCCGATATCTCTGGTGTGTCCTGTGCAATAGCCGCAGAAGCAGCATCCCCAATTCTCTTTCTCGCCTCCTTAAACAAGACCTCAGCAATTTGGGTCTTCCAAGGTGTGATTGATCCCGCTGAGTTACCTAGCAACTTGAGAAACTCTTCTACAGTCTCCAGGGGGAAAATGGAATTGAGCTGGCCAACCAACTCGGTTCCGAGATTCTCCCGCATCCCGGCTCCCAGCTCCAGAGCATCGTTATTGAGTTCGCATACGAAGTCGTGAAAGGCAGGGTTAGTGCCTCCGTGACATCGGAGCAGTTCTTCAAGTTTCTCATCGGCATGATACCGAAGCCTTTCCATGCGGTCATTCACTACAAACTTCTTCAAGTATCGTAGTAGTCTCGGAGGGACGCAGTGTTTCAGTGCCAGATGAACAAAGCGATCTACAGCATCCCATGAGAGCTGAAGGTGGGTACTGCTGATCTCCCGCCAGCGGGCTGTCTCCTCGCGGAGCAGTTGAGCCACCATAGCTGGGTTGACCTCGTCCAAGCTCTCTGACCCCCTCCATTGGGCCGCCATATCCAATACCTTACGCTCAAAAGACTCAATAGTCGCCTTCACATGCGGCAGAAAGGATGCATATTTTTCATAGACCTCTGCACTCAAGATTTTCCGAGGGTTGTAATGAGGTTGCTGGACAGGAGGTTGGATAGTCCCGTAACTGGGTTGCTTGGTCCCGTTCTGGCGGCCCTGACCGCTGTGCAAACCTTTGTGAGTTGTGTCTTTTCGGGAGGCTTTTCTTGCCTTTTCCTTGGCGTTAATCTTAGATATTCGGTCTTTGACAGTTTTATTGCGGACCGGCCTCTCTACCCTTTTCATTTTCACCACATCTTCTTCGTCGTCCTGTCGTTGTATGCCTTTCTTTCCATCAATGACTCTCTGCCTAGCAGTGTTGACCTGGGCTGACTTGGCGTCAGATTGGGCTGGCTTCTTGTGGTGGGTATTGCGTCTGTGTGAACTCCCTGGGTTTCCGTACTCGCTATGCTCTGACTCTTCTTTAAAAGTTTGTTCGTTCACTCTCTTCTGTCGTGGGGAAGGTGGTGGAGAGAATGGCGGAGACGAGAGTGCTTCCTTTCTCTTCCCTTTTTTTCCCTCGTGGACAATGAGCCTCGATCGTACGTCGCTTCCTCCTGTCCATCTTCTTTATCATCTGTCGCTGTTTGATCCTCTTCGTCCTCTTCGGTGTCTGGCTCTCGAGGTATACCAATCAACATAGCGGATTTGTTGAACTTCACTGATCTCTTCCTTTGGGTTTGGCTCCATTTTGGACTAGTGCGACTGAAATCTTTGGTGCTGTGCGCGCTGCTATCCGACTCATGTTCATTGGAATCTGGGTCTTCAGATTCCTCATCAGATTTGATAATGGAACCCATTGCCTCATTGCTGTATCCCACCGTCTCCGGACTAGTGACAGTCATGACATCCGATTGAGACGACGCGCACTCACTTTCAAAAATACCGTCGCCACTTTCCGGGTCTACCGGAATACTTGTCGAGGAAGTTGAAGCCGCCCATCTTATTGAATTAAGAAGTCGGGTTATGTGAGGCATCTCGATGATTTGAGGTTGTTGAATGTTTGTGGTTTTTCCGTTTTTGATCATGGTGGAGTTGAACAACTGACCCATGGCACGTATGACAGCCTGCAAACGTTTGTCTTGGCGTTGTTCGGGAGAATCTCTCAGGTCGTTGAAGAAGGTCTGTAGCTCAGGCGGCGCCGTTCCCTGGTCATATTGTCCATTGACCGCATCACAACACAACTTCTGGAAGTTGCTCGCCATTTTTGACAGGTAGTCTCGCTGTTCTTGCTCAGACTTCTTGCCTTTTTCCAGCACTTCCATCCGTCCCTCAAGGACTTTGATTTGCTTCTTGATCTCGTCTATCAGATCGGGAAGATGTTTCCCGACCTGAGACGCCAAGAATTGGCTCAGTTTTGGCCGCAAATTGACAATACCCTTGAGAGATCCATCAATCTCTTTCCACTCCTCTCGGAATTAGTTCGCTTCGATTGCGTCTCGGTCGTCTTCACGATCTCTCTCTTCTTTTGTTCTGTTTCTCAAGCAGTGCCAGCCATACTGGGGCTTCCAAACTCCCTTGTTCGCAAGTCTAGACAGAACGTCCCTAATGCTGGAAGCCTTATCGAGACATGTGATAATACTAAGTGTCCTGTCCCCTGATTTGTTGACTTGCATAACTTCTTCAGGTGCTCGTAAGTTTGCCCACGGGGTTCTTGCTGTTACCACGAGAAGTAGAGCATTTCGAGGTTCATACAGGTATTTCCGCACCATTTCGTCCACAATTGCCTTATCGGCTTGATCCTGATTCGCATTAGAGGAGGAGAATAAGCCAGGCAGGTCGACCAGAGTGATTGGGTATCTCTTTGGTCCCAATATCGTGATTCTTAAGACGTCGCTGCTGAACCGGCGTCGGCCGTTTACAGTGGTTGAGGGGCGAAGGATGAGAGAAGTCGCCTTGTTGATTGCCGTAGCCAACTTCTTTGAGTCGACCAAAGGCATGTGCTCACGGAATCCCTTCAGATCGTCGCGATCATTCATGGCACCTGTGGCGCTGATAGTGATCGTGACTGACTCTATGTCGGCCTTCCGCTGGACGACCTCGATCGGAAACTTTGTACAGACATCTTCGTCGACAGGAAAGTTAATCTGGCATATGGCTTCAAGCACTGAGCTTTTGCCACTGCTCTGGTCGCCAATGACGACAAGCTTTGGTATGAGCTCTTTTCTTATGCCTGTCTCTTTCAGACTGTCCAAGGCGTCGAAAACACCTGCGTAGGACTCTGAAAGTTGGTGTAGAGCGGAGGGGCAAGACTTTGAGGTGTCGGATATGGTAATGTGCGAATACTGTCCCACAACGAGGACTGCTCTAACAATCAATACCGTGACCAACAATGAAGATGGCCAAAGTTCAGAACGGAATGGAGGGTCGATATTCGGTCTCTGGGTTATTGCATTCTCTGACCGATCCTCACTTGATATGTAGGCTAATCACACCATTTATCATCTTGGGTGTCATAACTCACAAGGTGTTGGACTTTTGCTCTATTGGCTGTTGAGATAACACCATTCTATCATGCAGGTTGGCCAAGAACCGCCGTTCTACGGTCATGCAATACCGCGTCGCATTCTTGGAGCCTCATGACTGTTCAGGCGCTGTTGCATCTCGTTCTAGCGAATAAACGGAAAGCATGACTTTCCGTGTTACTCATCATAGACAAACTGCTTCATAACAGCGGGGTATAAGCTCTCCTGCAGTATGACTTGGCTGGGTGCCTAACACGCAAAGCTGCCTGATCCTTTCGGGGCAATTCAACTCTCTCATCTCGTTCCGCTCGAGTCCCTTCTCTCTTTCTGCTTTCTTATCAGTCTCATAATTGTTTCCTCTACTAAGCACTCGGTGCAAATCCAAGCCGATTCAAACATAACAGTTCTCTAAGCCTTGACACGGATTTATGCCGAGCCTTCTGCAGGCATAGAATATAGTTCTAGCTTTTCTGAATATAATGGGATATCAATGCTGTTGGCGTAATTGTTTTTGACGGCCAGTAGTAATGATGTTAGAAGAAGCCGATGCTAAGCTAAACGGAATATCAAGCGATAATGCAAAAGTCACGGAAGTCAATCAGCGCCCGTATCCCTTAAATAACAGTATAAATCAACTTCCCGTGCGACACGTTAACAACAGTAAGAACGAAACTTATACGTTTGCCAGCCAGGCGGCGTTGCTTAGCTGGCACTGTGTACCTGTCCCGTTTTTGACTACAACCGGCTAATATGATGAATCTACACCTGACCAGCACCGGCCCCGCCCCGGCGCCGATCCGACCAACTTCCGCTCGGTAGTAACTGACCGTTGCGGCAATTGACAGCCGCAGCAGTAGTCCTCAGTCACTGTAGACCGAAGTGATGCTGATAGTTTGTCTGCACTGTATTGTTAGATTGGGCTATCTGATTGGCTAAGAAAAGCAGAACACTGCCCGGCTAGTGATAATCGGTCCGCAAGACTCTACGTGTAGTTTACTTGTCCTACATTCAGCGTTGTTAGGGGAAGGTTTTTGCTTTAGGCGTATAACAGAAAGCAGTGTGTAGAACGTTTGTTTCCTTTTAAGCCCGAAGACTGTAAAAATCTGTGACCAGAACCAAGCAAAAAGAAAAAAAAAAGAATGTCCAGAGCCAAATCAACAATATTTCAGTCCCTGAAGGCCGCGTCACCCTTCAATCCACATTGTCTACCATTTGTTGTCAGTCTCTTCCGCCCCCCATCCCATCAGAGGCCCTTCCGATGCTAATAAAGTCCTCATCAGTGGCAGGCAACGGAAACTCAAGCTGCTGCCCCTCCGTCCTCATACGTCGCCCGCTAGTTCCACTAATGCTGGAAAAATGGCCAGAATTACGCGTGTTACTACGCTCCCCGTGGCCGTTTACCAGCACTGTTGACTGCCCCGCATACGATCCCGTACCTGAATCATACCGCTTCCACTGAGGAAGCAGCTCCTTGACAAGACGGAGAGTATCTTGCTGCATCAGCTGAATAATATCGTCAAGCAACTCCTCTCGGTGCGTGATCGTTTCCTCTTCCTGCCCCTGATACATGTCGGGAAGACGCCACTTTGGGTAAACGTTCATGTGAGAGGACTGAACCAGGAATTCGTCTTCCGATTCCTTGAGATAGTAGCGACAGAGCCGGCACGGAGGCTTGCTAGTCGCGATGAACATGGTGTTGTCCCAGTAGTCACGGGTTTGCACCATCTTCCCCCGAATAAGGAAATCTTGAAGAAGCACCTCGCAGTGGACAATTTGCTTGACCGGCTTTTTTTCCAGGTTTTCTTGGATATATTGGTCCAGATTATGCATCTGGAGTCGCTGGATGTGGTTTGCGCAATCCTCAACATCCATATCTGGGAAAGCGGCAGGGATCACCTCTGCGGGTGAAGGCATTACCCTCGGCAGGGGAAGTCGTACAGGGCGGCTGGAGGGAATGTGTGCGATAGTGAAGCCATCGAAAAGTTCAGGCCATTGTTTGTAGGCCCCGACGATGGTGTCAGCTGCTTGGCGGTATGAGTGCAATCGGCCAAGGCTATGACGGAGCTCACACCAAGAACGTGTGGCTTCAGGATCACCAACACTGGCACCATCATTCATGATCTTGCTAAACCCGTTCTCTATCATAGATTGATAGATTTTGATCAGAGCCTCACAGTCGCTAAGAACTATAAGTTTGCTTTCGTCAGTACACGTAGGCCTTGATTATCGCCCTTCTCGGCGGATAGCTTCGAGAAGTTAACTTACACTTTGGTCTTGCATTAGTCGCAGACAGCATGTCGGTTGAAAAATTGGCCTTAGCCTCGATCAGTACCAACTTCGAAAGTATGTCGGATACTTCCGCTGTTAGCATTATATCAGTTCAAGCTCTTTCTAAGGCACTTACCGTCGTGCGTTTCGACAGACAGACACTGCTCGATGCATTCACGGACTGAGGTTACAATCCGACTGATGTAACAGTCCACCCTGAGATAATTGAATTCCAAGATGCGCCACAGCACTTGCTTCTTCAAGGGCTTCTCGGCGAGTCCATCTGGGTATTTGCCGACAAAGTCAAGAAGATCGCTGAGGAAGCTTTTCGTGTCTTCGAGCTCCGGCTCCTTACGGTTGTTGGAGGCGAAGAGATATCCCGGTCCGTTGGCGGCTTTCAAAGCGACCAGGGCGGTGATGGTATCCGGCCCCATGGTCGCGTTGCAGATCTGGGCAAGGCTGCACAAGAACTTCTGGAAAGGGGTGAGGACACGACCACTGTCCAAGTTGACAGAGGAGTAGGTGATGTTGTTCATCTTTTTACAGCTCTCGTTTACGGAAGTAAAGAGGGTACAGAGGTAGAACAACTGAAGGGCTTTGTCATTGGTGGAACCCCCGTTGACAATAGTTTGGCTGGTAGTTGTGGAAGGCATGATGGCGGATATTGAGTAAGGTCTGATTAATATGATGAAAAGGGTCTCGAATGAATGAGGGTTTAGACTTCTAAGGTTCTTCGGGCCTCTTATATAGAAAAAGTATCGAACACTTCACTACTGGCTCCTTTTTCTTCATTTTCAAACTGTACGCCCAAATACCTTGGACTGTTGGGAAGCGCGGCAGTTGGTGGTTTTGTGATGGACAACCAACCATCTAATCCATGCGACCCTATCACAGACCACGCATCGCGGTGCGAAGCTCAACTCGCGCAGAGCCTTATCAACAGCCAGGCTAAATCTAGACAAAGTGTAAAAATACGCAATGATGTGTCTCTTTTAGTGAGCTTGGAGGCCTTCCAACAGAAAGATCCAACGATGCGTGCACTATGGAACCCCATGGAGTCATAGGGAACTCCCGTTTCGTGTCCCGCGGCCCATTCCCCAACCTGCATCCTGCAAGCCACACTTGGAAAAATGTGTAAGACACGACCAACGATTGCGATTTGGGAGGGATCTAACTTCCCGGTTGGCTCATGCAAAACTGGGCCACAGGAATGGCCGCCCGCGACCGCTTTTCCATGGCCGATATCTCCTCTTTTTGCGCATAGCTCACCGAAGCCAGCCTGCAGAAGTTGGAAAGGCAGATTACGACTGCATATACTCCGTATCTTTATTGAATAGCTTCGAAGCCTGATCCAAGGCCAAGATTGGACGATCAACCCAGTCTGACGAGGTACTTCGGTACATCGACCACCTGCTCGCGAACCTCCCAAAGGGACATCAAGTAACTCTCGTGGATGTGATTTCTCTTATTAGTGGAAAATAGTAACAGATGGAAGCACGTATGAGCGGGGTTAGAGTCGTTGGCTCACAGTTGGCAGCAAGGCTGGACGTGAAGCCATTTGCAACAAGTCAGGCAAACGGGCGCACCAGTTTTCATCCCGCTCTCAATCTTGATAGAATGAGAGATCAGAGAATTATTTAAGTCTGCTTCCTCCACGCCTTCTTCTGCCTCTGCTACTAGAGTTTATGGTGCTTTATCAATCAGTTTTCAATAACTACCTAACACATCCTCCAACGCGACATTACCTGGCTGTGGCCTGATTTGAGTTGAGCCCTTTCAAAACAAACTTAGTCTTGAGTTCTCAACTAGCACTTTGGTGATAGTCGGGTAATTTCAAAGCGCCAGGCGTAACTCACAGGTATGGTAGTACCGATGTTTGTGCTATTGCACCTTATGTAGCCCCAGTCGAGGCACCCACTGACGTTTCCGTTCTCTGTGAACGTGCCATAGACCACACTCCTCGAGTTGAACACTTAGCGATCCGGACACGCGTGATAAACCCTTTGTCGTTTCCGAAGGTCAATTATCGTTGCAGCCGACCTTCCCGTTCCAACAAGAACGAGCCATCACTGTGAGTAAGAAGGGCAAATTCCAGACATCGGTCAGTATAACGAGAAAGATAACAATCACTGATATGCCTCCGCGAGCCAGGCTATGACCCGTAAAGGCAAAGAACGTGAGCGTGACTACCGCTCCGCTTTCAGGCCAGGAGCAGGAGATCCAGCTTTTTGGTCATACGAGGAAGACGAAGAGGCCGAGTGGAGCCCGTTGCCCGCAGGGGACAACCATTACGGGCCACCAGGAGGAGGGTACCCGCCCAACGAGCAGACCTGGGCAAACGAGCCCAATATCACTCCTGGATATTGGACGCCGCAGCAGCAGTTGAGCGGCGTAGAGACAAGCCAGCCCTTCGGCAACGAATCGTTGCCATAGGCAGCTAATCCGCTGTCCGACCAGCCAGGCGAGTCCTCACATACAGCCCTGCAGCCAAGTTCCGACTTGGATTTTGATGAATATTTGTACATGGAAGCCCTTTCTATCTCCAACGAACAGAACGAGTCTAACTCGTCGTCCTCTCCTTTCGATGCCCAGGAATATGAAGAAGCGATGCCCGTGGCCGAGTCCTCGCGCGCCGCGAAGCAGAAACATACGCACAGTTCCTCCACTGCAAAGCCATCCACTCGCTCGAAGAAGTCTGTCCCTAAGAGATCTTCTCCAAAGGAAGAGGTCCAGTGTGACTGGGAAGGTTGCGGACGACAGTTCCCGCGGCCTACCGAGTTAAAGTAAGGCTACCCAAGGGGGCATTCCATACTTGGGCGTTGTCAAAGATTCTAATAGAACTCTAGCAAGCATATCAAAAAGGACCACTTGCCTCCTTCGATTCCATGCGATGCCAAAAACGCCAATGCTTTCCGCGGTGTCCCTCCCTGTGAGGATATGTTTTACACGAACAAGGAAATGTACCGTCACGTTCGTAGCGCGCACCCCGACTTCGCCGCCGATCCGAAGAACAACATCCCGCCGGAGGGAGCCTACTGCCCGAAGTGCGGCGACTGGATTAAGAGGTCTGACAACTTGAAACGCCACATCGATGAGCAACACAAGCAACAGAAGCGTTCTCGACGGAGTCGCTGATGGGTGGTTTGGACTGAATGCGTGGCTTCTATATGCGGTGCTTGAATTGCTTATTTCCTTAGTCTTTGCCAACTTTGCCAATTGTGTTTAGTTTCTTTCACAGTTCATCATCTCCTATTGTCTGGATTATCTTTTTGAACTTGTTTGGAGGACCAGGGTAGTACACATCAGAATGACGACTTGCAATATTCTTATAATCTCACGCTTGAAGGCTAGTACATGCAAATTTGACATCCAAGGAGACGGCTAGGGCCTCAAGGCCATCGGCTATCCTCAGCCCAGAGTACATGAGATACCCTGAGACGTTGCAAAAGTCAACAAGACAAGATCAAGCATCGTGGCTTCATATCTCGTACCGAACCTCAACCGTTGTCATCTGTACATGCACGTCCGTAACTCGGTTGGTCTCCTGCATGATGCCATTGGCCAAACGGAACTTCCGCTGGCGTGTCAGCTCTGGCGCCGGTTGACCTCCCGCATTTCTGACCCCACTCTTTTGCCTCCTCCTCGCCTTGAGACTGGTTGACCCTATTGCCTGAGTAGTAGTTGCGGAAGCCGCGTTCTTGTCGATGGCGGCGGAGTTCTTCTGGCGCAAGAGGTATAGGTCGGCGTCGTAGATTGAGAACCTTGGTCCAACAGCCTATAGTTGGCCTCCACCCGAGTCTACAGCAGCGATTACCAAGACGAGCATGTGGCAACACTAACAGCTTCTCAAGGGATGGGCCGACGGATGGTTCATAAACCTGAGAGGCTCCAAGGCATTTCATCCGAAACAAGTCTTGGCCCCTTGAAGTCGAGGGAGAGAGAGTATAACAAGTCTATGGGAGAAGGACGCAATCCTATGCAAAAGTGTAACAAACTTATTGTCCGGATACTAATACCGTTTAGCATGTCTGTAAGAAGTGGGGGGCGAGCCGGACCGAGAGCCGTATCTGTTCTCCCACCGGGGATTACAGCTCTTCCAGATTCATGTTGTGCAATTTCAAGCACGGGGAACATCGCAACAGTCATCAGGACGTCGTAGGTAGCACAATGCACAATGTACAGATGAGATGCACTCCAGATGACGGGGAGAAAAAGGCACGGGATGCTGTGTTACGAGCACCCACGTGAGTTCCGCAGCTCCGGAATTTTCTCGGCGAGGAACTTTGAGGTTGAAAGGTTGAAGGCCGAAGGTCTTCGGGGGCGTCCGCAGTGATTTGTCACATACGGACCAACCAGACGGAAGGTAAATGACTGTCCTTCAGCGGGACGGGACATCCACTGACAAAGCGTACGTTAGGCGCAACTGCTGCAGGTGATCCGGGCTGACGGTTTCTTTCCTGCAGTGGGTCGGGGGGGCGCCGGATCCTGACGTCCATTCCGGGAAGCCCGCTTCAACATTGCGTCTGCGTCCCTGTCGCATCCACGTCGTCGTCGTTGTCGTCCTTTGACCCGAACGACCTACCAGACGCGAGAGGGGAGCGGCGATCCTATGTCGGCAATCCAGACGAGTGGTGCTACGGGGGACTCCACAACAGACTCCTTTGAATCTTGGTCCGGGCTTGGTCGTTGGCGCTCGGCTGCTTTGGTCCAGGCCACCGACCGTGAGCCACTTGCGCTTCCCCGGCCGATCCAAGCCGTCTTCCTCTCACCCATGCATTTCTAGGTGCTGGCGCTGTTGGACATCGAGTGTCTCCGGAAACGCGGAAACGATATCGCAGAACTCGACCATTGTGCAGAACTTGACTCTGACCTCAACAGACTTAGCGGCAGGCCCAACAATCGGCGACTTTGAGCATTTGGAGAACATTAAAGGTGCAGATGGCGCACCGGACTGGACTGGACTGGAATTACAATTCGTGCTGCTTGTGAAAGGCCAAGTAGACAAGGGATTATTGGCGCTTCGATGACCAGCGACATCGTCATTGTCTAGCGTCACCTGAGCAACTACTCTCCAAACCGTCGTGAGGGGTTCTGTCTCCTCATCTCTGGGCAGATATAGCCTGCCGTGCGACTCTCGATCATCACGATTCAACTCACTTGATTGAACGCGGGCTCTAGGACAAGTGCTCAAAGACAAACCGGCCATCATCGGCAATATCCAGATCTTACACCCGTCTTCTATCGCCTGCCGACTTACAGCCATCGAGACACGTCCCCAATCTATTGACAACTCGGCGACGGAAAAGAACAAGACGAAAGGCCCCGCCAGAACCGCACAGGACCCCAGGCGCCTCCAATCCACACCCCAAGACTGCCAGGCTTCCCGTTGGTCCTGATCGACAGAGCTGGTCGGCTGGGCACATGTCAGCAGCCAGGGCCTGAACAGGTTACATGTCACATTTGGGCTCTTCTGACCATCGTTGTCGCCGTTGTCGTTGCTGGTCCCGCTGCTGTCGCACGAGGGGAGACTGTTCCTTTCCTCCATCTCCTCCGTTGACTGACCCCTGTTCTCCTACCCGATACCCCTGACACCTTCTCCGATAAACCCATTCCGCGGGGCAGTGATTCATAGTCCGCATTTTGCATCTTCCCCTCTTTTCTCTCTCGAGCCTTCTCTTGACATTGAAGTCTGTCTTGCTCCACGAGCCTATCTGTTGTCACTGGCGCCGCGTGGAATGTCACCGATAGCATCTTGACCTACCATCTCGACTCTCGACGATCCAGACTTCCTGGGCCTCGCTGAAGAAGTGAAGAAGCCTGTTCTCCGAACCACCGCCTCCAACGACCCCGTCCATATCCGTTCCTCCAGCTAGCCTATCCTCCACGCCCCCGGGGAGACTTTCACGAGCAAAAAGGCACGCCAGCACACCCCTCGCCCCGAACCAGTCAGCCGCCAAGCGCATTCGAGGTGTCGCAACCCACTCACACCCCTGGTCGTCCCTTCACCAGGTCGCATCAAGCGCAAACCAACCCAGTCCTCGACCCCGTCCGTCCAACCAGAGCCGCCCATTGCCACGTTCTTGTCATATCCCCCTTCGCCCGAAAGGCTCACGACTCTCCGGCCGTGATCCAGTGTCTTCCCCCCCCCCTTTGAGTCTTTTGGCGCAGTAGCCCGCGTCCCACGACCCCGTGGGGTTCCCAGCCTGAACCGGCTCAGCCAAGCGAACCCCAAGTCTCCCAAGCCAGAGACTCGGCGCACCTGCACCTGCACTGAAGCCTGTGGAGCGGCCTGACGTCGAATTTCCAGAAGCGCCCATTGCATTGATTGCATCACAACCTTCGTTTCCTCACCCTCTCTTTCATCCCCCGTCCGTATCGCCAACGCCATCGCCCTAGCCGCCCCCTTCAACTCAACCCGAGTCGCATCCCGGAGCTAGTCCACGTCTTCTTTTTCTTGCATCCCCGTCGTTCTACCACAACTTCTCTTCACCTCCCCTGTGGTCGACTCAGTCCCTTACAGCAGCCTGTTTACCACTCTGATCTGACTGCGCGCAACGTTACGAGGTGAGTGATGGGTGTCCTTGCTGACTTGGCTGTGTCTCTGCCTCTCGTTCCCGTGCCTGTCAGGCCCAGATGACGGCTTCACTAGGACAAGTAGGCAGAAATGTCTCGACTGGGGGCTGACCATCTCCAGCCACTCGATCCTCCAGCGGCGACTTCCCGGGTTATCTATCAAGTCGCACTACCGTGGTAATCGTTTCCGCAGTCACGTCCAGCGTCTTCATCCACCCGACATCGTATTGCCAGCGGCCGCACGCAACCCGTCCGCCTGCCTGGTAGGTTGCCATTCTGCGCTTTCCCCTGTCCTGATTCCCTCTTTATCCAGAAAGTCTCGGCAGATTACGAGACTGGCCTGCATTCAAATTACCATCTCGCATCGGCTCTGCGGAGCGAGTTTCACAAACTCTCTTGTCGTCTGCACCCAGGGCCAGACCCGGCCTGAACTGTTTCCCGTCGTCTCCCCGTTTCCCGTCTTCCGCCAGCCCAATCAAGCGCGTGCTTCCGGTCCTGCGGTACAAGTCCAAGACCTGTCCCACATGTGAAAGGGCTCTTCTTGCTCGAGACGAGACCCCGGGACCCCGGGGTAACTGGTTTCTGCACGCCAGCCCATCCCAGTCCCCCGTCTGGTCTCTGTGGGGGGTTCCACTTGGTCCCATCCGTCTCTTCTTGTCTTTCTCATCCCGTCTGCACATACTCCATCTGCCTTGCGCCTCTCTCGGTATGCTATTGCCGACCACCCTAACCTCACCTTGTCGGCCTCTCGTCCGGGCTTCCTTAGGCCCGTTGATATATTCCTAGTCTATCCCACCTCTTGTAGCCGAGTGGTCTCCTCTTTCTTTCTTTCTTCCTCTTTGAGTACTACTCTACCCACGGTTGCCCAGATGTTGTAGCATTGTCTAGTGTAATGCCATCCTACTGCCTGCAAGACTGCCACTACTTCTACCGCACGGCGCTGCGCGGATTAAACATCAGCACCAACGTCTCGCCCCTCTACGCATAAAGAGACCATCCTCCTGCTAACGACCATGCCCACTCAAGTTCGTATCTTTTCGCGACCTAGGCCCCTCGGCGAGACTCTCGAAAAGACCACCTCTCTATCCTCAGTTCCTCGCTCCGTCCCAGACACCACTGACCAACTTTGGAAACAAGACGAACCGTCGAAACCGAAAGAGAGCACCAAAGACGCCCGCTCTATGGCAGTATACACCGAAAAATCCGTCGAGGGCGGTGTCACATTCGCTGGCCAGGACAAGCTCAAACACCTGCCCATCCCCGAGTTGGAGGTTACCGCGCAGAAGTACCTTACAGCTCTCAAGCCGCTACAGTCCGCACGGGAACATTCCGAGACCAAGCAAGCCGTCGAGGAATTTCTGAGGAACGATGGCCCGCTTCTGCAGGAGAAGTTGAAGACTTACGCCCAGGACAAGACCAGCTACATTGAACAATTCTGTGAGTGTGAGCACATCCCACCATCCGGATTCTGACTAACCATCGTGAAGGGTATGACTCTTACCTGAACTTTGACAACCCGGTTGTTCTCAACCTGAACCCCTTTTTCCTGCTGGAAGATGACCCCACTCCCGCAAGAAACAATCAGGTGACGCGGGCGGCATCGCTCGTCGTGTCGGCTCTGGAGTTCGTCAGAGCCGTTCGCAAGGAGGAGCTCCCTCCCGACAACATCAAAGGCCAGCCCCTCTGCATGTACCAGTACTCGAGGCTCTTTGGGACAGCACGCGTGCCCACGGAAAATGGGTGCCAAATCGAGCAGGACCCAGACTCGAAGCACATTATCGTCATGTGCCACGGGCAGTTCTACTGGTTCGACGTTTTGGACGACAACAACGACCTCATCATGAGCGAGAAGGACGTGTCCATCAACCTGCAGACCATCATCGACGACGCCGCACAGACACCGATTCAAGATGCGGCCAAGGGAGCGCTCGGCGTGCTGAGCACGGAGAACCGGAAGATCTGGTCGGGACTGAGAGACGTCCTGACCAGGGAGGAAGGCTCCAACAACGCCGACTGTCTGGGCATCGTCGACTCGGCATTGTTCGTCCTGTGCCTGGACTACACGGAGCCGGTCGACGCCGACGCACTGTGTGGTAACATGCTATGCGGCACCAGTCTGGTCGAGAAGGGCGTGCAGATCGGGACCTGCACCAACAGATGGTACGACAAGCTGCAGATCATTGTGTGCAAGAACGGCAGCGCCGGCATCAACTTTGAGCACACGGGCGTCGACGGCCACACGGTCCTGAGGTTCGCCAGCGACGTGTACACGGACACGATACTGCGCTTCGCCAGGACCATCAACGGCCAGGCCCCCACCCTCTGGGCCACCACCAGTCCCGACCCGGCCAAGCGGGACCCCGACAGCTTCGGCGAGGTTGACCCCACCCCGCACAAACTGGAGTGGGACATGAGCCCGGAACTCAGCATCGCCGTACGCTTCGCCGAGACCCGGCTGGCCGACCTCATTGAGCAGAACGAGTTCAAGACGCTCGACTTTAAGCACTACGGCAAGAACTTTATGACGTCGATGGGATTTTCCCCGGACGCCTTTGTGCAGATGGCCTTCCAGGCCGCCTACTACGGCCTTTACGGCCGCGTTGAGTGCACCTACGAGCCCGCCATGACTAAGATCTTCCTGCACGGCCGCACCGAGGCGATCCGCAGCGTGTCCGAGGAGTCGGTCAACTTTGTCCAGACCTTTTGGGCCGACAACCCGGCCGAGCACAAGGTCGAGGCCCTCCGCAAGGCGTGCCAGCGCCACGTCAACACCACCCGCGAGTGCGCAAAGGCCGAGGGCTGCGACCGCCACCTCTACGCCCTCTTCTGCACCTGGCAGCGGTCCATGGACGACGACGTCGCCAGCAGCTCCAACGGCTACTCGAGCCCCGTCGACGGGTACTCGGAGCGGGACGAGTCCGCCGTCGGCAGCCCCGGCAGGGACTCGGTCCTGTCGCTCAACGGCGCCGAGGTACAGTCGGCGGGCCGCGCGCGGGGGGACAGCACCAACTCGCGCAACGGCCACGGCCATGGCCACGGGTCCGCGATGCCGCACATTTTTGCCGACTCCGGATGGGACAAGCTCAACAACACCATCATGTCGACGTCCAACTGCGGCAACCCGTCGCTGCGGCAGTTCGGCTTCGGGCCGACGTCGGGCGACGGCTTCGGCATCGGGTACATCATCAAGGACGAGGGCATCTCCATCTGCGTGTCGAGCAAGCACCGGCAGACGAAGCGCTTCGTCGACACCCTCGAGAGCTACCTCCTCGAGGTGCGGCGCATCCTGCGCATCACGTCCCGCCGCGGCACGGGCGTCCGGCAGACCCGCGCCCGGGAGCTCGACCAGCAGACCCGGCCGAAGCCGCCCAAGGGCATCAAGTCCCGCGGCCGGCTCATCACCGCGCAGGACGCCATCAAGCCGTCCGTGGCGCGGTCGTCGACGGGCACGCAGTCGCCGACCGAGGAGAGCGTCACGCTCAGCGAGGACGACGAACTCGGCGGATGTAAGTTCCAACTTTGTTCTCTCACCTTTTTGGAAATAAACCACTTTCCCAGAGCAAAGTGCTGACCGTGCGCGACAACAGATGGCTTCTTCGACGCCGGCATGCTCCTCCAGGCCCTCAAGGCGCGCGGGGAGAACATGGACAGCGGGGAGACGAAGCCCTCGGAGCGGGCGGCCGTGCAGGCGCGCCGCAGGGAGATTGGCAAGAAGCTGCGGCTGATCGACTACTAGCCCAGCCGAGCGGCCTTTCAGCTCAGCTCTCGCGCGCGCGCGCGCTCTAGCCGGCCCACCTCGGCCGAGTCGTTCCCTTGTTCTTCAATAGAGGCGGCCCGCGCCGTGATGCGCACCATTCCAGTCGTCGGACATTGGGCCGGGCAGCGGACGACAAGGACAGCGGAGTCGCATGCACGAGGGAAAGAAAGTGTCGTGAAACGAAATAGATGATGGTCAATCAAGCTGCGGTAAATATAAACAGCAAGCCTTGTTCTTGGAAATATACCCTCCCTTTTCTTAGGACTAGTCCCCCACGGCCTTGTTCAGTCCCTCTGCCGTGACTGCCACACCGGACAAAGAACCCAACGGAGACATCACGTTTATTAGTATTATAGGGGCGACTGGATTTGGAAGATGCCGTTTCAATTCATACACTGACGGTAGGGTTCGGAGGTAAGAACAGCGTTTGCTAAACACACCCGGAGACCCCGCCCTCCCTTGAACAGCACAACCTGGGTGCGTTTCCTGCGCGGAACGACGACCCATTTTGTCCTCGCAAAACATGAAACCCCAAGTCTGAGTAATCTACTAACACCTGAGCCGTCCCATGCGGCCGCGGATACACGCAGCAAACACCCGTCCTCACCGCCCGCCCCCCAAAATCATTACAAAACGTTACAAGACAAGGTCCAACAGAATGTACAACGGAGGCCCGCTCGCCCGAAAGCTTAAGCGAGCTCATGCATGTGCCCGCGGTGCCCGTCACCGTTCGTCGGCGCCTCGTGGACATTCGGCGGCGGCTGCTGGGGCTGCTGGGGCTGCTGTTGTTGGAACTGCTGAGGCGGCTGCTGGTCATACTGCTGCTGCGGTGGCTGCTGGTCGTACTGTTGGAAGCTGCCCGGTGTGGTAGTATGGGGGCTGACGGGGTACATGCTGAGGCGGTTCTGCGTCATCTGGGACACGGCGCCGGGGCTCGTCGTGTCAGCGCGGTCGGGCACCATGTTGCCGGCGTAGTACGGCTGCTGGTGCTCGCCCTGCGGGGGCGGGGGAGGCGTGCCGCCGAAGCTCTGAGGGTAGCCGTTCTGCCCGGCGAACTTGGGGTCGTAGTAGGAATACGTGTTGGTGGTCGCGACGTTCGGCGGCGGCGAGCCCTGCTGCGGCGGCTGCGCGTAGTTCATTTGCGGCTGGCTCATTGCGGGGTTCTGGCCCTTGGGGGTCTGCTTCTTCTTGCGGATGAGGAACCAGATGCCCAAGGCGACGAGGGCGATGAGCGCAAGGCCGCCGACGACACCGCCGACGATGGCGCCGATGGGAGTGGATGATTTCTCGGGCACGGGTGATGGGGGATCAGGGTCTGGCGTCACTGGATCCGTCGTCGTCGTCGTGGTACTGGTGGAACCGACGGACCTGATGCTGGTGGTCGACGTGGTGCCACCCGTCAAGGCCAGGGGAGAGAAGTTCCGGGCACTTTGGCCTGCGTACGTGGTCGAAGCAGCCTGGGGAGTCGAGTTGTCGACCGTGTTGCACCAGTAGTCAAAGATGTTGTCTGCGAAGGAAATGGTGTTACAGTAGGGCCGCACGGTGTTGGTGCTGGGGCTGAGTGTTAGTCTTCGAGTTTCCTCCGTTGCTGGAGAGACTCACCACTTGAGGGTGAAGCGGTCGACGAGACAGCCACCGTCGCAAAGACTCGATGTGGAAACCTGCTCGGCATCGTAGCACGTACGCCGCGCGCCGCAGTCTTCGGTATCGCAGCAGGCTACCCGGCCAGGGTTGTTCTGGCTGGCGGTGAAGAAGATGCAGGTGGCTGAATTGCCGCAGGTGTAAGCAGCGCCAGCACGTCCCGAGATGTAACCACAAGTGTTGTCCGGGGCGACGAGGACGGTCGTGCCCGTCGCCTGCCGTCTCCTCAACTCCGCGTACGAAGGTGCCTCCGTCGGCTCGGGGTTGAACTGGTGGAGTGGGAGGTTGAACGAGGTGGTGGCCTTGGGCATCTGGTACACCTTGGCATTGGCGAGGCTCGAGAGGACCGCCAGGGCAGCGACATAACGTAACGGGCTCGCCATCTTGGTTCAGGTCTTGTTAAAGGGGATCGGGCAATGGGTCAACTACGATGTGCGTCAGGGCGACTCGAGAGAAACCAAGCAAGACAAGAGGGAGAAGGGACGAGGGCTCGAAGAGCGCAGAGGCTGGCCGCCATTATTATAAACCAGGCTGCCACTGTGTTCACCCATCTCTCCCATCACTGTTGTCCCACCCAACATGCACGAGCTGCACTGGCAGAGGGCCAAGGGGTCGAAGGACCGACAGGAACCCGCGAATGTTTGGTCGACTTCAAAAGGAACTCCCCAAGTTGCTCAGCCCTAGACTAGCTCCTTTCCCAGCCTAGTCGATGAGCTTGGTTCGGTGGGATTGGCTAGTCAGGCATTCAGGGTTCAGCCAACCCAATCGTACCACAGTCGGACCCATTGTGGCTTGCCAGAGCTGAACAACAAGAGTAGAGCTAGTGTGGACGAGAAAGGCAAGGGGAAATAGCCACTAGGCCGGATGGTTCAAGGGCGAGAGAGATAAAGAGAGAGAGAGAGAGAAAGAGGAGAAGGGCGGGGGCAGCGGGGAGTCAGAAAAAGAGCCGTGGGGGAATGCAAGTTGAAATGTCGATTGACATCAAAGGAACCCCGAGTAATGAGAGGCAGTTTGGGATGCGTGCTCGAAAGATGTACCGAGGGTTGAAAGCCGAGTATGCTTTCGGGATTGTCGGAGTCATAGCCTTGGAGAGAAAATGCACCCAGCGTGGTGAGGTTTCTCGCTCGGAATGCGCAACAGGAATAGCCTTGCTGCCTCGATCACGAGCCCCGAAACAGAATAGCCTAAGCACGTTTGGGGGCCCTAGATGTTGTTGCTTTGGGCTGTGACAAAAGGTGATGTTTGGAACAGTAGCAGTCGCTTCCTTCGGTCTCCCCAAGCCAAGGACGCGCCCAATGGAATCCTCCACGGAACCGGGGGCGCAACAAGCACAAAACCTTGCCGTTGAAAATCGGGTTTCCCGTTGTTAGCGGGCCAGCCAACGAGCATCCGGCGTATGAAACCGACGCTCTCGACCCAGCCGGGGCTAGTGGCTCGCGATTAGAGGCGACACTAGTCCTCTCTGGCGCTTCGAAATTAGACAAGATTTCCCGCCTGAAGGCGGACTCCAGCCTCGTGAGCCTGTGCTTGCTTTTTAGGCCATGTTGAAATGAGAGCGTGGCTCGATGGTTCAGTCAGATTCGGATTCGGTTGACGTTCCGCCTGCCTCTCTATATTCCGCGTTCCTGTGAGTTGTCTACCTTGTGCTCGGTGCAGCCTATTGATCCAAGCGGGTGGCTTTCGCCAGTGCACCCTCTTCACTGCAACACTCTTTACACTTGTAGCCACATGCTATTTGAATCGTGTCTTTGGCACATGCATATGCAAGGGGAGACGCAGTCTCGGCTTTGGCGCGCCATAGTCTACGGCACGTCCGCGCCTTCGCTGGATATGTAGTTCATGCAGATGACCTGCAGACCTTTGAATACGAAAACACAGCTCCGACCGCATACGCTGCGAGATGTGATGATGATGGATCACTGAAAGTAGCTGGGTGAACGTCGACATAATGTGTGGATGCATTGCACCCTCCCACCTTAGATAATCATGCGGAGCCAATGACGGGTCCAAGCTCCCGCCCATTGCTTCTGCCAATGGGCGGCAGGAGAGATGAACCACTCCAATTGATGAACCCTATCTGGTGATGCACGAATCAACAACTCGAACGGCAAGTCGAACTCACCCGCCACGACGCGCCTTTTGCTTACGGGAGTCGCCCTTCCCAGGTGCAGCAGTCTCGAGTGGTCCATGACTATGCCGCGTTGAGCAAGAGCAGTTCCCATCAGCCACTCGTCTGCTACGTCTCATCGCACCTAGTAGGCTCAACTCACTGTGTTCGACGCGACATCACGGCTAAGCGTTGCATCGCGTCTCACTCATCAAGCTTGCCACTTCACTACTGGTATACCAGCGCGTGACGGATCTCCCTAAAGCACTTTGAGAGACGTTCCACGTCTTGCGCGAACCATCTTGCGTTCCATGCCGTTGGACTTCTCTCGCATGCCATGACCGACTTGCTCCAGCTTATACCCGACTTTCCGGTTGGGCAGTTTGCTGGGCTGGTGCAGACATTGGAACGTCACCAACTTACTACCACCGATCTCTTGACCCAGGATGTCGTCGACATAGGCAAACGCACCCAACTACCTCTGCTCGACATCAAACGACTATGCGCGGCCGTTGTCGATGCCCTTCACCGCGACTTCAACCCCGCCAACCGACAGCCATCGAACGCCAATCCATTCCTCAAGCGTTCACTCACAGAGCTTGAAAACCAGTGGTCCACAATCAGCACCCTCGATGACGACCTTGATCGAGCCTTGGGAGGGGGGCTCCCAACCGGCTACGTTACCGAGGTCACAGGCGAGAGCGGCGTTGGGAAAACGCAGTTTCTGTTGTCGCTGCTGCTGGCTGTCCAACTACCACCACCATATGGCCTGGGCCGCCCTGCCTTATACATCACAACGGAGGCACAGTTGTCGACGAGACGTCTCTCCCAGATGCTATCGACCAACCCTCGGTTTGCGGATCTTTCACCCGAGGATAAGCCGTCTTTGGATGGGATCTCCAGCACCTCGACCCCTGATCTCGAATCCCAAGAGCATATTATCCAGTTCCAGGTCCCTGTTGAGGTCGAACGGCGCAATATCGGACTCATTGTGCTCGACTCTGTGGCCTCCAACTACAGGGCAGAGTTCGAGCGAGGCGCCATCAACAACCACGGATCCAACATGGGAGCTCGCAGTACCGAGCTCACAAGGCTCGGGGCCTTGCTTAGAGAGCTGGCCCAGAAGTACGAACTGGCAGTCGTGGTTGCCAATCAAGTGGCAGACCGGTTCTCCAGTTCTCTCGTGCCAGTGGCAACCCCTAGGACGGCGCCTCCTCCGGGTGGTGGTGGACTCACCCAGGAAAGCCCACTAGCATCAAGGAGCAGGGGGCCGAGAGCGTTCTCACCGTCAGCTGTTGAGCCAACCTCGTCCATGGCCGAGCATGTCCGGTCTAGCATGCCCGAACCTCCGGGTCTGGATGACTTCGGCCCGCCCGCGCCTCCCGCGCTGGCATTGGACCACCAACAACGGTGGTTCACGGGATGGGGTGATGATCCCTTCGCAGACTACGGACTCAAGACTCCCAGCCTGGGTCTGGTGTGGTCAACCCAGATAGCGTGTCGCATTGCATTGTTCAAAAAGCCCGTGTATGGAGTGCATCGACACATCGAGGATGAAGCTGACGAACGGGGGATGCCGGCGCTGAAAAACTGGCGTCGGTGGATGAAGGTAGTCTTCGCTCCCCATGCAAAGGCGACAGGCCAGGGCCTGGATGGCGCTGTCGAGTTCGCGGTGACGATGGCAGGGCTAAGAGCTGTCACGAAGAAAGAAGCTGACGGTGACTGAGCTCTCAACCACTCGCTGAGATGTCGAAAACCTCAGTCTCTGCTTGAGTCAAACGAGTGAAGAGTATTACACAATTTGTGAATACAAGCTACTCAAGCTTACCTTAACCTTGTTCACTAGACCGGCAGCTGTGCAAGTCTGACAGCAAGCCCATTCGCTGCATGGCAGCCATCGTCGGTGTTTCGTCTCTACATCGGACGAGCGATGGTGGCAGCAACAGCACATGGGTTACAATGAGTCGACAGCTTGCTCAGGTCAGTCCTCATGGAGCCCAGTGGTACGAAAGAGTTGTGATCGGCCTGGTTGAAAGACTAGGCGGCAGTGGTACATTGTGTTGCTGCCTTGAGCATCACGAACCTTGAGTAAGGTCCAGTCAACCGTCGGTCGGGATGAGGTTATCACTCAGAAGTTCTGCACGAACCACGCAAACGAACCGCAGAGGATGGTGGGGCGTGTCAATAAACCCATGCATGCTCTATAAGCCGAGGCGTTATGCAGAAACCACCGCATAAGTCCCTAGACTTGCGGCGAGCGATGAGTAGCAAAGACGGACTGTTGGTAGAAAGACAATAAAGACAGAAACGAAACAAGCTTTCCAATCCACAAAGAACCCCAGAACAGATACGACGTTTTGAAGGAAGCTTCCACGGCGGGTTGCGGTTTCTAGCGGAGGTGTTTCATAGAATACGAATGGGCACTTGTCCTCTGATATTAAGGACTGCAGGAACGAGGACGGACCCCGACATTTTGCTTACGTACTTGCACCTGAAATCCGATGTACTAAGGTAGACGTGTGGAGGCGCAGGCCGCTGGAAGATGCCACTGGATAAGGTCGGGCTCCAGCTCCATTACGAGCCGGTCCAGAACCAAACTGCGGCCCAGTCACGTGTTTAATCCCGTGCCTTCCCTGCCTCTCCGAGGGGTTTCATTCGCCGGTGACATCTGACTGAGGTGGAGGTGGGCCCGTTTGCTCCTTCCGCCAGGTGGTAGCGCACTGGCACAGGACTTCTCTGGGTACAGGACACCGAGCACTAGTCAGAGACTGGCCCTGGTACTGGACAGTCCTGGGTACCTACGGGACACCCTCCTGCGCTAGAAGCCTTGACGTAGCAGCCTGCCTTACTCCGTTCGACTCTCCTACCTCACTTGACCTGGCTTTGGCTTTGTTGCTCCTTTCGACACCTCATCACGACACCACCGAATTCCATCACCTCCCAACACCCACGCAACGCCCATACAATCGCCCCGCGCGCCTCCAACCGCCGCACAACAAGAACTCCACCAGTCCTCATCGGAACCCCCGCCATTCACAATGAACCCCGAGTAGTACGTTGCGTCTTTCGCCTCCTTGCGAGAGGAGGATAGCCTCGGGAGCCGCCGCCAAGCTGACCTGCTTTCTCTCACAGAGTCTCCTCCATCCATCCCGCCCTCTCGATGCCATCGTCATTTTGCCGCGAAACCCACGAAGCCGATGCTGTTCACTTCGCTCCGACACCGATGCTAACCCGCCGGCAGGTACGACTACCTCTTCAAGCTCCTCCTCATCGGTGACTCCGGTGTTGGAAAGTCTTGCCTTCTGTTGCGTTTCGCCGACGACACCTACACTGAGTCCTACATCTCCACCATCGGTGTCGACTTCGTATGTTTTCCCCGCCACCCTGACACCGCCCGACCGGCTGCTGACGTTCCGGCAACAGAAAATCCGCACGATAGAGCTCGATGGAAAGACGGTGAAGCTTCAGATCGTAAGTTGAGCCTGCCGTCGATCGCTTCGACGACGCTTGATTGCCGCAAACACTGACCCGGTTTGCCTCTTTTGCAGTGGGATACTGCTGGCCAGGAGCGTTTCCGCACCATCACCTCCTCTTACTACCGCGGTGCCCACGGCATCTGCGTCGTCTACGATGTGACCGACATGGACTCGTTCAACAACGTCAAGCAGTGGCTCCAGGAGATTGACAGATATGCCACCGAGGGCGTCAACAAGCTGCTCGTCGGCAACAAGAGCGATATGTCCGACAAGAAGGTTGTCGAGTACACCGTCGCCAAGGTAAGATATGCCCCACCTTCTGGGACGAGCATCGCCATGCTCTGCAATGAGCACGCCCAGCGCCAACCTCCCCAATTTTTCCCTCGTCTCATGGCTATTGACACCCGATGCAGGAGTTCGCCGACAGCCTGGGCATCCCCTTCCTCGAGACCTCTGCGAAGAACGCCAGCAACGTCGAGCAGGCTTTCCTGACCATGGCCCGCCAAATCAAGGAGCGCATGGGCAGCACGACCGCGAACAACACGAAACCCTCTGTGCAGGTCGGACCGGGACACGGCGTCTCCTCGAACTCGGGCGGCGGCTGCTGCTAATCGTCTCGACCCTGATTTCTACGAAGCCCGCTTTTCCTTACCTGTGTTCTATGGCATTTTACGGATTTTCTCGCCGGAGGGGAGGCAGCTGGGCAGAATAGGCGAGGGAGGAATACACAACCTATGAAGGTGTTGGGATCGGATTCGGCTCGGACGAGGCTGTTTCGTTCGCTTTCTCTCCTTCCCCCGCTACGGCTGCTTTCCATACTTCTTCTACGCATAGATGAGTGTTGATTTGGATTGCTCCAGCTCCACCTCCGCACTACACACGCAATCAACACAAGATACCTCTGTAATGGGACTCACGACGTTGCTTATGGCACAAGACGGGACCTTGCGATGTTCACGCATCCAGTCACCCGGCACTAGGGCATTCTCCACGATACACCCGATGGGCAGGGGCAGGAAGGCTATGAGGCTATCTCGGCGTGCGTGCGTGCGTGTGTTTGCGTAGGCTGTGTTTTGCTGGCGCACCGTGTATTTTGCGACGAACATGAACGGCAGCGGGGTGATCACATAGGCAACGAAGCGGGCAACCCGCACGGTATCCGCGTGTTTCTCTGTCCGTTGGTGTTGCTTCTCCTTTTCGTCCTTCTTGGCGGCTGCTGCTTTTTTTGGTAGATAGGGTCGAAGTAATGGGCAAGTGACGTTTTCCTTTTTCACAATCTGCGGAGACTCCGTTTCGTTTCACCGTGCTGTGACGGCTCTAATCATGACATATACATGATGATTTTCCAGCAGCGCTCAAGTCCAACTTTTCGCCGCATCAGATCCATTCATTTCGCACGCAGCCCGCGGCGTTTGCATGGCGAACACGAGTATGACGTGCGGCTCGTTCGGGGGGTATCGGCAAGACCGGTCACCGGGTCGGTCTCACGTGGGCGCTGCTCTCAACCACCACCCCAACTCCCACGGGGGGGGGGGGAGAGAGAGAGAGGTGGGAGTGAGGTGTGGGTTAGGAAAAGCACATGACCCCGCGCGGTCACATGCGGATCGACCTGGATTGACCCTGGTGCCCGTGCCCGGCCCCGATAAGCGCTCCCCCTCCCAACCTCCTCCGTCCGGTCGCCTTTGGGGCTGGAGGCTACTCGAGGCTGCGGCGGATCGGGTCGGGAGGTTTTGTATTATTTTCTCATCGTTTACTTGCGGCTGAATGAGAAGGGATTGCTTTGGAGGGCTCGGATGGGATCCAGGATGCGAGGATGATTGCGGCGTCCGCGGGCTCACGCCGGAACTGTGGCACGCAGCAGGAGAGGGGGAGCGAGGTGTCTTGACGTCATGGGGGCTCAACGGTTGACTGCGTGCGGAACGGACGTCTCGTTTACACCACCTCGTCTGGGCTTGCCTGGCTTTTACGAGGTGGTCTTCGTCGAGGACCGTCGCCGGTGGCTCACGTTGGCGGTGTACGTACGCTTCGACTCCGGCAGGAGGTTCCCGCGAGGCTGGCGCCGGGGGCTTTGGACGCAGCTGAGGACCCTTGGGGGGGCTAGGTACGGGACGAGGCCTGGATGGGAATCCGAAGGCGAGACCCCAAGGTAACGACGATACGGAGGTGGCGCTTCTCGCATTCACCTTGCTAGGTAGGCTCTTCCCGCGCCCGTTATCCCGAGGCACGGGAAGAAAAAACCACCTCACACATCACTGAGCAGCGAACCAGCGAGCACCGCGGCTGTGGGCATATTGTAGGGGTGGCGGCGGAGCTACTGGCTTCAGACGTCGTCGATATTGGCGGTTCTGCCTCATTCCTCCGGCAGCCCATCGATACATGGCGAGTTCCTCCACTACTAGGACCCGAGTGGTAAGTGGACATGCCCAATGAGACGTTGGCGATGGATGCATTGCGTTCTCGACCAACATCGAAGGCGCCGCCTACGCTCGGCTTGTATGAGTTTGAAATAGCGAGGCCCATGGGGATATGTGTGGTCTTCTTCACCTAGGGGGGGCTTGTTTCTTGTTTTCTTTTCTGCAAAAACTCCCGCCTCCTCGGGCAAATGAAATGCTACGTTGTGAAACGAATTTCTCTAGTATTTACGAGAATCCATCCTAGGGTATTATCTATCCACAACATGAACCGAAAAGGCTGCGCGCTTTGACGCGTATCCGAACGAATGTAAAGGCAGAGTTGATCGTCGGTCCCTGAACCAAACAGCAAGTATCCATCCATCTCTCGTCTCCATCTCTCTCGACATGAAGAGAATCTCGTTTCGTCATGGCAAGATGATACTCTGTCGTCCTCTCCATCCAAGACCCCATCTCTCTTTACTCCACCGGGCTATGGTAAAGTACAAGCGTGAAACGTCGTAACAGTCATCCATTAAAAAGAAAAAAGAAAAAGAAGAAAACCAGCTGTGCAGAGCCAACACATGAGCTCTTCAACATACAGTATAGTACAAAGTCGCAAAGGAACGGCTCATGCCAATCCCAGGAACTTCAAAGCCTTGCGGCTGTTGCCCTTGCGGTTGTTGCTCTTCTTGAGGAACATGGGCATCAAACGTCTTTCCTCGAGGTCTAGATCGCTCTCGAATTCCATATCGACGGTCATGATGGACCCTTCATCACCCAAACCAGACTTCTTATCGCCTCGCGACTTGAGGCGGCGGACCATGATGTTCTCCGCGACGGAGGAGGTCCTGGGCGAAGACCTGACGGAGCTTGCCGTCCTGTTGTGCCTCCTACTCCTGGGAGTGAGGGGCGATATCGGAGGACTGACGCCTTGTTGTGAGACAGGCAAGGGGTTGGTCGTTCGCAGCTTGCCCAGGTTCTTTGATCCTTTGTCAGGCAGGTAGAACTTGGATGTGTTGATAAGAATCTTCCGGACGGTGGAGATGAAGGTGGCGACCTCGACGTCGGTTGCAGTCGACGTAAGAAGAAGATTGGCCTTTGAGACTGCCAGTCCGTCTCGCGAGGATGCAGACGTGGCAGACTTGGACTCCTTCGACTGAAGCGAGCTTGAGCTCGAGGCAAATTCACTTCTCGTAGAGACACGTCCCGAGGAACTGCCGCGTACATGAGTAAAGGGAAGTGGCTCTTTGGCCGCAGCATCAATGACTTGGGCAACTTTCATTAGGTCGACCCCGACCAGCTTTTGGAGAGCAAGAACGGTCGCTAGATGGTCAGCAGGGTAGTCGAGAAGCAAAAAGCGGATTTCTGAGTGGGCAGCGAAAAACGTCTCGAGGTGAGGAATAATCAGAGTGGCCAGGAAGTAGGGGCTTGTAAATGGGTTGTCGTGGGTTTGGTTCGCCAGGGGCTGCGCCGTGAACGACTGCATCGCATTGGCAATGAGGTATCTGAGAAACTTGTTCAGCCATGATCCATAGAGCATAACAGGAGATTTACTCACCGAAAGTCAAGTCGGCCTGTCCGGGAAATGCCATTTGACTTGGTGCCCAGCTTCTCAAGTTGGCTAAGCACTCCTGAAACGAACGTCTTCTTGACCCCACGCTGTGCGCCGACAGCCAAGATCTGGTCAATTCGGCAATTGTCCTGCTTCGGGCTTTCACCCGGCTCAGTACCGCGGAAAATCGGCTTCCACAGCCCATCCATCTCAGGTAGCAGAGGAAAGCTGAACTGTGAGTATCCTCTTCCCTTGGGTGGGAAGTAGATACCGAGTACCATCCGGAGTGAGTTCTGCATGGCCACAGCCGTTTGACCTTGCACGGCGTTGAAGTCGTGGAATTTATCCCCCGGCTCCGACATCATTGGAGGTGTATGTGCAGGTGTGGGCAAGGCCGAGACCGCCATGCTCCGAGAAGTAGACTGAAGCGACTTCCCGGTGAGTGTGGCATCATCGTAGGAGAAGGGGTCGTACTCGTCAACGTTCACAGCGGTTGAGGGAGTAAATAGGTTCGTTTGAGACTCGTCCCCTTGAACTGTTGGTGTATGCGGAGTTGATGCGCACCCGTCCGCAAAAGACGTGTTGGAAGAGCCCGCTGATTGTAGTGCGACTGGGTAGGCACCTTCTTTGAATGCCTTGATCATGTACTCCAGTATGGGGTCAGGGTTGTCGTCTTTGAAGTGTATGATGAGGTCCTCGTGGAACGGCAACACGGGCCGGAAAGTATTGTCGCTTTTGCCGATATTTTGCGCGTCGGTTCCTCTGTCAACATAGTTGGTGTTGGTGCGCATGTGATTCTGAGCCTTCTCCTCAAGCGGCGGAGGCGGCAGAGCCTTGTTCATTCGGGTGGGTTTGACATACACAGTCTTGGCACTCTCGCGAACCTTGACCTTGCTCTCGCGTCGTTCCGCCTCTTCGATAAGATCATTGACAGATAAAGGACGGTCGTCATCAGGCTTTTCGGCAGTTACCATCTCCGCAAGACTCTTCCCCTTAAACTTCAGCCGCGTCAGTGTATCCCGGTACCGCGAGTTGTTACGGCGAAGCTGGTCGTTTGACTGGGAGCGTTTCAGGGTCTTGGTGGAGGCGGATGATTTCATGCGAACAAGTGATGCTTGCTCAATGAATATCGGCTCTGTCGATCGGATGCTGAGCATATCAGACCCAGGAGTAGTCACACCCAGCGCGCCAGGATTAGGTGATGGTGGCGAGGATCCGATTCCTCTGTCAGATGCCTCGCCCACAAAACTCGGAGAGCGAGGCGGTCCTGGCGCAATCGGGTTGCCCTCCTTGTCAAACGCTCCACCTGTACGTCTCTCAAGCTCGTCAAAGTTCGTGATAGCCAACCTTGGCGTCGGGCAGTCGGGTTGGGCACCTCCCGCTGGCTGACCTTGATCCCCGCCACATTGCTCGTGGTACTGTCCACCAAAAACGTAGAACGGCGCGGTATCGCCATATGTGTCAGCGAAGCAGTACATGGGAAGACTCAAGCTCCTCGGGCGAGGGGGCAGGATGGTGAGGTCAAGGTCGCTGGAGGGCTGGAGACTTGCGGTTTCGCGATCGAGAGCATCCGCTGCACGCATGGCTTTCGTGATGGGATCTTCGATGACCTCCTCGGATGTATCAAGAAAGGAGCCTCCCGCGCTGGCGGGATGTTGGTCAAGACCTGCGACGCCCCCTTTGACGAGTTCATTGAAGATAGCCTCTGCTTTGGAGAGGTCTCCATCTACCACGTTTCGGGAAATGGCCCTGATGCAGACTGTCTGCGCACTTGGTGTGCCTCCGTTCATGAAGATCAATCTTTTGCGCTTAGGTGTCGAGTCCTTCAGAAACGACAGCGCGGCCTCTCTCCTTCTGGCGACGGCATCATGAACTCTCTTGACAAATTTGCGCGCTTCAAATGGCTCGTCGGGGTTGTCGGCGTCGAGGTATTCCTTCACACTGGGAAGCACGGCTATTTGTGTCGATGTAGGCAGGAGGCGAAGTTGAGTGGAGACCAGATCGCCGGGCCCTTCGAAAGCGACAAGGGCGCCATGATACTGGGCAGATTCGGCCATTTCTGGCAGGGCCGCGAAGGGTGAGAGCGTGAGTTAATGACGGGTCGAATGGCACGATTAAGATTTATTTGTATGAATGGCTCAAGGTCGCAGCGGAGTGAGGCGGCGGAGAAAGCGATATCGGCTGGATTGTGGTGGTGAAGCAAGGTGACGATGAAAGTAGAGAAGGTGTGATTCAGTGCAACCAGTTGCAGAGATTGCACACTTTGGGCAAAATATTGTTCAAGTCGACGGCAAGTGCAGTGACAGATTGGGGGGAAAGAAGTGAAAATACAACGGAGCGTGAAGAATGAAGAACGAAGAACCGCGGTGTTACTATGGCGAGGAAAAGATGAGGAGCGGTTTTGGGGGCGGCAGGCGGGTAGTTGAGCAGTCACGGACACCGGCACAAGCCCGAAAGAAAGTGGCTTGAGCTACGGGTCGATGTGCCTGATATAGGGAGTACAGGACGACGAGTACACAAATGGTTGGCGTTTCCGAACTGCGCCTCAAGCCGCTAGGTTGATAACGACGAAATGGCTGTCCATCTGAGGGGGAGAGGGGGTGAGAAAGAAGGGGATGCGGCGATATGGAAAGAGATTGCCTAGGTCGGGAAGGCGAGGTCGTTAACTCTCCTGCTTATTGAGATGACCCGTCCTCGTCCGAGCCAAGGGCAGCACACATACCTTGACGGGGATTGTCTTATGCTATCGTCACCGCCCAGTCGTCTAAGATTTCGACGAGACTGGGGGAAGCGGCAGGCGGCAGGAAGCAGAAGGTCGTGTCCACCTCGTCCCGGCCCAAGAGGCTCTAGCTGTGAATGTTGGAATGGTGGGCTCGCCTGAATGGAACACGGCTCCGTATGCCTAGTGTAACAAGTCGGCGAGATGGTCTCGACGCCCAGAGTTATGGTGCGAATTCCTAGGTATACGCATACGAGAAAGGGAATGTTGAGCACGAAACGGCGCGCGTCCTCGCAGTGCCAGTTGCTCCATCCGCACTCATAAAGATAGTTCGGCTGCGTGCGTCTCTTACTTAGTAAGACGGTCGCGTTCAGATGTCATTCAGGCAGGCCAGGCCGGGATGACAGTTCCAGGCTCGGGAGAGTATGGACGAAAGGTTCGCGCTACTGCGTCGAGGTGAGAAAGATGGGACAAGGTCCTCGGCGCCTTCTCCCTGGTCGTTACTCGTGGCTTGAGACTAGCAACAAGACGGTCTTTCTTTCGTTGGTGCCAGTGTCTCGTAGGGGCCGGTCCGTCGACTTGCGCAGCGCCGGGGAACAATGGCAAATCTGTTTGGTAGTTGTGCAAGCCGCCATCATTCGCATCATAGCTCGACCTAGCCAAGTTGCCGTTTGACCGTACGAATGACGGTAGTCTGGCCTGATGGTGGGGGACGTTACAACGAACGAATGAGACAAATGAGGCATGGGAACAATTGACGGAGACCCCGCGACTGAAGCTCCGGCTGAGGGGCTAAGGTTGTGGCGACTTAGGTTGGACAAACAGAGTTGACCAAACAGTGACATCCAGCAGAAAAGGCGCCCGACTCTGGTGGTATGTATTGTAATATGCACCTTTCGACGAAGACTGGGTCCGAAGAAGGGAAACTGAGGTAGGGGCCCCACCAGATGCCGCCTCATGGAACTGCAAGATCGCAGGAAAGCTCGTGCAGGGCAGACACGGAAGGGAGGACGGACGGTCGCATGGCTTATGGGCAGGAACGTGGGACACCTGTAGTTGAATTGACGGTCCCAGAATAATTTCCCCTACTCTTTGTGTCCCTACTGTCTAGCAAGACGCGGAGCAAGACAACTCTTGGGAGACGTGGGAGGTGGAAGGACGTGGAGCTGGCAGGTGCAGGGAAAAGTGGATCGTCCACTGTAGGCACCTACACTAGGTATGTAGGTGGGTGATGGCGGCAGCTGGCGGGGCCGCCCCAGGGTTCAGGGTTTAGCGAGGTGAATGGAAGCGTGGGTGAGGACGGACAGGGGGGGTTGTACTATGCAGGGGCGACTCGAGGTTCGACTCTGCCTATTTGGGCGATCGACGACAAGCTTACGCTAGGTCGGAGAAAAGCTGACCAATCGGCATGCAAGGATGCAAACCTGCTGTTTGCTCGCAGCTCACTGCCTTCTTTCCCCCTAGCGGCTCACATCAGTTCTCCCCCGTACATTGGCCTCTTTACTTGGAGCCTAAAGGTTACCCCCATTCTGTCTGCCTTCGCATCTCGTGCATCTTGCACGGCGCACACGTGTCTGCAAGGAAACAATGGCTTCATCTATTCCTTGCATACACTGGCGTGGGGCTGCTTGAAATCCTCTCTCAGCATTCCCGCCGGCCTCGCCATGCTGTAAACCGTCTACTGTTCCGCAATCAGCCACTTGGGTCTTCCAAGCTGAAGCCTTTACAAACAGCCGCTGTTCGTACTTCACCGCCGGAAGACACGAGCAAATTGGTCAGAAACCAACGCGCCTGCGGTCGGATCCCTGAGTAGCGCCACCATTCCAACTCTATCTTGTATAATTGGCCGCTAGCCATAACTCAATGCCGTGCTACTCAGTCAGCGCATCCACCTGCTGCTCCAGCCATCAAAACAATCCAGGTGATTCTACCCATTTCCTCGCCCATTCCACGAGTCGCCAAGAATGTGACAGACCCGCAGTTGCGCGTTCGATCTCGGACGACCCCTGCCAGCCACCACAACCCAACATCCGAGAGCCCGACGTCCAACGCCGGTACAGTCGGTTTCGCTTCCTTCTTCATCGTCACATAACGGGACCTGACAGCCGACGGTTTGGCCATTAGTCAAATTGCCGCGAGCCCACTATGACTAATGAGTCCTCGGAAACCCGTCGCCTTTCTTGGTCCAAGCCAATGCCACGAATACCATCATGTTTCTTCACTTCTGCAACCTTTGAGTATTTCAACCTGCTAGGATTCGAAGCCGATCATCAGCTACACTGGTATCCGATTGGGTTTCCAGGAATACCGAGAAAGGTGGGTTTGACATCACAGACTGGAAGGCAGGGCACCTCGGCAGTTTGCGAACCAACGTTACATAGCATAGACGTGATGGAGCCTTTCGGCAGGTTCGCTTCTATGTTTCTGAAGCTAATCCCACTATTCAGATCATTTAGTGGCGGGCGCTCGTCTCAAGGATTAATCCCGTTCGCCCTTTCGTTCTACTTCCCAGAGATCGCCAGCCGCACGCCTCCAAAAGCATGTCACTGTTCCCTCCTTGCAGAATCCGAGCTATCAAGGAATTGGGATCTGCCAATCTTGATTAGCGCCATTGATGTCCCTATCCCAGCTGGAAGGATAATCGACCGTCGACAACCCACAACCCTGCGCCGAGAAGGGCCTTGCTTCGAAGGCTGAACCAGCCGTGCTCACTTCGGGTGCCTCCGCATAACCCACTCCGTTGTTTGCCGTTTGAGTCGGTCTCTGTAGCAACGAGGCACCTTCGTCACCAGAGAGAGCGATGAAGGACTTGAAACGGGCTAAACGTCGTCTTTGTTGTACAGCGCGCTACCCGACTTGTCGAGGCGGCGGCATTGGCAAAAAACTCCTTTGCTTTGGACCACGCGTATTTTTGGTTCCCTCGTTACGTTTTATCCTGCAAAGGTTTGCGTCTCCTCCGGCAGTCGTCCTTTGTTCTGCCGCTTCAGCAGAAAACGTCCCGACGGGCTCACATACCGCACTACATACAGATTACCACAATTCGTTTATGCGACACGACATGACGCGATGCTCTTATCAATCCCATCCTTTTGGGCAGTCTTTTGCGAAACAAGCAGGGTCTACTGAAACAGGGGGGAAGGCGCACTTACATTGTCGCCCCCAACATTTCGAAAGCACTAGGCACTTTGCTATAGCAAGCTATTCCACTTCTCCGCCAAAGCTACGTTCTTCGAGCGGATGGAGCGTCGCACTTATCCATCGGGCAGATCTAAGCTCCTTCACCAGCCCGTGAACCCTCCAAGATCCGTGTTGATTTACTTAGTCTGTTAGAGAGTTGGAAAGTTCCAGCTTAGAAACTTCGATCTTTGATCTGGAATTCGTGTCAAGCTGTCAACTGGTCGAACATCCTCAGGCATTTCTACGTTGCACTTCTGCCAGCCCATGCTCTACTCCTATTTCGTGCGCAGATTGACGGGCGTAGGAATATCTGCAGCCACCCGGTGTTTGTCCTAGAGGGCGTCCAGGATGCCCCTGCCGAGGCATAGTCAGCTCCAGCTTGGCCACCTCGTCGTTTTTTGTGAATTTCATTCAAACAACAATGGGTCAAGGTGATACTCAGGCGTCTTCGGGGTTCGGGGCCGCAGGTACTCGCACGGGCTGTTAACCACTCAAGCCACTCATTTCGTACCGTTGGAGAATTTCGACTGATCTAAGTCTTCATGCAGCCACAGATTTCAGGTGGCTCAAGATGGCTCTGGAAGGTCTCAGATGCTGCCGACGACTGGCGCTCCCCGCTGTCGGCCGAGAGACACGGACAAGGGACGGGTGGCCGGGCCACAGACAAGTTGCGAGCACGGGCAGATCCCGGACATTGAGAGATCGTATCAACAGCACGATAACGGGCTCTGCTCTCATCTTCTGTACGCGTAGCCGCTGGAGAGAGATGTCATTAATGCTTGCGGAGACCATTGTGGTCTTCTGGGGCGTCTCAAGAGGAATGTTTTCTGTCGAAGCGCACTCTGACCCTGGAATGATGGCATCCAGCAGCTCGAGCACGTGCTGTGCATGACGGCTTTCAGCCTCCGATGGCCCGGGTGTCGACTTACACCAAGTATCCTCCCAAAAAAGTCGCAACCACCGCCTTACGGAGTCCCCTGATACAGCCTCCCCTGATGCAGCCTCCCCGGTGCGTATACTCAAACTTTGGCGCGGAGCGCCGCCGGCCAGATGGATACCACACCGTTTATCGCAGCTTTCTTTGGGTCGTCACATGCGACAATTGACTCTGGTTCCGTGGGCATGTCTCGTTGCCCCCCGGAGGGAGGCGCTCAAGGTCGTACCGAGACATCTTCAGCCAAACGATGCCCAATGTCTGACGGCAAATATGGAGAAGACGACACGGGGAAATTGTAAACAATCATTTTGGAGGTCTCAAGCCAGGCCGCCTTCGCTCGACGAGAGCATGCTGGCACACATCCCCGATGCCCCCGTCGTGAAGCAAACAGAGTTTCCCCACCATGATTCCCTCATTGAACCGGATATCAGGGCAAAGATGGTGCTGGCAGGTTGGCTGAAACTCGAGGAAGATGAGTTGATTTTGCAAAGCAAAGGGTAATGGTTCCCTGCCCGCCGTTTGGGTCGAGGCGTAGACGATTGGGCCGAGATGGCTGGCCAAGATACCTCGTCCACTCATAATTTGCCGCGGCTGCTCGGTAGTGATCAACAGCCCAGCAGTAGCACTCTCCACTGATTCGGTTGAGAGCCATGAATGATTCATAGAGCCCGAACTCCTGGCCTTATTGGAGACACAGCTTTAGATAACAGCCTCCAAAGCGTCACGACCTGTCCACTCGCAACCGCCAAACCCAGACCCCCTAATCGTCGTCCTCCATCAGTGCTGCTAGCTCGGCCTCCTCCTCGGCGGTCATCAGCCCCTCGCCCTTCTCCTCTTCCTTCTTCGCCCCCTCCTGGCCGTCTTCGGCCTTGGCCTCGGCTGCGGCCCGAATCTCCTCGACAACCCCGTCGAGCCCCTTGCGGTCCAGCGGCCACGTTCGCAGCGTACAGTCGATGCCCACGCTGCACAGCACGTCGGACCGCCCCGTGGGGTCCCGGAGGACGACAAAGTCGGTAATCTCGTCAAAGTGAGCGTCCACGACGGCGTACAGCGCCCCCGACGTCCGGTCCCAGATCTTGATCTGCTGGTTGATCCCGCCCGTGGCGACCCAGTCGCCCGTCAGCGCGATGGCGCGGACAAAGTCGCCGTGCTCGAAGACGTCCTCGGCCGCAAAAGCCTTTTCGCGCAGCAGGCACTTGGCGGTCCCGTCGGCGCTCGCGGTCCAGAGGTCGACCTCGTCGCCCGTGACGTCGAAGAGCACCTTGTACACGCTCGTCTCGTGCTCCTGGATCGTGAGCTTCTCCTCCGCCGCCGCCTTGTCCGCGGAGGACGCCTCGTCGACGGGTAGCTGGGAGTACGAGTCCAGCGTGACCCTCCACCGGCGGATGTGCGGGTCGCTGCTCGCGCTGACGAGGACCATCTCGTCGGCGGTGCTCAGCACGGGGTCGACGGCGAGGTGCTGCAGCGACATCATGGTGGTCGTCGGGTCCTGCAGGGTGTGCAGCTTGCGCCCGGAATCGACGTCCCAGACGATGATCTTCTTGTCGGCGCCACCGCTGACGAGGATTTGCTTGTCGCCGAGGCGGCCGCAGACGACGGCCTTGACGAAATCGGAGTGGCCGTCGTACCGGCGGAGGGGGCGCCGTGTGGCGAGGTCCCACGACCAGACTGTCTTGTCCCAGCTGCCGGCGAAGAGCACGCCGTTGGAGGCGCCGCCTGTCGCGAGGCATGTCACGGGGACCGAGGGCCCGGTGTACTTTGCGGTGACGGTTCGTGTCTGGCGCGCGTGAGCCCCTGATCGGATATGTCCCCTTTCCCCTCAGTTGCACCAACGACGAGGTGAGGATGTGGCGAGAGGGGAGAGTTGGGGTTAGGATGGACAAGAGATCATACCTCGGTATCAATGCGAGACACCCTGCCGCCGGACTCGGCGATGAGGACGGAGGTTTGCGGCTTCTTGGGGTCCGGGATGACGGCCAGGATCTTAGACGGCATGCGCAGCGGGTTGCCAAAGGTGTTTGCCTCCTTCTTGGCGCGCTGCTGACGCTTGGCCTGCTGCGTGCTGTGACGTGCGTCAGAACATAATTGCTGAGAAGCTCTCATGTGTAGCGGGGGGCGTGTACTCACTCCGTCTCGAAGAAGTTCTCTTGGTTGGATGACTCCATCTTGAGAAGTGTCTCGCCGAGAGCTTAAAACACTATCAAGAGGGCTGGTGAAGTATTGTGCAAGAAGGCAGCGAAACCCGGATTCCTCCCGGTGTTGAAAGATGTGAGAGCTCGAAGGGAGAGTCTTTTCGGATGTTGATGCCTGTTCTCGGGCGTCGTCCAGACCGCCCACTTTCACTTGCAACCTGTATTTCTCATCAATTCTGATGCCTGCGATGTATTTCTGTGAGCGTTGCGACAGTCACCCTCAGCTGGCACCAGATGGTGCATCCACAGAACAAAAGTACGTACCTGGCGGGGTCCTTAACCCCTGTCCCGCGTCCCTGGCGTAAAGTGCCAGTTGCCCAGCAAAAAGTCGTTAATTGAATTTCCGCGACGCGTCCCAACGCGTCTTTCCAACCTCCGTCCTGTCCCGCCATCACCACCTCACACCACCATCCTTCTCGAGCACCCAGACGCTCCAACAACCCGAACCCCCGGTCCACCGATCCCGCGAGGCTCAATATACGTCGCATTGTCTCCCACAGACTCGAATTGCCATTACCACAACCCTCAACCCTCCCATGACCACGAACTAAGACACCCCGAAAACGATGGCCTCCTCCCTCGCCCCGAAGCCGCGGCCGAGGCCGGCGCACACGACAGGCACAACCCGCCTCGCCTACACGCCCTCGGGTGCTCGTCTCGTCACCGTCGGCTCCAACAACACGATCCGCCTCTACCGCACCCACCACGACGGCGAGCCCTACAACATTGACGACTGCCCCGAGCAGAACTGCGCGGCGGCGGCGGCCGATGGCTTCTTCGTTGTCGGCTCCGAGGACGGTACCGTCAGCGTCTACTCGGTCGAGGACACCGCCTTCGAGCGCTTCCTCACCCGCACCTCCCTCCCCGTCCGCGACGTCGCCCTCTCCCCGGACGCCAAGTGGTGCGCCGTCGCCAGCGACGAGCTGACGGTCAAGGTTGTCGACACGCAGGACAACTCCCGCGTCCGCGTGCTCAAGGACCACGGCCGCTCGACCAAGCACCTCGCCTTCGACCCCAAGGGCGGCCTCCTCGCGCTGGCCTGTACGGACGGCGTCATCTACGTCTACTCCATGACGGCCGACACGCCCGAGCTGATCCGCAAGGTGTACGGCGTCATCGGCCCGCTCGAGTCCGACGCGGAGACGTCGGCCAGGATCGCGTGGCACCCGGACGGCCGGGCCTTTGCCGTGCCGACGCCCATGCACGACGTTCAGGTTGTGTCCAAGAACGACTGGGAGAAGCAGCGGGCGTTTTCCAACGGCCACCTCGGCGACATCACGGCGCTGGCGTGGTCGCCCAACGGCGCGATGCTGGCGACGGCGGGCAAGGACGGCAAGCTCCTCATCTGGGAGACCAAGACGCAGAGCGTGATTCAAAAGTTTGACTACAGCAACGTCATCGACATTGCGTGGCACCCCAAGGACAACCTGCTGTCGTTTACGACGTCCGACGGCGAGGTCTACATCTACCCGAACCCCATCACGGAGCAGTTTTCCGCCTTGCTGCAGCTGCCCCGCCAGCCGGCGCCCTTCATCCACGACCCCTTGGTCGAGCGCGCCAACAACGCCCGCAGACCGGACGCCAACGGCGGCAAGGCCTCGATACCCAGCCGGCCGCGGCGCGACTCGCTGGGGAGCCTCGACTCGTTCCTCAACGGCGAGGACGGCTACGACGACGGGGATGACTTTGTCGTCGACGACGACGGCGCGGGCTACGCGACGGGGACCAAGAGGGCGCTCGAGGGCGGCGACGACGCCGCCGCCGGCGGGCGCGCGAGCAAGCGCCGCCTGCTGGAGCCGGCGTTCCACGAGGCGTTCCAGCCCGGCTCGACGCCCTGGCGCGGCAACCGCAAGTACCTGTGCCTGAACCTGATTGGCGTCATCTGGACGGTCGACCAGGACGGCCACAACACGGTGACGGTCGAGTTCTACGACCACGAGTTCCACCGCGACTTCCACTTCACCGACACATTCCTCTACGACAAGGCCTGCCTGACGGAGCACGGCGCCCTGTTCTCGTGCCCGCCCCTGGGCGACACGCCCGCCACCATCTTCTACCGCCCGCACGAGACGTGGACGCAGCGCACCGACTGGCGGACGGAGCTGCCCAAGGGCGAGGCCGTCGTCGCCATGTCGCTGAGCGACTCCTTCATCACCGTCACCACCACCGCCAACTACGTGCGCATCTACACCCTCTTTGGCGTCCCGTACCGGGTCTACCGCCCCAAGAGCACCCCCATGGTCACCTGCGCCAGCTGGCGCGACTACGTCATCACGATGGGCAACGGCGCCGTCGGCGCGGACGGCAACGCACGCCTCCTGTACACGATCGAGAACATCAAGCGGGACGAGATTTGCCAAAATGAAGATACCGTCGCACTACCCGACGGCGCAACCTTGCAGAGCGTCTTCTTTTCAGATGTCGGTGTAAGTTTTGAACCCCCCCCCCCCCCCCCCCCCCCCCCCCCCCCCCCCCCCCCCCCCTTTTTTTCTTTTTCTTTCCCTCGGTCATAACCCGTGGTTTGCTGACGAGTCCCTCTTTGCCCCCGACTCAGGATCCTTGCATCTATGACTCAACGGGCACTCTGCTCACGCTCCTCCACTGGCGGAAGCCTTCCCGCGCCTGCTGGGTGCCCCTCCTTGACACGAAGCTTCTTCCGCGTCTAGCGTCAGGGAGGAAGACGGAAACCTACTGGCCCATCGCGGTCGCCGACAACAAGTTCCACTGCATCATCCTCAAGGGCGGGGACCAGTACCCCTACTTCCCCCGGCCACTGCTGTCCGAGTTCGACTTCTCCGTGCCCCTCACCTCGGCGCCGGCGCCGGCTCCGGATGCGGCGGTTGCCGAGCAAGACGAGGACGACGACGACGCAGGCCGTCGCGAGTCGCGCAAGCTGGAACAGAAGCTGCTGCTGTCGGGCATCCACTCGGCCCAGCTGCGCGATCTCATCGACCACACCGACGCCACGCACTCGCAGCGCACAGGCCTGGCGCGCCTCGAGCTCGACTTTGACAAGACGCTGCTCCAGATGCTGGCCATTGAATGCCGCGAGGGCGAGGAGCGCGGCATGAGGGCGTTGGAGCTGGTGGGCCTCATGCGTGATCGGACGGGCCGCATGATCGAGGCGGCGGGCAAGGTAGCGGAGCGGTACGGGCGGACGATCCTGGGAGACAAGATCCGCGAGATCGGGGAGCGGAGAGTCAGCGGTATGGACGTCGACGATGGCGACTTTTAGACTTTCCCCTGACCATGCTCCTGGCTGGAGGGACGGTAAGGGGGACCCCCGTTGCCCGCCCGTCGGGAATTGGGTTTCATGGTTGTTTGGATGGGTCCTTCCCGTCAGTACCTGTATAAAGGAATGGCGTTTGGATGATGATACGATGAGGCAACGTCTGGCCCGCGTCTGTCTTGCCCGCCTGAGAGGCGCGTGAATGACTAGCTACTGGAGGAGGGCGCCAGGGGTGTTTGGGTCGTCGTTGTCGTGTTTCTTACTTATGTTTATAATACGAATGGGCCAGTGGAACGAATAATGTCAGGAAGGACGTCGTCGGAGTTGCACCCGCGTGTCACGGGCCACGGCGGAGATCTGTCCGGCGGTGGTGAAAGTGTGTCAGCGCTACATGTTCCATCGCGCAACTCGAGCGAGGACAGTCCTCGAAAGCAGCTGTAGCATCATCAGCCGCGAGTCTCCTCCCGGTCAATTGGTGTCTCCTGTTGGGTAATGTTAATTTTTTTGACTCGAATGTTCTTCGAGGAAGCCGAGTTGCTCCTTGTGCTGGGCGGCATAATGTCGGTTGCATGAGACCAAACACGCGACCCCAGATCCGACAACACCCCGTCAAAACTAGGTCGTAGCTCCGAAAGATCAAGGGACCAAAGTGATTCACTCACAATTCGTTATGCCCGGAGGACGACAAGAAGTCGCCAGCGTGGCGGTTGCTGACTTTGAGCTCCTCCGTAACGGAGACGCTTGAAAATGTCGGTTCTTGCTGTGGGACGTTTCGTCTTGAGATTGAGTTTGACATCCATCGAACTTGAGCCAGCGAAGGGATGGCCAGTATGCTGTTAGTAATCTTGGGTCCCACCGAAGTGTCATAGCCTTTCTTTGGAAGCCTTTGCCTAGAAGTTGTGGAATTATTTCCGCTGGCCGCGGGTATTGCGGCAAACGCAAAGCTGAATAGCTGGTAGACTACGGCTCAGGATTCCGGGCCGCGGACCGGAGGAGTAGGCGATTGAATGCTTTGCTGCATTTGATTTCCGTGTGCGAAGGCACGCCAAGGCCTTCGCTATCATTGCTCGTTAGATGGACTCGTCCCTCGTACCGAGCTTATCTTGTTTTTGTTCTTGCGCAAAGTTGCCACTGCCAGTCTGCGTGCTTGACATTCTCGTTACATTACGCTGCCTGCAGGACGGGCATGAGACGCTGGCTCATCCGCGGGATCTCTATGGTGCATGCTGAGCAGGGGGCGGAAGGACGAAGAACCATATCCGACATGCGACGTGGCGGGTCCAAGATTTAAAGTTCAATCGAACGTAGTAGATCTGGGGAGCTTCTGCTTCTGCTTCGGATGTGTCGTTCCATGGTTCGGCTACCCAAGCGCGGACTCGCACTGCAAGCCTCCTACAGACCTGGGAGTGATGTGAAAAGTGCACGACAATCCATTGGGTGAGTGGACGGTTCGGGGTTGGTCAAACTGGATATGACGAAGAAAGTTCTAAGTGCTCAGAGCTAAAACATCGCAAGGGACATCCTCGAGTCGTCCAGGAGTGGGACTTCTAGAAGGTTATCGTTCACTGTGAGGTGAGCGTCGATGCCACATTTTTCAACGCACTTCAGACAAAACACCAACCGCGAAAAGAGTTCGTTAGAGCCGGTAGTGTTACACTGAGAGCGGAGAATGAGAAACAGGCTCTTGGTAAACGCATAGAGAGAGCCAAGGTACAAGAACGTTGTCGGATCGACAACAGCGTTG